CAATTGGAAGGATTTCATTCCGCTCTGAAAAAATGATTGGCTCGTGAGGTGCGCGTTGAACTTGGTTTGCGCATTTTAGATGTGTTTATCGTGCAGCACAACTTCAACGTTGGAGCTCGCTTTGGTAGGAATCCGCGCATGGAGAATATTGATTTGATAGCGGCGTGTCGTGCTGCCACAGTGTGCAAGTTGTATGGTGAGCGCTTAGTTGCAGATACAGCTGAGCAAGAGTTTGTGTCGAACCTCGTTTCAGCTTCTCTACCTCGTCCGCAATATCGCTCGAGTACAGAACGCGACTTTGCGTTCACGTCGTGGCAGCAGATATTTGCTTGCGCTGACCTCGATGCGTCGGGCCTAGAGACGAACCTGTCGCGGCCAAGACAGCATCTCCACACAATAAAAGAGTTGCTGTTCAAGAATGCAACTACACTACAGTGTGGAACCGTTGATCGTGTAGAATTCATGCATTCGCTTCGCATGGAGGAAGATAGTGCAGAGGGAGCTGCCGGGTTCTCGCCAGAAGAGCACGAGCTCCTGTGCCAAGTTCTACGAGAGCAAAAGGAATGTGGTAGAACTTGGGCGGACTGCGTGCTGGTGACCACCATCATGTTCAACCTTGTTGTCGCTTCGAACAGGAATGCACGCATTAGACTGTATCGGCGCAGTTATCGTACTCTCGAAACAAAAGTCAAGGCAGTGCGGGCTGAGTCTAAGCAAGCTTCAAAACAGTCGGCTGATACGCGGAAAACTTATTTCATTTTCGGAATGAAGTAGAATGCACTGGTAGAGCAACCGACCACGAGCGAGCGCTGCAGCAGCAACTATTTGACACTCTTCGACGGACCAATATTGTCTCGCAGAAACGACTGGCGTTTTGTAGACTCTATGACTTCGCGAGCTGTGTCTGTGGTGGAGTTCGAGCATTTGACAAAGTATCACTAGAGAGGAGATGGGGCGCACTCAAAAAGTCAAGCTCATCCTTCACGATTAAGTTTAAAAATGTTCGAAGCGCGTTACGACAGACCGAAGCAGACACTTCATCGTCACGCAACGATGCCCGTGAAGCTGACACCTCATTACCACGAAACAGTACCAGCGAAGGTGACATCTCCACGCACAATACAGCCAGCGAAGATGACACCTCCGCTCGCAACACTGCCAACGATGTCCAGTTGGACAGATATTCTTGTAGCGTTTCAGCTGAACTTGTGGTTTCTGCACCCCCGGCGTTGACTGGCGATGCGTCTCGCCTCCTTTCCAGTGATAATGGACTTGTTGTTTCTGGAGAAGTTGTGCGTCCTCCCCCTCCCGTAGTAATATCTAGTGAGCACATGGACATACTACGTCAAGAAGCGGAAAAATTTAAGGGTACACGTGGAAAAGCTGCTCACCTCATGAACGTGTTCAACCAGTACTACCCGAAGTGTGTGTTGACCCCCAATCAACTGCGAATGAGGATCCGAAACAGCACACGAGAGTCAACCCACGCAGGCGCTCCAGGCGAAGCACAGACCACGCCTGATCCGGAAGTGCCATCCGTCCGGGAGGTGCCACACAAAACCAGAAAACGGAAGGCAATCTCCTGCCCCGACTGCAGGCAAAAGCACGTGAAGTGCGGCGACAGCAAAAACCCTCAGTGCTTGAAGCTGGTTAGCAAGTCAGCAAACACGTTAGACAGCTATTTCTCCACTCCATCTTAAGGTTAATACACTAGCTTGCAGCATACTCATGGATACGTACTCGGGCCTGCGGCATTTCCGCTGCTCCATGACACTGCTGGTGGTCGGGCAGTGTTCTTTGTCTTCAGCTCGTGGTGAAGCGATCGACGGAGGTGCGGCAGTCCTACTTGGACTAAGCTCGGTGTGCCAGCGCTACCCTTGTCTGTCCTTCCGAGTAGGGTCGTCGCCGCAGCCGTCGCCGCGTCTGGTTGCCACTGCACGCACTTGCGTTCCTGCTCCACATCTCGCTACACTGCCCTCGTTTTGAACTGCGTTGTCAAATTCAGCTTGCGTCGTATAAAGCATCCTGATTGGCTAATAGCATACTGGGGAGTTAATCGGGAAATCGGGAACGTGTTCAACCTGGTCCAGGTGGTCCGGATGGTCAAAGTGGTCCCGGGAGCTTCCCCTCTATCTTTAACAAACCCTCTGACGCCGCCATTACTTCAGAGCTCGGGAGCGCAGCCTCTCTTATCGCCGCCGCGGACGATGGTGTTTTGGACACTGTCAAAAATGAGCTGGACAAGGGTGTCGATATCAACGTCGCTGACGAGCAAGGGCGTACGCCGTTGCTCTCAGCCGCGCGCAGCGGGCATCTACAGATCGTCGTGATCTTACTTGAGAAGGGGGCGGATATTACCAGAGCCGACCACGACGGGGACACGCCGCTCATCGCTGCTGCCTCCGAAGGCCATGTCGAAATTGTTCGTATGTTGTCAAAAAGTGGAGGTGGTGTCGAAAACCCAAGCAAGGACGGCAACACGCCTCTCATCCGAGCGGCGAAGAACGGGCACTTGGAGGTTGTCCAGCTCATATTGCAGCAGGGGGCAAGCATTAACCGCACCAACCAGTTCGGGTCGACTGCGCTCCTGTGGGCAGCAGACTGTGGACACATTCAAGTTGTCAAATTCTTGTTGGAGAAGGACGCAGACGTGGACTTGGCTACCAATGACGGGTTTACTCCACTCCTATGCGCTGATTCAAGCGGTCATGTTGACATTATGGAGCTACTACTGGAATGTGGAGCAGTTGTAGAAGATACCACCAAGGAGGGGGCTACTGCTCTCCTGCTAGCAGCCGAACATGGCCATGTTGACGCTGTCAAATTCCTGTCTGGGAAGGGCCTTGGCATCGAGACACCTACAAACGACGGCTTCACGCCTCTCATCAGCGCTGCTTTGAATGGTCATATTGATACCGTTCAGTACTTGCTCGAGCTTGGGGCTGACATCAACGCGGTGAGCTCCACTGGCAGCACTGCGCTCCATTTGGCCGCTGGTTTTGGACACGTAGCCATCGTGCGCGTTCTGCTGGAGAAGGGAGTGGCTGTGGATGTAGCCACAAACTCTGGAACCACGCCGCTGATGTACGCTGCTTCGAACAGCCGTGCCGATGTGGTGCAGCTTCTGCTGGAGAGTGGAGCTGAGATTGAAAAGGTAGCCAGAAGAGCTTTACAGCACTCTGTTTTGCGGCTGAAGAGGGAAGTCTCGAGACCGTGCGACTTCTGCTGGAGCGTGGAGCTCTGATCGACGAACATTCATCGCCTTTAATCTCTGCGGCTATGCGAGGACACGAGGATGTCGTGCTTTTACTATTGGAGAATGGAGCTGCGATTGATGCGACAAGCGCTAGCGGATCCACAGCGGTCACCGGTGCAGCTGAGTTCGGCCATCTTGGTGTCGTGCAACTTTTATTGGAGCGTGGAGCTGCGGTCGATCTACCCGATGCGAAAGGAAGCACAGCTCTGATTTGTGCGGCTTCATTCAATCACGTGGAGGTTGTGCGCTTACTCTTGGAGAAAGGAGCAGATATCGGCAAGCTTGATGAAGATGGCTACACTGCATTGAACTGTGCTGCTCAAAACGGCCACGTAAATGTTGTGCAGCTTTTGTTCGCCGGCGGAGCGGACATCAACCACGCGTCGTCGGGTGGGTTTACACCTCTCGCCAGTACCGTTTCGCAGAATCATATTGAAGTCGCCCGCGTCTTACTTCAGCATGGAGCAACTATCCACGTAGCCTCGAAGCACACTGTGTCGCCTCTCATCTCGGCTGCTTACAGCGGTCATCTTGAGATCGTTCGGCTTCTGCTGGAGAAAGGAGGTGACACGGAGACGAAGTATGAAGGCGGGTACACCGCACTCTCGTACGCTGCGCAAAATGGCTACATCGAGATCGTCGATGCACTTTTAGAGAGTGGAGCTATTATTGACGAGCCGACGGACGATGGAGCTACTCCGCTTCTAATGTCAGCACTATTCGGTCAGCCCGACGCCGTCCGCACTCTATTAGATCATGGCGCTGGTATCGACTCGCCCGATAGTTACGGAAACACTCCATTGATGCTGGCAGCCTCGAACAAGCACGTGGAAGTTGTTGAATTGCTGTTGAAAGCTGGTGCCGCAGTCGACACGAAGTCGCAAAGTGGAGAAACAGCGTTGCGCTATGCTGCACATGGAGGGAATGCTGAATGCATTCGACTTCTTCTTGACCATGGCGCTGGTGTCAACATCCTTGGTAACAATAATTGCTCAGCTCTTCAGGGAGCAGTTTCCAGCGGGCATGTTGAGGTTGCTAAGCTGTTGCTAGCGCGAGGCGCGGAAAGTAACACGGTCGATGACGACGGAGACACGCTGCTGCATGAAGCTGTGCTCCATGGGCAGCTGGAGATCACACGGCTGATGTTCGAGCGTGTAGCAGAGCCAAACGTGTCGAATGTAATGGGGTGGACACCCCTCATTCTGGCTTCCCAGCGGGGTCATACCGAGATCGCGATGCTTCTGGTTGAGAGAGGAGCTTCAGTGAACTCAAGGACAAGTGACGGGAGGACTGCCTTATTCCTTGCTGCAGAGGAGGGTCATCTCGAAATCGTACGCCTAGTTTTGGACAATAGCGCCGATGGGAACATGGTGGACGACGAGAACCAGACGCCATTAATGAAAGCAGCACATCGAGGACACGACGAGATTGTGCGTCTGTTGCTAACAACGCGGACGTGCGCATAGTAAACAACTCAGGGCTCACAGCCGCAGAGATCGCCCGCAAGAACTGCAGGTACGAGAGCTGGCGGAGTCTTCAAGAGCATGAAGCCACGCAAGCAAGCTCGTCGACAACGCTACTGAAAATTCCGACTCAAAGCAAGCCCGACTGGTATATTCCAAGTCGAGAAGTCCGCAAAGACCGACAACCATTTTCTGCTGGATCCTTCGGTCAAGTCTACCGAGGATGGTGGCTCAGTACTCGAGTCGTAGTCAACACTGTCACTGTCGTTAATGAGAAGAAGAGCCGCACCTTCCATCGAGAAGCGCGGATCTGGCAGAAAGCGAGGCACCCGAACATCGTGCCGTTCTTCGGCGCCTGTGACGAAGGCTCGACGTACTTCTTCGTGTGCGAGGAGGCCAAGAACGGCAAGCTGCTCGACTACCTCTATCACGCAAGAGAAGAAGAAGGTCGGTCGCTAGTGTGGAGGAAGTTGCTGGACGCCGCTCTCGGCCTGCACTTCCTGCACGAGAGACACATCGTGCACAGCGACCTCAAGTGCAACCAGATCCTCGTGAGCAAGGACGGCGTGGCCATGCTGACGGACTTCGGCCTGAGCTTCCTGGCCACGGAGCAGAGCGGAGACGAAGAGACGGTCGGAGCCATCCGCTGGAAGGCGCCCGAGGTCATCCGCAAGGACAAACCCGTGGCGCCCAACGCGCAGTCGGACGTGTACTCGTTCGGCATGTGCGTGGTAGAGGCCGTGACTTGTGACGTGCCGTGGGGTCAGCGAGTACCCGATCCAGTAGTGACGTTCCACGTGACTCGACAGAAGTTCATGCCTCGTCCGAAGGCGTTCAAGAGCGACGCGCAGTGGGAATTGGTGCTGCGTTTGTGTGCGTTTGAGCCTTCGCAGCGCATGAAGTTGGCGGACGCGATTGAAGTGATCAGAGGCTTCGCGGAGGAGGAGCGATTCCAGGAGAAGCTCCAGATGATGATGGACGGAGAGGACGACGACTTGAGTGATATTGGATTGGGTCTGAAGGAACCGCCAAAACTCGCGAAACCAACAGTGGGGAGTATGCGTGCCATGACGGAGATGAAGTCACTTAGCAGATCGATCCGTTCGAGGCGTGTAGTGGAGCGTTTGGTCGCAGCAGCTTAGAATTACACGGAACTGCAGATCGCCCCGCCCAAGCGGAGTTCACTTTTCTTTTCGAGTTTCGAGTGATCGCGATTCGCGTGTTTGACGCGGTCTCGAGGGGCAACTACGAAGGAGTATATTGTATAGGTCTTGAGAATGAATATACTGGCGTTATCCATGTTTTCCTAAACCTAGAGGCCACAGGCATGCACTCGTTCGCGACTTAACCGGAATGCTGGCCTTGCAGCGATGTATACGTCGCCACGTACAGTGGAAAGGAAACAGGGCTGTTCTCCTCTTTGATCACCACAGGGCGCAATCGGAATCCCTCCATTCTTTCGACCATCTCTTGCTCCGCACTCGTGTTGGTGTGACTTCTTTTAGTTTTTTCGTCACCACCACACAGAAGCGCCATGAAACACACCTTTTTATCCTCGTCAATAAAAGGTTGTGCAAACTTCATCAGAACACTTGCCTCGCACATGTGTGTTTCAGCCATCGTCAGCTGCAACAAGCAAAACCGCTCCTCCGTATAGAGCAAGTCCTCGCCGTTGGGCGCCTTAAGCTTCCCCACAAAGTTCTACTTTGCAACCGCATCAATTGTTTCAGGCGGGGATCCAGTAGTCCGTCTCGTCAGGGTCCTTGGCCCACTCTTCCATCATCGCCGCGTATGCGTCCAGCGTTTCACCTTCACGCTTGACATTGAGTGATTCGCTCAACCCGGTCGAAAGACTGAATTTTACCGTGCCCGTATCTTCACGCATGATACGCAGGTTGTCCGTCTTAGGCGTCCGCTTCACGTTGTCGTACTTCATGTAGGATATGCCAACCGATTTATGGTTGGTTACATGGGAATGAAAAAGTTGTTCAAGCACAATTCCTTGGAGGCGAGGGTCGTTCAGATCTTTTGCAAGCTCAAGGAGCCTCTGGAAGTAGTCGGGTTTCGTAAGTGTCAACAGGTATTCCATCGCCATCTTGGAAGTAACAAGCGCTTTCCAGCGAGATGGTGTAGTATACGACTTCGGGTCTGCAAGATCCGATACTCCCATACCACGAATACAGGTCGTCTGCTTCACGCCACCTTCTCCCGTGGAGATAAACTGCCCAGACGTCGCCAGCAGCATGTACATATTGCCCACATCTTTTTCGTTGAGCTGGTCTTGATTCAACCCGTCAAGAGCAAACCAGCATCTAGGCAAATCAGCCGTACACTTCAAGCGCAGCGACTTGTAAACACTGCAATCAACGCCGTACCACTCGTAGTATTTGCCCTTGTCGAACAAACGTGTAACTGGTAGGTCGTTGCTCCCACCTCCAACACGGCGGTGCCACACAACTGAAATTGCCTCCACAAGTGCCAAGTAGAAGCAGACCAACGCTAAAATGCAGCTCTTGCCCGTTCCTGGGCTTCCCATGAGTATGAAATGTTCCGTGGGTTCTCGTCGTGAAAGCGTCACTTCTAAAAACTCCTTCAAGTTCTCCAGCACACACAATATCTCCTTCCGCACGAAAAACTTCGGTCCAGTAAAGCCCACAATATCCTCGATCTCTGGAATATCCTTCCCCCCCCCCCTCGCCGTCGTTCCACTTGAGCAACTTGGAGAAGTCCCCATCATTAGGCGGTAAGGCTCCAACTCTTAAAGCAGTAGCTTTCAGAGCTTCCACATCGCCGACGGCACTTGCTGGCTGTCTGTCTTCAGGCGCTTCGTGGTATTTCTGGGTAATCCACTAGCACGTGAATCAGCCCGGGTGTGTGTTCAGAGGTCCTCTATTTACGTTTGTTTAAACTATAGAGTCCTGATATCGCTGTAGACTGAGCCTAATTGACAAACGGTGTTGGGATAATTCCTCCTCCGGCGAAAATTGTTCTTGCAGGTAGTCCCATAGCGTGGCAGGCAGGTGCTCTCGAAGTAGTACAGCATTGGTAAACTGAGATAGTTGTCGCAATTTGAGAAATCCCCTGATCGCTTTGTAGCTGGTTTCCACGCTATCGAGACAACGTCTTTAAGCGCTTGGTGCGTGGCATTCTGGGCTCGAGCCGACTTGATCATTGGTTGGATGCCTTGGACACAAAGAGAGACTGTAGATAGTTGAGCTCGCTGCTTTAGCTGATGCATGGCTCGGGCGATGAGCTGAATAGCCATACTAGTTTCCGTGACTGGCTCGTTCTTTTGGGCAAAACCAATGGCAATTATTTCTTGTGGGTCGTTCCCCAACACCACCCAAATACCTCTTCGCCCTGGTAATCCTTCGAATTTCACAGAGTGAAAAGTGAGAGTCCAGCGCTGAATTGCGATCGGCCTGTCTGAAGGTTGAATTGCCAAGAAAACCGTGTAGCACTGGTCCAACCGAAAACTCGCTTCTTTGGTTGCTGGACGTGAAGCCATTCCCCGGATGACTGCATGCGTCTGGAAATCAGCTGCCTTCCACAAGATTCGCTTAGCTTCTTGTGGCGGTACTTGATCTCCGTCAAAGACTTCTCTATTTCGCATCAGCCAAAGCGTGCATTGAGTACATGTCGTCCAAATTAGCCACAAAATCCTCATAGCTTCATCCTGCCCTTTTCTCCAGCACGAAATACTCTTCATGGCTTCGTCAAGAAACGTTGGTGAAACCTCAGGTTGCCCGGGTATACCCTTGACGTTCTGAAAGAGCGACTTCAGATCATCCGACGGATATATTTGTCAAAAGCTCGCCTTGCCGAACTCGTCCAGTCCGCGCAATAGAAAGGATTCCAGGTCGTCGCCGGTTTTCACCCAATCACCATTCTCCCCCTTCAGCTTCGCCAGGTAGAGTCCCAGGAACTATATTGCAACCACGGATTTATATCCTGGTTGATGTCCTAGACGTGGTCCGGGATTTGTCCAGGACGTAAGATACTAAATTACACGCAATACTTTCCCCTTTTCGCGAGGACGACACCAGCAGGACGAACCAGCTGGTTTCCTCATTGCTTCAAGCGGTGCTCGAAGGTAGACAAGCGCGCGGCAGTGCCACCGCGGCATCCACTCGTGCGAGCTTTTCACCCCCGATTTAGGCTCCGTACATTGCAAACTGATGTGCGTTAGTCGTTATCCCTGCATGTGCGATAGCAGAACGAAGCACAGATCATTACCTTCATGACTTTATGAAATACCTTGAAATCCTTATAACCAAAGGTCGTCTCAATTCGCACGGGAATCTGTGGCCTTCGTCCTGATCGAGCTGTCTCCTGTGTAGCAGTAGACAGTTATGCCGAGACAGCGGGCAATTCGACTTTCACGACGTCGAGCTGGAGAAAATAAGCTCGAAATTGTTATCGTTGGGTGGCGTATCTACATGTAGAAAGAAGTGCAAGAAGTGTACGTGCTGAGGCAGCTACAAAGTGTATCATGCACCGGCCACATAATTGCTTTGAGCCGCATGTAATATACTATATAGAAAAGGTTACTAACTAGTTAGTAGTCCTATAGCGAGGTGAAAGCGGGGTAAGTGCTCCTACAACAAAATCGCTCTATTAGCGTCTCGTAAAGCTTTCACGTAGTAGCATCTGCGTGTAGTTTAGCGGGCGGGCGCAACATTTGCGACTTCGACAAGGAAGAACCGGTCACCAGCAACCGTGGCCTACAGCGTGAAGTAGTTAGTGGATCGGTACGTCCAAGGCCATTCACAAACCGGCGTAGATGTTCGCTACGTTTCGGGAGGACTACATGATCGGCGTTGAAACGGTCAACCGTTGATCGTTGATCATCAATGGGTTCGAGTGCACGCGGACCAAAAGGCTCGACAGGGTGTGGACAGTGTCGCGCCCAGGACTTGACTGACGCAGATCTCCATGAAGATGCGATTTGTCGAGTGCTTCGGCTCGATTCACCGGTCTCAGGTACTACTCGCCCCCAGCATATCAGTCCTGCCCAGGGCATCAGTGCCTGAAGCGAGTTTGTACAATTGTCGTCCACGGCAAGGCCCCTTTCTTCGAGAACGAGTACGAGAATGAGCTGGGCGAGGGCCAAAACGTATTCAAGTCGACTTGGACGAGGAGCACTCCACTTCATGCAGACCACACGTCGAGCCCCATCTCGCGGTCGATAAGTGTGCATTTTTGCATTCTTAGCCAGCAAAGAAGTCCGGGTGGTTCCACATATCCAAGTGCAGCTGATGATCTTTGACACTGTAGGGCTCAACGGATATGTGCTTTCGGACGGACGTCGAGGCTGCATACCACGAGCCATGGAGTACTGTACACGTACTGACTGGCGATGCGGTTGCCGTACAATCTCATAATTTATAGCGGAATAGTTGTTGGCGTGCCGTGATTCACGACACCCCAACAACACGGCTCGTTGGATGGCCACCAAGTTGAAGTGCGAAACCTTCATATTTATATGCGGTCCCTTTAGAACTTTATGTGCGTACTATACCGAAAAGGCACAAAACGGGTGTCTCGCTCCAGCTTAGAACTTACCGCCGCGGCAAGAAGCAGTAGTCCTGGAAGCGCGAATGTGTGAGATGAAGTAAGGCAAAGACAGTTCTTACAGGTACTTGTAACTGGTTCAAATAACGTCTCTAACCGGTTCAACTCACGTTTGCTTACGCTCCAAGACGTGACCAGGACACGTCCACTCCAAACACCTCAGATGCAGATCCTCGGGAAGATTCGTGCGTATCTTACCCATATGCCTGGTCAGTTCCGAAGATGAAAAACAGATACATTAGATGCAAGGTGTTGAGATCTTCGCGTACATGCAGGGAGTTGTTAGCTTGAATAACGTGCAGCCAAGACCACTTACAGCCAACGAACACGCAAGCATCGCTGTCTGACCACGCATTAGCTGTTCTTACCCGTATTCTGCTAAATTAAAGATGAACTCCCGTGGTGTCTCAGCCTCTTAGTGCGTGGCGGATGACTACACCACAGTGTCTTTTCGCTTGCTTTGTTTTCCATTAAGATAAATGGTTGTCACTTACCTTAAAACTCCACTCTATCGACAGTGCTATCTAACGAAGGTCTTCTCAATGAGCTTAAACTCGACGCATGAAGGGCGGCAGTGTAGACATTGACAAACTTATCTCTGCTAAACTCGCCACCTTCTGGGCCGATACTGACAGCTCGTCCTTGAACGCGATGGACCTCGTTCTTAGGCATAACCTGCTCGGCAGCCATCCCGTCGCAACACTAGAAGCATTATCCGATTGTAATGCAAGTAGACAAGCTTGCACTTCGTCTTGTGACCTCGTCGTGATCGCTCAGCACAATTGATTGACCACCGGATGAGCTCGACAACCTCGGGTGGTTTTCAGGCGACGCAGCGTGCATGACCGAAGCGCACAGTGTGGCGGTACTGAGGGCGCCATCACGGGTGGCTTACGGATGGAGTAGCTGCGGGGTATGAAGTTCAGCAGCGGCTTGCACTGACAAGCAAAGTAGTGCCCATGATTTCAATCCTGGGTCGCAACACCTGCCTTTTTTTCCACTGTGGCGAACAATGTTCTCAGGCAGCTGACGTCTTAGCCAATAAGAAATGCACACAAAATATAATGATTTTAAGCCAATCAAAATTCACAACCGACCTCAATGAGAGGTGAACCTCTCATTGAGGTCGGTTATGAATTCAACATTACAAGTACGATAGTCGTCGAAGCCGTCAACCTTACAAGTACCTTACTTGTTAAGTGACATGGGGCTGGGTGGGATCCTACAAAATCGCCAAAGATGACGGTGGGGAAGTGCGGGCGCTGACAAAGACGAAGGTTCGTGCAACCCAATAAAGGGGACCTGCAGGATATAGCTTCGGCCGTCGCTAACCTTGGTATTCAGTTGACTTGGATCTCGTCGTCTAGAAGACAACGAGACGGTATTGGGGGCCTATAATAACCAAGGTGCGGACGGCCAGAAGGACAAAATACGAAAATACCCAAAGATTATGTCAGAAATACCCACAGAAGGACATCAGCACCATTGCAGAGAAAGGAGAAATCCGAGTCCGGGTCGACAAAAGGACGACAGCCAACAGCACTCTTAATGTGCAACCAGAACCTCAAATAGCAACTTCAAGTCAGCACTTAAGTTGCAAATTCGCAACTTTCCGCCACCTGTCACACATTCTCTCAGCCACATCAGGCCCCGCAACGCAGCAGTGCAGGCAGGAAAGAGATCGATCTGTACGGAGGGATGGAGCGCCGTAGAAGGGCCTGTGGTGGCGCTGAAGCTCCCTCTCTACGGTACGAAGAAGGACCAGTAACGTGTTAATGATGAAACGTGCTAACAGAAGTGCTATGTGTTGCTTCGTCTTATGCAGGGCATTCAAGGGCATCTCGTGATGGAGCGTCACCACAGCGGACGTGCAGAAGTGCTCTCCGCTCCCGGTGGAGGTGAGAAGGGGCTTCCCGGAGCGCGAAGTGGGGCTGGACGTGGCTGCGTGCCTCAAAGCTGACGACGTGGACGCAGAGAGTCGCTGCGTCGGTCGGAGGAAACGTGCAGCTGGAGCAGGCGGTGCAGCAGGTAGCGCTCTTGCAGGAGCGGCTGCGACAGAGTTGTGCAAGGTGGTTTGTGGGGCGGCTACGCAGTGGCGACGGCTTGCTGCAGCCCCGCGTGGTATGTGTGCACGCCTAGCTACGGTGAGTCTACTGTCTGAAGTTCCTATGTTAGTTCTGATTACTAAACTGAATGTGTATTGCGGATGTGTGCGATTAGATTGATAGACAATGGAGGACCATGCATGATAAGGATCAATGTTGACGCAGCGAGATCAGCAAGGTATTGCAACAAATGCGAGTTTATTTGACGAACTTATTGCTCTTCTAGTTTGTGCGAGTTTATTTGCCTATTGATCTTGTTCACAGGCGCGCTCGTTAGTTTTTGTCTAGTGCGTAGCCATTTTGTGACCTTCTCACAGTGGAGCGTCTTAGCCCGCCAAGGGCACTTGGCGTTGGGAGTTTCCTCAGTGCAGGACCGGCAGCTACAGCGACGAAGCCGGTAGCGCATGTTATGCGGCTCGGCCACGGTGCACGGAACTAACTCGCTGTTGGTAACCTTGGAAGGCTTGATCGTCTCCAGCAAGATGCTGGCGTCTTTGTTGGAGAAACCGATTGCGAGAGGAGTCCAGAGGAGAGCTCGTGGCATGGCGATGGGTAGTAGGGCGGCAAGGTGCGGCGAGTACTTGTTGCTTAGGCTTTCGAAGTATGAAGGGCCCTTTAAGGTGCTGGTGGGATGGCTGGCTGTGCTAGCGTACCAATCCTTCGTGCATATCGTACCTAGTTGGGTGCTGCTGTGTGGTGTTGGGTGGCCGTTGTATAGTTTGTATACACGTGTCAATTTTTAGGTATTGATGGTAGTTTGTCGGCCAAAAGGCAATCTCCAATTATAGTATCGCCAGTATAGACAAATTAAAGCCCCCGTAACCTGGACATCTTACGTTTTCAATCAACAAATTTTGATCTCTCCAATTTCCAGCCAGCAATGGGATTTGAACACGAATGCGTATCGCGTGCTCGTTACACCTATTTACCCACTCTGATTGGTTTAAAATGCGTCTGTCATTGGCCCTGGCCCTCACAATTTGACTCCCTCAACCCACAACAAGCAGCTGACGATGACAAGCAACCTGTGCCTCCCTGCTACTGCTGGACCTGTATTACAGACTCCGTCCCGTGGTCGCCTCGATGGAGACCAAGTTCGAAGTGCCTGCACTGCCTTTTGAGCAGCACATGAAGACGCGACAGGCGCTGAACCATCTCCCGGATCTACTGCTGGACGGATTTGCTAAGCTACTGGACGAGAAATGCGTGAGTCAGCAAAGTGTAACGCGAGAAAACCTCAGCTCGACGATCCGTGTACTGCTAGAGGAGGCTGGACTATGGCAGGCGCAGCAGCGCATTCAGCAAGAGGCAGCCCAATCAAGTTCAACCAGCATCGTTTATCACTGGCAATCAGATGGGCGCTTTCATCGGATGCCGCAGGATTTTGCTTTTCCACAGCTAGATGCGCTAAGTGTGTGGCGTATTTGGTGGCTTGGCCACCCTGCTGCCGGATACCCGCCTTTTCGGGCGCTGCAGCCATCTGACTTCACGAAGACCAACCGCAAGATGTTTTCGGAATGGACGGTGCTGGTCCGACATATCGTCGCTGGTGTGGAGGCAAGTACAGGGGCGAGAATGCAGCGACCAACTTCACAACGTGTAGCCGACGATCTCTACCAACTCGGCATAGCTCATGTGCCGATGAAGCCGCCTACACATGGGGCGAAGCAACGGCCCGAGCGAGCAGTAACCACTCCGGCAGGCAATCCACGAGTCGAATCCGGAGGCGAGGCGTGTGCTGTTTCGTCACAGGAAGCGCACTAGAAGCACCAAATAGAGGTTAACAGCATTAACAAGGCGTTAGTCGTGATTACGCAGCACATTAGCTCGTTCGATAGATGCTTGTTCGTCTTACCTCGCCGCCGTTCCCGTCGAAGATGCACGACAATGGGATCTGGCGCCCCGCAGAGTGAGTACTGCCCTGTAGTGATGAGAATATTAGCCAATCAGGCGACGTTCGTTATGCGTGTCACGACGGTTACGGGATCTCGACACAAGCCATTGATGGAGGCCGTGCTATAAGTTAACTGTAAGGTCGTTGCCGTATTTTTGTAGCCATGAACGACTGTAGCCATATGTACCGAAACACTAAATTCATGTACCCCTACACCACTCCTGTCATTTGGGCCGCACTCGTTCCCGCCAAGCAGTCGACTCCAAGCAAGCAGTAGATAACCTCGAGGTTGCCATGGCGGTCAAGGTGGGCGACACGGTGCTGGCGTACCACGGCGTGATGATCTACGACGCCAAGGTGCTGAAGGTGGACAATGGACAGGGCGTGCAGCAGGAGCCGGGCGCCGGCGGCCAGGCGTCGGCCAGCACGCAGTACTACCTGCACTACCAGGGCTGGGCCAAGAAGTGGGACGAGTGGGTGCGCCACGACCGCGTGCTGGAGGACACGCCCGCCAACCGCGCGCTGCAGCAGAAGGCCAAGGAGGACATGGCCAAGGCCAAGAAGGAGAAGCGCCTGGCCAAGAAGAAGAAGATCAGCTCGGCCGGCGTGGACGCGCCCAGCGCGCGCAAGTCGCCGTTCAAGCGCCTCAAGCGCAGCGTCGAGAACGACTACGAGGAGTTCCCGGGCCCCGGGGAGGGCGGCAACAGCGACGAGACCACCTCGGCCAAGCAGATCAACATCCAGATGCCCTTCTCGCTCAAGAAGCAGCTCGTGGAGGACTGGAAGAACGTCACGCAGGCGCCGCACAAGCTCGTGCCGCTGCCCCGCAAGCCCAACGTCAGTCAGGTGAGGGCTGCAATTATGTGTATGATAGGGTGAGCTGCTGGCCTGGTTGGATGCTGATTTGTTGGTGGACAATCGACAGATTATCAAGACGTACTTGGAGTTTAAGAAGAGCAAGGTGCACGAGGGCGAGGCGAGCGAGGAGAAGGAGTACAAGAACATTGAGGGCATCATGCAGGGCGTGCAGTCGTACTTCGACCGCGCGCTGAGCTCCATCCTGCTCTACCGCATGGAGCGCCGGCAGTACCAGGAGCTCCGACAGAACCAGAGCGAGGAAGTGCCGCTCTCGCAGATCTACGGCGCTGAGCACTTAATTCGGCTCTTCGGTGCGTGCTGTCATGGTTTTATTGTGGCAGAATGGGAGGGAGGACTGATGCGTGCAAATGCTTTGCTGCCTCGACAGTGAGATTACCTGTGCTTCTGGCCGGCTCCAACATCGCTCCGCGCGAGCTGCACCAGATCCAGGCGAGACTGAACGACTTCCTCAAGTTCATCCAGAAGAACTCGGCCGCCTGGTTCGTCACGGAGTACGAGGCTGCGTCGGACAAGTACGTGGAACAGGCCACTGCTGCGGCCTCTTCATCCTCGTAGCGGGGCAGTAGCGGGGCAGAAGTATGTAGCCATCTTTCGCAATGTCAACTTGACTTTTACACTTTTCGTACCTACTCGCACAATGGCTACATCTCCATTCGAGCCGTTACTTCCTGAAGAGCCAAAGTCTCCGATATGTCAGTGACGCACTGGACCTGGACCATGCTGCTGTACGCCATCACGAGCTGGCAGGCGTGGGTTCTGGCCGCTTGCATGGTGTACGCTGCCTTCCAGCTGCACTACCTGCCCGAGGGCCTGGCCAGAGTCGTGGCGCGCGTGTACTTCTACCCGACATGGCCGCTCACGTACCTGTCGCGCCGGAAGAACTACTGGACGCTGGTGGACTCGCACGTGCTGCTCGGGGCTGCACCAATGTCCTTCATGCCGCATGTGGACGCTCTGGTGTCTCGCGGTGTCCGCGCGGTTGTCAACCTGTGCGACGAGTACGCGGGCCCCGAGAAGCAGTACAAGCGCCAGCACATCCAGCAGCTGCGTCTCCCGACGGTGGACCATTGCGAGCCGTCCTTGGCGGCGCTGGAGGCGGCTGTGGCCTTCATCCGCACGCAGAAGCAGCGAGGGGTCCGGACCTACGTGCACTGCAAAGGGGGCACGGGTCGTAGTGCTGCGGTCGCTTTCTGCTGGCTGGTGGCCAACCGGGGCATGACCCCACGGGAGGCTCAGGACTACCTCAACGAGAAGCGTCACGTACGCAAGTCGCTCTACCTGCAGCCTAATGTGCTGGCGTTCTGCAACAAGATCCAGACTCCTAAGGTGTCGGACTCAAAGGCGTCGGAAGGAGGAGACGCGGACGAGTGAGGCAGATACAGTAAAGGTAGAGTTAAAGACCGGGAAGGTACAACACGGTTGTTTCTTGCTACAACGTAGCCATGATGCTCAAAATGCAGTGGCGGGCTCTTGCTTCGACTCCTTCGGCGTCTTGGGGGCGACGTCCTCCACGTCGAACGTCATGAAGCCTTTCTTGTGCATGCGGTCGGCCAGTTTGCGGCCGAAAGCGAACGCGGGCGTGTAGAAGCCGCCGGTGACCGCTGGAGTATCACTTGGGTCGTCGCTGCCGTCACGCAGCTCGCCCTTGACCAGACACAAGGCGCACTCCGTGATCATCCGCATCGTCATCCAGTAGCCGGGGTCCCCCTTGCCCACTGCCTTCAGCGTTGCTGCCAGCTCGCCGTCCTCCGTGAACCCATTGCCATCGACTATGAAGTAGCCATTAAGCAGCATGTCTTCGGTCGGACCTTCACCCGGAGCAGGGGCCAGCTTCTGCAGCAACTTGCGCGTCCACTTGAAGTAGAGCATGCCCGAAAGCACCATAGAGACAGCAGTGATCAACGCCTGGGTGAGCACTCCACCTGTCGCGAACCTCTCGCTGTAGATGAAGCGTGGGCCGTAGAGGTTCTTGAAGAGGTAGTTGGATCGGTGCACGACAGCTTGGTCCATCAACTGACCGGGGAACGCGGACGTCCAGCTCTTCGCAGTCTCGTTGTAGCGCACGGACAAGCTGACGGAGTTTGGAGCCACGAGCCCCTCAGCTCGTTTCAGGTTTATCGTCTTCTCGTCCGTCAGCACGAACGGGTTGCACGTGTCCGAGAGCTCCTTGCTGGTCTTGCCTTCCACCATTTGAATCACTGAAGCGAAGGTGCCTCCACTGACGCCGCCCTTGGTCTCCCTGATGAGGAAGTCGACTCGTCCAGTCTTGGCGTCCTTGCCGTAACGTTTGCGGATTTGAGCTGCGAGCAGGTAAGCGATGAGATCCGACGGCGCCGAGTCCACACCACACGAGTTCACAACGATAGCGCCGCTCTGCGCTGCCACGTCTTGATACTTGCGGATCATCTCGCGCACCCACAACATCTCGCCAGTCAGGTCGCAGTAGTGCACGCCGTTCTCAGCACACAACTTGACCAGCAGCTCGCCGTACAGCGCGTAGGGTCCCACCAGCGACAGCACCACCTTGGTCTGCTTGACCATGCTCAACAGAGACGCCTCGTCGTGACTATCCGCGATAAGCGTCGGGATCGCCTCAATCAGCTTGCTGTCCACATCCGGAAGCCTGAGCACGAGCTCCTCCTTCAAGGCCGCCAATTTGCTAGCACTGCGAGCTGCCAGCGCCCACTTAATCGCGGTCGGGGAGCCCAGCGCTGATTCCGGCTCCGTGATCAACTGTCGCGCCGCCACTGCGCCCGTGAAGCCCGTCGCGCCGAATACCACCACGTCGAACTGTTTGCTCATGACTTGAAGCGTGTCTTGAATCTCTTGACGAAGGTGAATTCGAAACTGGTGGTCTTGGACCTTCATGTCATGCCGGAGGTATCGGATACCGTTGGACGGACCTCTACGCGGGAAGCTCTGGCCTTGTTGAAGCTGTCAAATCATCAATCCAAGTGATCACTACAGTAGCAAGTCCAAGTGGACAAACCATCGCATAATAATTCATACATATTGATTTTGGGCAAGACGACGAGACCTGTGCTCTCACGTACATCAGTTCTCGTAAAAGTTGCCAAACCTGTTGTACATCAGCTCTCGGTCGTACTTGGCACGAGCGCTTTCGTCGGAGAGCACAGTGTACGCGGCTGTCATTTCCTTGAACAAGTCCGCGTGAGTCGACGTCTTCGCTTTGTCTGCGCACAAACAAAGCAACAGTAGTTAGTGATCACACACGACCTTGCTATCAGCAGAAGCATCCTCACCTGGGTGATACACGAGCGCCAGCTTCCGGTACGCCTTCTTGATTTGGTCGCTCGTCGCTGCCTTCTCGATCCCCAGTACGTCGTAATGCGTGCGGCGCTGGGTCTTGGGCGCCATGAACGAGGCCCTGCTACTAGCGCCAGCACCGGACGACTGGTACCTGCTGCCGTAACTGCTCCCGTTGTTGTTGCTGCTACTGCTGCTGCTACCTCCTCGCCGGAAATTGTCGTAGTACCTGCTATCGCTCCAGGACGACTCCTCCCAGCGATTCGACCGCCTCTGGCGCTGCTCGCGTTCGGCTCGCTTCTTGGCCGCCTCTCGTTGCCTCGCTTCTTCCCGAGCTTTGGCGATCGCTGCCTTCGCCTCGTTGCGCTCACGACGAACTTCAGCAGTCGCCTCGGTAGGCAAGTCATTGGGCTGTTCACGCAGATACCGGTCGAAGTCCTTGACTGCTTCGTGAAACATCTTCAACGCGACATGGCAACGCGCTCGCCGCAGCAACGCACGCGGGTACTGCGGCTTGCGCTGCAGCGCTTCGTTGCAGTCCAGGATCGCCGTATGATATCGCTCCAGCCCCATTTGAGCTGCCGCGCGATTGCAATAAATAACAGCGCAGAACTCCTGGTGCTGCGGGTCGATCTGCCCCGCCTCCGAGTAGAACCGCACTGCTTCTTGATACTCGCCTCGCTTGAACCGCTCGTTTCCGTTGTGCTTGAGCTGCTTCATCTCTTGCCACTGCCGCTTCAGTTGAATCACGTTGGAGCTGCAGGGGGCGACAGTCTCCAGGGCGTTAAGCAACCCTACGGCTTCCTCAACGTTGTTCTGGTAGTGCAGCGTGGTTGCCCACAGCAGTCCCAGATCGATGCCGACGATCGTGATCTTCGCCACGGTCTTCTCTTTGAGCGACCTGGAGTTATTCCCACCTCTGCCTTCCGGAGTGGACAACTTCCCATGACTTGCTTGCTGCTTCTCAACGATCGCGTTGCAAAACTGGATGATCTGATCGAACTCCCTGCCAAACACAAGCCACGAACAAACACACGAGTGTTAGGTAAAAGTAGATGGCTTCCGCATATAACAAAGAGTACGTACTTCTGATGTAGCAGGATGCGAACCTTCTGGACCTGCAGCTTCCTGCAGCTTGGAGCAAGCCCCAGCGCGCTCTCGGTATGCACTAGTGCCTGCTTAAAGTCGCCGCAGTCAACGTACCACTTGATTTCTCCTTGCAGATTCGTCAATTTCTTGATGGTCGCTTCCATCTTGGCGAGCGAAGCGAGGTCTGCATGATCACTGCTGCTGAATTCACCATTGTTGCCTTGCATCAACTGCTTCGCAGTGTCGAGATTAGCTTGAGCGTGAGCAGTGTCTCCCAGCAGAACTTGGATACGGCCCAGTCGAAGGTACGCGCGAGCATACGTCGCGTCCAACTCGATCGAGCACTGACACTCACGCTGCGCTTCTGAGATCTGCATCAGCATCATCAGAGACGCTGCTCGGTTCGCATGGAGCTTGGCCTTATCAGTCCTGAGCTCAGGCGTGTCCAGCAGCGGGTAGTGATGCACGTTAGACTCGAGAGCCTCGATACTCTGGCGGTAGTACTCTGCTGCATCTTTGAAGCAACGTGATCCATGCGCAACGCCACCCAGACGCTTCAGTTCCAGCCAGTCACGCTCGTCTTCGCTCTCCATCTCATCGTCACCCTCGTCCTGATGAAAATGTATAGTTGGCGGTGGGGCAGACTTGGCACGCTCTGCAGCAACCCCAGCTCCACGCAGAGCTGCTCGGAGAATCCGGCGCGACCCAGCGAAGGCAGGACGAGCGCTGCCTCCGTTTCCTTGCTCAGCCTTGCCAGGTTGACTTGACTCCGTTGTTGGGAAGGAAGATTGGCTGGCGCTGTGAGACTGTGGAGGCTGGTGCTGGGACGGGAAAGCGAACGCACTAGAACTGTTCGTTTTCCCGTTCTGTGGGGCCGCCGCAGTACCAAAGTGGGTGCTGCTGGGGGCTGCATGTGCACTGTCGAGACCTTTCTTCGCTGTGGGCCTCACGACATTCGGCTGAGCAGGCGGTGCAAAGCTCGAAGTAGACGGGTGACTTTGGAACGTCGTAGGATCGGCGGGCGGACTACGTCCATACGTGCGGCGCAGACGAGCGTTCTTGCGGCTACGCTGGTTGTGCATACCAAACGGAGATGGCGTTGTTGACGATGACGACGAGGAGGCTCCAGGGGATGGCTCAGGTTCGGTGGCACCGAACTTGGGGTCCTTCCTTGGGCTGTTCTTTTGTGCGAACATCCCGCTCCTTCTGGGGCGCACTCGCGAGTTGTGTCGCGAGCTCTTGTGTGCAGTAGCGCTTCCCATTTGAAATCCACCGTTAGCTGCTGCTTGTCCTGGCAGGAATGGATCGGCTGCTTCTGGCTGCGACTGGGACGTTTTCACTTCACAGAATTCAAACGGACGGCTGGGGGTGCCATTGCCAAACAGAACCTGTCTGGGCGTCGTTGCCGGAGCGGGGGCACTACTGGCTGAGCCGAATACACCACTCCGAGAAGGCGATGGATCTGCGGCCTGAAAAGGATTCGCAGCCGAGTTGCCAAACGCAAACGATCCATTTGCAGAAGATTTGGCCGAAGGAACAGCAGAGGGGACCTTACCCGCGCCATTTCCCTGCGTTTTGTCACCTCCAACCCGGACAAAAGGGTTCTCTGATCGCTGACGAGTAGCCGTCGCTTCCTGGAAAAGTACCGAGCCAAACGAAGCTGCAGATGTTGTCGTGAACGGTGAGGCACTCGGGTTGCTGGTAGCCTGTGGAGCAAACGATGCGCTTGAGTTAGACTTCTTTTTCCGGCGATCTGAGACTCGAGAGGGTCCAGCAACACCAGTCGAAAAGAACGCGGAAGCTGTCGTGGGACCACTGCTCCCAAATGAAACTCCAGCAGCGGGAACTTTCGCCGTCCACGAGCTTCCTGCTGTTGTTGTGCTAGTTCCAGTTGAGGCCGACCCCGACGAATTAATCGATTCACTGCTGCTTTGTCTTCCCCAAGTACCGGTAAACGTCCTTCGATTCTTGTAGCCTTGTCCAAACAGAAACTCGGCGTTAGTCGGTGTCTTGCTCACGGGTTGCGTCTGTGGGCTTGGGCTTCGCATGTGCGTGTCGTCCCCATTGGCTGCAACCTTCGCCGCACTTGTTGAAGGCTTTGGCCTTGAAGCCGAAGGCTTCGACGTTGCATGCCCGACGAAGTTGTACGGCTTCGGCCCCTTGCCGCTTTGACCGAGAGTAAAACCGCCATCAACAGGAGGGAAAGGAGCTGCTGTCGTGTGTCGCGGAGTAGGACTACGCATGTGAATATCATCTCCAGCCTCCCCAAACGCTGCCGACCCAGTCTTCCCAAACGTAAAATCCGGAGTTTTCGCTTTAGACGCCACATCGGATTGCGCCGTGGCGAACGAAAACACTGGAATCTCCACTTGTGGCGGCGGGAAACTGAACGCTGTGTTGGGACTTTGTCCCGCATTGACCGGAGCTTTATCGCGTTGAGACGATGGCTGCTGCATCGTAAAATCTGTCGCCGACGTCGTCGACTTCTGCTCTCCTGTGAACAGCGTCGAGAACCTTGGTGAGACCCCCGTCGGGCGATGCTGAGCAGTGGGCGTGTGCCTTCTACGTAGGGGCGTCTTCTTCTTCCCCCCAACGCCGGGAGCGAACGCAGCCTGGAAGCCCCACTCGCCAACCTCCACGTCGAAAAAGTTGGGCGTCTGCGTGTTATTGGGCTGCTGTTGGCTCTCCTGCTGGCCAGCAGTCTCCTTCTCTTCCTCTCCCTCTTTCTCCACATCTAGTTCATCATCTTCATCTTCAGTCTCCTCCGCATCTTCTTCTCTTTCTTGCTCCTCCTCCTCTTCATCTTCTTCTCTCACGTCCACACTGCGTCTCTTGAAGGGGTTGTCGTCAAAGGCCGCCTGCAGGTCTTTCCAGGCGTAGAACACGCCCTTCTTCTCCTCCTTCTTCTGCTGCTCCTCCGTCTGCGTCAGGTCAACAACGTCCGCGTCCTCCAACTCTTCTCCACTCTCCAAGTGCTCGTCGAAAGAACGAGAACCGTTCTCGTCCGTCGTCTGCGGCTGCTCCTCGTCCATCTCGTTGTCCGGGTCCAAGTCGTCCGTGTCCACAGAACTCGTGGCCGAATCCACCTCCGAAGGAGCATAGTCCTCATCATCATCCTCCTCTTCTTCTTCTTCTTCTTCTTCTTCCTCTCCTTCTTCTTCGCTGCGCGTGGGGTACGAGAACGAGTCGCAGGGGCTGGCGGGCGCCTCGTCCACCTCGGACCACGGGCTGCCGTCCTCGGAGCGCGTGTCCCGCTCGTCGTCCGAGCTCTCCGGGTACTCCACGAGCCGCACCATGGTCGCCTGGAGGCGGCGCTTGGGTCCGTCGTCAGCAGTTATGGCGCGGTTTGGATGGCTTCGATATGGGCGGACGGGGCGACAGGTTGTGACTACTTGGTTTTAGTGACATATAACTTGATGTTTGTATGTGGCAGAGGTTGCAGATGCAAACAAAGGTTCGTATTTCGAGGGGATATAGTGGACAATGGTGCAACCGCTGCAGTCTTTTCGATACGTGCATGGTGTAGTGTAATCTAGGGCATGGGCGATCTTCTACGAGCGCTTGGGCTTCTTGGCGCCGCTCTTCTTGGCGGCCGCCGATGTCCGTCGCTTGGCGGTCTTTTTGCTGTCTGCGGGCGCGTCGTCGTCGCTGTCCAGCGCGTCTCCGGCCTGTTTCCAGGCCACGTCCTCGGCCGCCTCCACGTCCGCGTCGCCGGTTTGCCGCACGCGGCCCACCTCCGTGCCGTGCTGGTTGTCCCAGTCCTTGAGCTTGGCGCCCATCATGAAGTCGTCCTGCACCACGGACCACGAGCTCTTCTTGGCGGCAGCGGCAGACCTGTCCGTCGTCGACGTCGACTTCTGCTGCGACGCCTTGAGCAGCCCCAGGAAGTTGTCCTTGGACATCTCCTTCACCTTCTTGTCGTTCTTGTCCTCCCTCTTGCCGCTCTGGTGCTGGTGCTTCTCGATGGCATTAAACAGCGCCACCACTAACAACAAATTAGCAATAAAAGCACCCACACAAGTCAGCACCTACCCACTCTCGCAACAAGGGGTGCTTGGACGCACCTCCTTTCGTCGCGATCATGCGCAGCTCGCGGTCCTGCACAGCCGTCGTGTGGTCGGGCACGGCCATATCGTTCTGGTCGCGCTCGCGCTTCTCGGCGGCGCTGAGTCGCGCCGTCTTGGTCTCCTTCCTGTCGCTCTGGATCTCGCGCATGCGCGCGGTGGTGCGCTTGGCCAGGATGGGCTGCGCGTCCTCGGCCACGTTCTGGCCCAGGATCTTGCTCATGGCGTCGCCGAAGCCCACGGCGTCGTGGGTCTCTTCATTGCCCTCGTCGTCGGAGCTCTGGGGCTCCACGTCCTGCTCCTCTTCATTCTCCTCCTCGCCGCTGCTGCTCTGGCTCTGCTCGCTGCCGCTGGCTGACTCTGCGTCGGACGAGGCGGCGGCCTCGGCTTGCGGCTTCTTCTCGCCCTTGGACACGGACACCTCGGCCATGCTGCAACTTGGTCGTCAACCGTTGTGATGGCCACCAACCGATCGGAAAGGAATTGGTGTGTCATACACGTTTTTGGGTAAACATGGTGTAAAATTGAAGATTTACATTGAAGTTGCCGCGTACTCGCGCTACCATTGGTCGGCACCGACTGCCATCGGATGCTCACCACCCCAAGAACTTGCTCTTTCACAGCGTTAAAAGGGAGCGATCCCTTCTCAGCACAAAGCTACGAAGTAGTATTTATTGTGGAATCCGGAGGCGGCCAGAATCGTACAGGACAGGAAGCACAAACAGCTCAGCTCCATGAGCTACTAAAGTGCAGCTTCACTTACTCCATTGGAGTGGGCTGCTCGGTTTGGTGGGACTGGAGAATGGCTTGGATCTCGTATCGGTAGTTTAAGCGCGCTATCTCGTCAGCATTTCGGCCTGAGCAATCGGCCACATCGATCGCCGCGCCGTTGTCGAAGCAAGCGGACACTGGCTTCGTGGCCTCTATACTCAGCCTTCATTATTGCGGTTTGATCGTCCGCATCCTTCCCGTTCACGTCTGCGTCGTGGTTCACCAACAGTCGGATGATTTCGACGTGACCTTCTTCCGCGGCCAGCGTCAGAGCCGTTTGTCTTCATGTTTACTTGGGCTCCGTTGTCCAGAAGGAGCGTCGCGATCTCAGTGTGGCCCCTTTGTGACGCGATGATAAGGTGCGTCCACCCAATGCTACTCGCCACGTTGACGTCAGCTTTGAACTCCAGTAACGAGCGCGCTGCCTCGGTCTGTCCACGAAGCGTGGCTTCGTGCAGCGCCGTGTCTCCGTTGTCGTCTTGGACGTTCGGATCTTTGGCTCTAGACAGCAGCAGCCTGCAGGTTTCCAACTGCCCAGTAGCGAGTGCAGCTAAGAGAATAGGGCAGCCGGTGTGGAGTACTTCGTCCACTTGTCCTCCGTGCTCCAGGATCAATCGAACACAGTCGCTGTCTCCTCCTGACACAGCGAAGCCCAACGCCATGTCTCCGTTGGCTGTCTTAGCGTTCACGGAGGATCCAGTCTCCAAAAGAAAACCCACCACAGGAGCGTGCTTGCTCTCAGCTGCCGCCATAAGTGGAGTATTCCCGTATGAATCGGCGAGGTCGATGCTTGCACCATGACTCACGAGGGTGCGGACGACATCCAGATGTCCGAATATCGCAGCGATCAACAGTGCAGTCGACCCATCATCCGACACGGCGTCAATGACAGCTCCACCCTGTAGCAGAGCCTCGACCACATCGGGATGGCCATACTGAGCCGCTCCAGCGAGCACTCGGTGGCCGTTGTCGTACTGCTTATTGGTATCTGCCCCCTTCTCCAGTAGAAACCTTACGGTGCCACAATGCCCTTCGTATGCCGCAGTGATGAGAGCTGTGAACCCTGCGCCCCTCGTTAGCTCAATGGAAGCTCCTCTCTCCACTAACAGGCGGACGATAGCCAGGTGACCGTGCTGCGCGGCGGCTATCAGCGGAGTCGTTCCCTTGTCCGCGGCTTGGTCGATTACTGCTCCATATCCAGCAGAAGCTGAGCGATGTCCACAAACCCTTCATTGGCAGCCCAGATGAGCGCGGTGGAGCCATTACCACCCCTGCTGTTGACAGACACTTCCTTTTCAAGGAGAAAACGCACAACCTCGCTGTGTCCATTTTGTGTAGCAAGCCCCAGAACGGTGTATCCACGTTACTCTCCTGCCTCGACGTCGGCACCATTATCAACAAGAAGGCGCATAACAGCAGCGTGGCCATTCTGAGCAGCACAAGCTAGTGCTGTGAGTCCATTCCGATCTCGTTTCTCAATGTCTGCACCACTTTCCAGCAAGAATCGAGCGACATCAACTCGTCCGTGGATACAGGCACTGATGAATGGGGTCGCTCCTGAGTTTACTGGCAGATCGAGCTCAGCTCCATTCGCCAACAAATAGCGCGCAGCATCGACTTGTCCGTGTTCAGCAGCCCAATTCAAAGCGGGGTATCCGTCACTGTCGGCTCTCTTGATGTCAGCTCCCTTGGCCAACCAAAGCTTCATTGTCTCGACGTGGTCGTTCGAGGCAGCACCCATCAGCGGCGTCAAACGCACAGCTCTGTCGTGTGCAGTTGAAGCGGGTCAGGATGAAGTTGTCCTGGTTTTACTAAACGGAGGGGCAACGGTTGACGCCCCCGACCTCAGGGGACTACCCCACTCATTTTCGCAGCTGGAAAGGGCTACACCAATATCGCACGACGGCTTCTAGACGGAGGGGCTCGTGTTGATCTCGGTTCGGAGAAGGGAGTCTCCTCGTCGACTTTGTCGACAGCCGCCCCCTTCTCCAAAAGAAACCTTGCGACAGCGCCATGGCCATTCGAAGCAGCGTCCATGAGCGGTGTGACTCCGTAGTTGGTAGCTTGATCAACCACAGCTCCATTCTCCACTAGAAACTCCACAACGTCCAAGTGTCCGCGGTCTGCAGCCCAAAGGAAAGCAGTCGATCCGTACTCAATGAGTATTACTCATTGGTGTGGTGGATATCCGCTCCCTTCTCGAGCAGAAGCTTGATAACACCCAAATGACCGCTCTTAGCCGCACAGATTAGGGGTGTGTTGCCGTCCTCGCTCGTCTTCTTAACATTGTCTCCACTATTCAATAGGAGATGCACGACGTCGACTTTACCTCCTACTGCGGCGATAATCAACGGTGTGTCTTCCTCTTCGTCGGCCTTGTCGAGGTTCGCCCCATTCTCCAGCAGGAGTCGAACGATATCCACGAACCCTTTCCTAGCCGCGCAGATGAGAAGAGTCGTACCGTTTGAAGTCGTGAAGTTGATGTCCGCTCCGTTCTGCAGTAGAAGATGAACGACGTCCAGGTTTCCCTTTTCGACAGCAGCGTAGAGCGCAGATAACCCACTGGCATCCACCGCATTAATGTCGACCGCTTTCGTCAAAGCTTTCTTGATACCATCGAGATCTCCGCAGTTAGAGACCAGAATGAGCTTGTTGGCGTTCTCTATTTCGCCGTCTGTAGCCATGATGCGGACAACTTGGTTTCTTCACGGCGTTTTCGTTAGTGGGGATCGGAATGGAGTTAAGTGGGCACAAAATGCTAGGTACAGAGCGCGAAAATCTGTTGATCACTACAACACGGTGTGCATGCACCTGCTTTGGTCTCTGGATACTTGCCTGCTATCTCAGCATTCATGAGCAAACGTTCTTGCACTACTCCACCGACACGCTGTTCACTTCAACTTGGTCCATGCATATCCAGCAACCAAACTCTCCACCCAACGACCAAGGCCTATTCGTCTTGCTCTTTGCTGTTTCTCCCGGAATCACCTCCTTCCTTCGCCGCACAACCTCAGACCACCTCGATCATGGACGCTCGCTGCCACCAAAGCAGCACACAAGTACTACATGTAACTACTTAAGTAAATGATTTTAATCCGCTTCCCCACAGAGGGAACAAACTGCAAGCAGCCGTCCGCGACAGCCTCTCCTCACCTCGCTCAAGCCAACGGGGTCCGTTACAGTAGTCGTCTGTTTTCACTTTATCTGGCTCGAAAAGGCGTAAATCCCCATAATTACACTAATCCGCTACAATTTAACCCAATCCGTCGTTCAATCGCCGCAACGGTCGAAGCTTGCACCCGCAACGGTCAAGCACAAGAGTGTAAGGCGTCCCCCCACTCCCCCACTCCTCTCCGCACCTCGAGCCCCCTCTTGCCCATGACGCTGTGCGGCCGGCTCCTGGGGCTTCTGGCCGCCGCCTCCGCCCTAGTCACGCGCTGCGATGCCGGCAGCAGCTTCATCGACTTCCGCTCCGTGGACGGCGAGCTCAAGGCCGACAACGAGACGTTCCACATCAAGGGCATCAACTGGTTCGGCGCCGGTGCGTCCACTGCAATCCCAATCCCAATACAAACCCCCTAGTATACTGACCGTGACAATGCTCTGTAGAGACCATCGAGCTCGTGGTGCAGGGCTTGTGGCCGTCCGCCACGTCCATCGGCGACGCCATGGACCTCTTCACCACGTACGACATCAACGCGCTGCGGCTGCCGTTGGCCATGGACTCGGTCATGGACGACCCGACGGTCAAGAGCACGCAGACCGGGGGCAGCCCCTCGCTGGCGGGCAAGTCGTACCTCGAGGTGCTGGACGTGATCGTGCGGGAGGCGCGCAAGCGCAACATCCTCATCATGTTCGACAGCCACCGCATCGAGGCGTCCGAGCCCGACTTCCCGGACATCGCAGTGCCCGACGACATCACTCCGGCCCTGCAGAAACTGGCCACGAGGTACTGCGACGACCCGGGCGCCTGGAACGTGTTCGCCATGGACATCAAGAACGAGCCCAAGGGCAAGGCCACGTGGGGAAAAGGAGACGAAGACACGGACTGGAACCTGCAGGCGGCCAAGATCGGCAACGCCGTGCTCAAGAAGTGTCCGAGGCTGTTGATCTTTGTGGAGGGCGTGCAGACGAATATTAAGGGTGTGAGCTTGGAGTGGGGGCAGGCCGGGGGATCTCTACAGGGAGCCAAGAAGTACCCCGTCAAGCTCAGCAACATGGAGCGGCTGGTGTACAGCCCCCACTTGATCTCGCCGGGTGTTGACTACAAGGCGCCGTGGTGGAGCGACTCCAACTTCCCGGACAACATGCCGGATCTCTGGGACGAATACTTTGGCTTCGTGCCCAAGGAAACCGGTCAAGCAGTGGTGGTCGGATCGTGGGGTGCTCATATGAAGGACAAGAACAAACAATGGGCCAATGCTGTGTCGGCGTATCTCGAGGAGAAATCCATTGGGTCGTTCTACTGGGCTTTTAACCCCCAGTCTGCTGATACTGGCGGCTTTGTGAAGGACGACTGGGTTACGGCCATCGACGAACGCGTTGCGCTGTTGGAGTCGCTGCCTACGACCAGCGTTGAGGATATCGTCGCTATTTACGCCAAGTGTACCAAGACTTGTGCTGGAAATGGCGGGTGTGAAGGTGGCAAGTGCATTTGCTACTCGGGATGGAGCGGACCCCAGTGCGAGATCTGCTCCGAGGGCGACACTGGAGCCTGTAACGACATGGGGACGTGCTTGGGTAACAGTACCTGTGCATGTGACGACGACGCGGACGGCAAGTACTGTGCTGGCACGGAGTGTGACGAGGTCGACTGTGGCGATGGAGACAACGCCGGCTGTTTCAATGGCGAGTGCACGTGCCTCTACAATTGCGTCGGCAACTCTTGCACAGTCTGCGCTGTCACTGAGTCGGCCCTCGCGGACGCTACAAACGGAGCTACTGTTCTGTGCGATGCGTGCGATGCCCAAGAACAACACGACTTTTCGTCCGCCATCACATCGCAGTCTGCCTCAGTAGGATCGACTGTATTTGCTGCCATCGCTCTGATCTTCTCGTGTTTCCTTTAATGCTATGCTTTCGAGCTACATGTAGTAGTACAGAGAGTAACGGCAATAAGAAAGGGTCAACAACTTATAGTTCTGACAACACATAAATATTGAATTACACAGGACCTCTGTTTAGGTACTGAGTTTATCAAAGTGATGTGGCACACAAAGCAGCAAGGTTCCCGCGCATTTTTCAAACTCCAAGGACGGAGTCTGTGTACACGCAGTGGCTCAACCACTGCGTGTGCATCAACGACCGTTGTGCTTCAGCGCCCCAGTGCTCCCGTCACACTTACTTTCTCACCCACATTGCCCGCAAACTGCCACTAAGGAAGATCATGAGCGCCTGCAGGTTAACAGGTTTTCCGTGATGAAAATGCGCAACAGATACGATGAATGAGCCTCCTGGATTATCTGTCACATCGCACTACACCATGTAGTCGAATGACAGCCGGAGTGTTTGCGTTGTAGTATATTTCTATGGCCAAGATATGCTGATACTACATTATCAACGTGATGCCCTTCATACGTCGAGTCATATCGGAATTTATTTTTGTGTGTATATTTAGATGCGCAGTAGTCCAGTGGTTACAAAGCTGTTGTCTTCTCCAGGTCTCACTTTCGAGCCTGAGGCATCATGGAAGGTAGCGCTTCCGCGGCCGTGCCTTGCACTAGCTCAGCTACAACGGGGAACGCACGCTACGTGGAGGACAACGTTGGTGACAGCGCTGATGAGGATGAGCAACTGGACTCGATTTGCCAGCAGCTAGATTTTGGGGACTACGACGAAGTTGAGATCAACGTGGGTGTAGATCACGGTGCTTTAGAGTTGGTGGAGGCTACCGTAGCGAAGTATGTGTCGATGGGGTTCTACGATTCGCTACAGGAGGCGACCGTGGCACTACAGCAGCACAATGAGTTTGAATACACCTACAAAACTCGGTACACCTCCAAAAATGTCACTGGGACTGAGTTCAAATGTCGCTCGCATGCTATGTGCCCCAGTCGCCTCAAAATTGTTGAGCGGAAACTTGGAGCTAACTTAGTTCGATACGAGTTGTTGCAGAAGGGTGAGCACGGTGATGCTTCTGTCTCGCGCACGCGGCATGGTATTGCAGCTGTTCACAAGTCTGAAATTGACTCACTATTGGGTTAGGTATGGGAGCAAGTCGAGTACGCAATATGTTGTTGCACAAATATCGAAAATCATCGTGAAATAACGGAGCCCGGCCAACGTGGCATTCCCGTTCGAATCGTATTCAACAGTGGTAACGCCATTGTGCGTTCGAAGAACTTGGCTGGGTCTACGGTCACTACCACGCGCTCGAAAACGTACGTTTAAATATTGCGTTTACTTTCTACCAGGTTCATTATGCTAATTGATGATTATATACAGCTTTGTTTCGTCGCTAGAAGGTAGTACAGGAAGACTGCGCCCATCTTTGACATTTGGATGAAGTTTCTTTCATTGCAACAGGTGTCGGTCAACGTCGAGCCTGGACTCCGAAGACTAGCTACAGTAATGTGCGGTGGCCACGGACAAGCAGGGCGTCGTAGTGAGTCGCAGCCAGTGTATTTGAAGGTCGTGCGCCTCAGGAAGACGAGTACGACCAGCCTGTACTACAGGCCCTGTAGCGTCGAAGTCCATCGTCAATCGGGCTAGTAATAACGTACCTAACGTGTTTCATTTATTTCGTAAAGTCAATACCTTTAAAGCTCCGCAAGATTTGATTTGACTTGATTATTGTATATACCTTCAGTACTTTAATCGTTGAACCCTTTCATATTGCCGCTACTCTCTGTAATACATATTGCATCGCACATTTGTAACATGAAAATACTGCCGGAATCGGGTACCCGTCGATAATTATGCACATTTGTTTTACCAAAGGTTGATATTAATCGTTTATTATTGACCAAAACCTGCACTCAAACACTTACGGACGCTCTAGTACAACATGAGAGCGTCATGGCTTCGCTGAAGGCGTATCAATTTGCGCCATAATTGATCAAGCTTAGCTGAAGATGACCAACATGACTTGTCTAGATGCAGGCTGCATTTTTTACATGCCAATTTGCTCAACCCAATCACTCTTAGCCGAAGATGCCCAACCTCGTGTCTGTCGCCAAACCAATCAGCTCAACTCGACGGTGACACCAGCATCGCTCGTTTGAATAAGACCTTTTTCCCTGTGTTGAAGCACCCACTTCCAAGGAATTGGCCCATTATTTGAATTTGAATTTGTTGCGGTTTAGTCGGCTACCTACTCCCGGAGACGCGCACTGCTGCATCTCCGCCTACGGTGGTCGCATCGCTAGATCTCTAGGATACGAGTCCGCGGTAGGCGCCCACGAGCGTGCACTATCCCCTACATCCTATTATGCAAGTAATGTGTACTAATATGCATCTGCAAACTACATCCCGTTCTCATCACCCTCTTCTTCAAATGCCCGTGCTCGCTTGCTGTGCCACCGGTCTCTGCGTCGTATCAGTGTTTCCTTACGGTCGGCCAGCTTGCTGCTAAACGATTCTTGAGCCCACCGGGCCCATTGTACTCGGCGTGACTTGATGCCTGCGTTGACATCACGCAATAGCGCTTGACGGTCATGTTGTACTGTTTCTTCGTTGCTGGCACATGTATGCTTCCAATAGTCTCGTAATGTGATCCAAATGGTCCGGAAGAAGAGCTTGTGAAGTGCCACTGCCCCTTGTTTAGTGAAACTTATTGCTTCTGCCCACGTCCGACTACGGATCGTCATGGTTGGGTAGCGTCTCCATCCCACAGGCGCGTCGTACACCGTCAGGCCACAGCAATCAAGTTGGTGTCTCACTTTGACCCACCAACGAGGGTGTTCCATGGAGCTGCTCTCCGCGTAGATCCGCCCAAACACCGGATGACACCACTGCTTGGTAGCTCCGCCCATATCGCGCCAGTCTGGTAGGAGCCACGCGTTCGTGAAGCTTTGGGATAGCGCGTGCAGCCATTTTGGTATTGACTGACTTGCGATGGTCTGGACCTGATCCTCTCTCGCTAGAACACCCACCAGTATCACGCCCTTATTAGACGTGAAAACATCGGCAAATACGGGTAGATGTCGCGATTGAACAATGCTGCTTCCTGTTCTCATCCGTAACTCATCTTTGGAAATCCGCAGAATCCACACACACCCAAAAGCCTCCAGTCTCATGTGACCTGGGGAGCCCAAATACGTGGCAAACCAATACACAGGGTCGCCTGCGGTAAGATGCCTATCAACGTGGTGTTGGAAGTCGTCCCACCACGCTTCCGGGTGAACATGAGAAACGTCGTCGACCCACCACGTGCCTATATCAGAGTCTGGGGTCAGTCCTTGCAACCCTTGAAGATTAGCATTGTCGATGTTGTGCTCAAACGTTGCTCCAGCCCACCCGGGAGTCCATTGCGTAAGCGATGTGTGATAACACCCTACATAAACCAAGCACCTCCACCAAAGTCACCGGGAGAATTCCTCCACCCAAGCCTATACTTCTCTGGCGCTGTTCATACAGTTCGGACTGTACCAATCGTACAAACCTCTGGTCGTGTAACAGTACTCCGGGATCCCCGGGCCACTCTAGCCACTGGGCATTGACCCATAGATTATCTTGCAATTGGACCATGGGCCGCCACAAAGTTGAAATGCGGTCATCAGACGACCACAACCCGCGCTGGTTGACTCCCAGGTCTACGGCAATGGAATGGCCGACACTTGGCGGCAAGACACACTGGTCCGGTAGCATACATTGGCTGCCCACCTGATAGTACGCGGCATTGAGCATTTCATCCAGTACGATTACCTCACGGCACACCTCATCCCCGAGTCCCAATCGGTAATCGGTGATCTTGAGTATCAGGGTTTCCATTATTGCACGCAATACAGGTATCGGACCACCTCACATCAAAGCGATGCTTCACTGCATTGGTATGGAGAAGATTCATGCGCGCCCTCCAGTAAAATCGCCGTAGCTCATCCGACCAACCATCGTTATAAATCATGGGAAGCTCGTCGTCGGACAGTGTGTGCCGAATAGGAGGTTTCTGTCGCTGTTTATCAATCCACCGACCGGCTTGCGCAGCATATGCTTGATCATACAAAAAGCTCAATGTGTTGCCCAAGACAGGTCTGCCCTCCTCATCTATCAGTAGGAAATCGTCGAATACGAGCCACGATGAGTACGATCTCTGCATCACGTAGCTATGGCTCTCCTTCGCTGCTGCATCCACGCATGCTAGGGACTGTCGGTGACCACGGAGTTGCGAGTCTACTGTAAATTCATTTTCCATATGCGATCGGACCCACCGTGCATTGAAAGTACCCGCGTCGCGCATTGCATGACTCAGCGACTTAATCTCCATACGATGAGGATCCCGGAATTTAATTTGCGGTAGTTGCCCCTTGGCATACGCCCGTGCTTTCGCAATGATACCGATAGCGCTCTTATTATCACACACTTGTTCACCAGCATCGCCATAGAGACTGAGCTCTGCCAATAGCGCGTGAAGTTCACACCGCGTTGATGTGATATCCTGTCTGTGAATGCAAAGCTGCCCCAACACCGAGTGGCCCACAGCGGCTTGCATCGCCCACCCCCCACGGGACCGTTGGGTATTGGCATCAATGACACTACCATCCCCTGCTTGCACAGTGACAGCTGCGTCCCCCGGTTTCCAGGCAAATTTTACGCATTGGTCGCGTACCCCTTCCTCGCTCCGCCGACCTCCACAAACTGGTACGCAGTTAGGGTGGTGCCATTTCCCACACTCTCCGCACTATTGTTCACCGCGGTGCTTACCGCACTCCGTACATGCAGTCTCTAGCTGTAGTGGACGGCCTGTTCGTAGTGTAGATTCATAGCGGATTCTACTTCTTGCCAGCGCTTCGTTTCAAAAGCCGCTTGTCGTTAAGCCCGCTAACTCCGTTGACTGACGTATCACTCCACAGAATGATTCGTTGACGGCAGTTCCGTCGCGTTGGCAGATAGGTAGGTATCACACGCACACACACGGCTTCAAATTCAGCAACGTCTCTCAGGTGTGTACGTTCAACCCATATATCACTCCCCCGACGTAACTCGCGCCACCACCGAACTGGAATGATCGTACCCAGTTGGTGTTGCTTAATCTCTCCGATATCTCGATGCCCTAATTCGTAGTGATCGATCGTAGGTTCCGGGCCTGATGTGTCCATTTTAACAGCGACAATCCATTCCTCTACACCAATGCGCAACTGGTATGGCACTAGTAGACCTGGTGGTACTTTCTTGCATCCCACCGGTTCACGCAAGTCCAATGACCCACCTTTTGCGAGCTGCTCTTTCCATTCGGAGTAAAGCTCGTCAACCCGTGCCCGCTTGGCTCCGTGCCACATCCCTTTATGTTGGAGTTGAACCCGTGGAGGTAGCCGCGTTCCACAGTCTGTAACAATGTCCCCAACGTACTGCAGCTTATAGTCCGTGTTCCAATTAATAGCTACCAGCTTTGGTCGCAGCTCCTGCCGCGTGTAGTGGAGTAATGGTCGATCATTAGAACGTTTGGCGAGTGCGGCGGGTGGCTGCTTCCATTTACAATCAAGCTTTAGTGGTGGGGTCATTGCCGCTGCGAAGCGTATTATGCGCCCTGCCCACGTCGTAACCTGTACTGGGGGTTTGATAGGTGCACTAAGCGGATTCTCCGTAAGTCCGGCGTTCACCTGGTACATCTCTGGTGACTCGACAAGCAAATGATAGACCGGTAGATCGGCAGAGTTCAGTATTCGAACAGCTTCGTTGTAGCGGTGGGCATTGGCGTCGAGTTCGCAACTCAACAATCCGAGGCTGTTGAATTTATCATAATAAACCGATCTAGGAGTGGAATGTGGGAGGCGTAACACTGACCGAGCAACTTGCCTGATAATACTCCCCGCTACCCCAATGCCCCCCCCCCCCCCCCCCAAGCACCATACGATATCGTAAACGGGGAATCCAGACTGAGTTCACAATATATCGAAATTGCACGAGTGAAAGTTTCTGCCGGACGATTCGATCAGCTTCTTCTGTGAGACGGACCCAGGTAGGTGTAATCGTGGCCTCCCAAAGGTTATCACCACCATGATAGACCCCTAGATGCTTAAAACCTTCCTCCGGAGAAACAACCTTCACCCCCCGTGGAATTCCTAAGCCGTCATTTAGCTGTACGGCATCAAAGTGCTCATTATTCGAAGTTAGGTACATCATGAATGATTTCTCCGCACCAAACACGCCTCCAGTACCCGCTTTGCCCGTAAAGATATTTGTCGTCTTGGCTCTAGCTTGAATTCCACGGAGCGAGGTGGTGATATCAAGTTGGTCATCGACAAAGAGCGTGCTACTGATCTCTATGCCTCCTCCGGTTTGGTGGTGTCGAACTTCAACAGGGTCAGGACAGTCCGCCAATTGTTCTTGCAGGCAGTCCATATAACACGCTATGTGCAGAATCGAAAGTATTGAACCTTGCCCTATTCCGAATTCACGCGGTCCAGTTGATATCCACCCAAACGCGGTGCGCACATCAATTATGCCATCACCTAGCAGATCAATCATGAGATTTCTTGGTTTCGCCGGGACTCCGATGCCTCGGTAAATCAAGTCCATACACCACCGTGGAATCCGATCGAAGCACTTCAAGCAATCTTTCGAAACTAGAATTAATGGGTTCTGCATCACTCCAGTAAGAGCGTAACCAGTAGCGCTGCATCAATTACGGTACGGTCTCGCTGGAAACCGTGCTGCATCTTGCTGATCGGTATCCCTGGTTCTACATAGCGTTTGACCACCAGGAATAGTCGACTTTTCAACGCAGATTGTACCGTGATCGGACGCCATAGCGGCAAGCCTTTCGTATTATTGAGTGTAGGATCGACTGTAGCAGCCTTCGGGAGGAAGATCATTTGTTTCCGGCGAAGGGTCGGAGGTGCTTTTCCTGTGCGAAGAATAAGTTCAATCACCCTACGTTCTCGGTTTCTAATCACCGCTGGGGCAGCTATCCACATTTCTTGCGAAATTCCGCCGTACCCTGGCGCCACATGCTGCTTGAGCTGCCGATCAATTTCAGTTTGCATCTCGCTGGTGTACGAATAGTTCTCCCATTTAGTATTATCATTGCCCCCAGTGCTGAGCAAAGCGACCTCCTCGCTCAATATCCGGCAGGATCCAGTCCCGAGCAAACTGGGGTAGGCTACCTGCATCTTCAGGAGCCAACGTGTCCAGGAAGCGTGGGCGCTCTGTCTTTTCTTCCGGAGGAATCCAGTTATCAAGTAGTTTCGTCAATTCATCTGCACCTCATCCGTGTCTTCAGTATAACGTTTACCAGTCTGGTCCGATACAAGTGCACTTCGAATCGTTACGGGTGGCGCTGCGCGTCTTAGTGAGCTGTCTAAGAAGCGTTTAATTCCACCCCCACTGAACCATTGCTGTCGCTGCTCCTGCATTCTCAATCGACGTTGGGTCTGGCGCCAGTTTCGCCGTGTACGCATCACTTTCCGCCATCGGCCGTATACAGCAGAAGTCCAGTTCTTCCACGAACAAAGGTCTCTCGTTTGCGGCACCCTCTGAAACTCTGCGAGTAACCTCTGGGTTGGCTGAAAGTGCGCGCAGTCAGCAACAAGATGGTTGGGATTCAACACCCAGCGTGGCCACATAATCGCGGTCATAGCAGCTTGAATTTCCTCCACTCCAGTGTCCGGAAGGTGAAGTAGCACCTTCACCTGTCTGAGTTGGGCGGTACAACAGTTGCTGGCTTTGATACAGACAGATCTAGCGAGTTGGCGCTTCGACTGATTCGTGACACCCCACAACTTAACCGCGCTGGTGCTTAAGCACTCGTTCATATTTTCAATGGCATGCTCAAGCCATTGCAAGATCTCCTCCTCTGAGCTATTCTCTACAGCAATATCATCAATCAGGGTGAGTTTTTTCTCAGTCAGAAGTTGGTCGGTGGTACGTGTGAACTGCTCCATTTCCTCCATGCTTTAGGTCCTCGTATTGACCACCTTGATTGGAGTTACTCCACGTAGACCAATTGGAATCTGTGCCCCTCTTTCGCAGCGCAGAACAGCAAACGGAGTTCCCACGTGGTCACTGCAAAGGATGCTGTTGAGCCAAATCCCACTTCTCACCACCACCGATTCATGCTCTCCAGATATGTAAATGTCGTCAAGAGCAGATTTGATGCCTTGACGAGCGTACGTAAACCGGTTCGTGTTTGGATGTCTGCATTTAAAGGACGAGACAAGTCCATGGTCACCCACCCAGTCGGCAAAGCACTGACTCATGCGTTGTGCCGACCGCGTGCGCTCACCATTACCTTGGCGGTCGCGATCGGGGTCTGGGTAAGTGTTGAAGTCGCCGCCTAGGATGACAATTGCGTTGGCTTCACGCCCGAGTGCTGTTCGCCGTTGGATCCACTCCCATTCAGATCTGGTTTCTTCCTCGTGCTGATCAGGTGAATGATGAATGTATGTACCAATCACCCACAGCATGCGGGCTCGTCCAAGGCGTATGGTGACCCTCATCGACCTGCAGCTTGGAGAGTACGAAATGCTGTCTTTCACCAGCCGATTTTCCCAGCGTTCCCGTTGCAACGCCATTCCAATGTACTTCGTGCCTATTACCAGTATCCCTGGCACTTTGCGAGGCTCCGTCGTGCTCACCCACACCTGTTCAACGCGTCTGTCCTGGAGTGCTGGATCACTGATAATCATGATGTCTTGGTTGTTGGCAATCATCCAGCTAGCCAACTCATCATTCATCTTCTTACGCAAATTTTTGTTGATATTGGTAGTACAGACACGTATCGCACTTTCATCGATTTCGTGCCCACTCTCGTCATCCCCAATGTAATCGCCCGAGCAGTGTTCCTGCTGCAAAATGCTCCTCAACACTGTACTTCGTTCCGGGTCGTTTGGACTGTGATACGAACATCGAACGGGTCTCCATGGTCTGTGTTTCCGCCCACCGCGACAGTGGCGCGAAGTAGTACGGTCCCCAGCGACACTTCTCACACCGATGCATCCGTCCCACTAGAAGTATCCGCTTCATCACGATACGCTTCACCATCTCTCGGCCATTCCAGACCTCCGCTCGAAGCGGCCTCGACAACAGCGTTACGACTTTCAGCATTGACAAGTGCCGGGAGATTCATGACCAGCTGCAGAAGCAGGAGGAGCACAACTAACCCTGTCCAGCGAAACCTCCACATGGTCCCAGTGGTTTGTTTGGAGGCCCACCCTTCTGGCGCGCTGGACCCCCAAGACCAAAATTCTTCAGAAGATTGGCCATAGTCTTCTCTTCGTTTGTTCCTCTAGTTGCTCCTGGAACGTCGTGGCTGCAGCAGTGATTGCCGAGCTAATTTGCCCACTTACATCTCGTCGTATTTCCTGAACGTGCTGCTCGGTGCGTTGCTGCTATTGGTAAAGATGGAGTAAGCGCTGCTCGAAACGGACCGTTCTAGCGCGCACGAGGCGGTCAAGTATGGCGTCTGCGTACTCGTGAGACCTTGGCTGGTCCACATGGCCGAGTTCTCATGACGGCGTGACAACACTACAGCACTAGCTGGCTGATGTTGGGACTCCAGACCAGTAAGGCGCGGGGATGCATACCTGAGATGACCGGGCAACTTACATTCGTAGCAGCGGCGCTGGGCTGGCACGTCCTCCCATTTTCTTAGGTAAAGCGGCGTATTCTTGAACTTCAGCACGTTGGTGTGACGCGGTGTTGATCCCTAAATTCGGGTGAATTCACATGAACCTGGGAAGTCCCAATGATGTGGAGCTTGGTGATACTGGATGATTTGGAGTCTCCTATAAAAACAAGGGTAATGTCTGCGAATGGACGCTGAATCCCGGAAGATAGATCAATGTGGGCGAGTTGATCCCTTTCCATGAAGTGCAACGGAATGCGAGCGATCCTCCCCAGTATATCTAAGTACGGCGGAACTCGACTCTGGCTTACAACCTGGGAGTTGAGGCACTTCTCAGATTCCCCGTTGTTTTCCCGGAATAACGATTCCCAGACTTCGCGTTCCCAGACTTACCTCCCACAAAATTCCAAGAACGACCTCGGCTTGAGGCGTTCCGAGGCTCCAAACCCAAGAACACTTGGTTTCACTATGGCATCTTCCAAGATCCTAGGTGTACCCAACAACTCCGAGAAGGTATCCAGTTTGGCGAGCCTTCAAGGCCAGACCAACACTCCGCAGAAAGATCGCAGTCTCCGAAGGGTCGCTTAGGAAAGATTTCGTCTGCATATGACCTTTAACCAAACAGAGTTCGTTTTGCTTCGAAGGGCACAAGTGCTTCTTTCACAGCCTGGAAGGCCATTCTCCACGGCAAAATTCAAACTACTCTAGGTAAGTGATCCACTGCTTCGGCCTGGAAGTGATCATATCTATTCCATATCTGTATATTTGGCGGATTGCAGACCGTCTTTGTTGTATATTTGCGGTCTATTGGACCTGTGTCGAACTGAAGAAGTTGGCGACAGGGTAGATCGTTTCCTCTCTCTCTGAGAGGTGGTGCGCGTCCCCAAGATTGATCAAGTGTCTTGGATTTGGACCAGTTGACTTGTGTTTTGGCCTTAGCCTTGGGCCTAGAGAAAGAAGAGAGGGCAAATAAGTATTTGTGTGATTGTATAACGTGTATAACTCTATTGGGTTGGATTGTTCTAGCGTTAGCCCGGCGTAGCTGTCTGATTCACGGGGTCGATACTAACCTCCTGGTGAAAAGAACCGCTACCCAAGGGATACACATCGTGCGCCTGACCAACAGCGTGTACTGGACAACACACACCCTGTGCCAGCCGAGACGGATCCAAAGCTCTAGTAGCCTGAGGTCTGTCAAGGAGGGCCTATAACTGTTTTCTGGGAGAGAACACCGCATCGCCTCGTGACAGCTGGTGCGCGTGCCCGGATCAGGGGTTGGAAATTGAACGTGCATTGTGAGAGTTATGCCTACTAACGCTGACGCGATTGTGCCTGCTTCGAGTCCTGGAGGACGCGGACGAGGTCGTGGACGCGGTCAAGGTGATCAACGAGCGTCAAGACCGCTGCAACTCCCTGTCCCGCCGCCGGGGCCCGGACAAGATCCTGCGATGTCGACGGAGACCGAACAACAACTGGCGCTGGCCGAACCAGCGCGCCCGACATCGACCCATTCGACGCCAAGACGAGCTTCTCAAGTGATGGTTCCCCGTTCTGTGCAGTCCAGCCCTGGACGGCCCCTAGACCGTGGTTCCGACGCTCAAGCAGCACGTCTGCCGACGGAGTTGGCGCTGAGCCCTGCGGCTGCAAGCGCTCTTGGAAAACGTGATCATGTGGCGCTGCGAGGGTGGCGCGAGACGAGGGTCCCGGATTCCGGCGCACCACTACGTCTTGGGCCTGCTCCTGGCACTCGTGTCTTCGGACCTGAACTGCCAACCACGCTGCACTCGACGTTCCAAGATCCGCTTCCGCTGATTCCACGGGGCACGAGTGAAACCCCAGGATCCGACGTAAACTGTCTTGCTGACGACAAAGCCCGAGCGTATGGAGCCGAACAACTGAGCTGCTGGAGCTCTCTTCCAGGGGAAGTCATCTCTCCAGTCGACGTCGTCTACGACGAGGGAGAAGAAGAGTACGACATGGAGGCTTGGGTCTTCGCTGCATTCGAGACTGGGAAATACTTGGGTCGTGTGAACGCTGGACGGTCTTCCGAGTCCTGGATTAAAGCGCTGTCCGCCAAACGCAGACGGCAACCACTGGTCTCGGACATGAAGGCTGTCACCATATCGCCCAAGTTGCTTCCGGCTGCTGCATGCGTCGCTGTGCTCCAGACCATGTTAATGGAGGCCGGCTTCGAGTTCCGCAATGTGATTCCTACGTGGAGTGAAGTCCGCGCGGTGTCCGAGGTGTCTGAGAATCTGATCCGCCGAGGTGTTGAAGTAGTTCAACTCAGACTCGCAGTTGAGAGTCTTGAGTGGAACAAGCTGATGGATGGCGTAGGGTTTCACATCCGACAGCCGCTGGAGCCTCTCCCAGCTGTGCAACTATCCGAGCGAAGTACAAGTCCCCCGACAGATGCCGATGGAGACGTCCTAATGACGGACGACGCCGTGGAACTGCTTGGCGAAGAATTGTTGCTCCGCTTGAGGATCAGACGGACCAGAAGAAGAAGTCCTACTTCAAGCGCGTCTGGACAACCGGCGCCCAAGCGTGCGGCCTTAGGATCTGAGCGATCTCCGCCCAGTTCCCTGATGCCTCCGACATCGTCGTCCCAGAGTCTGGTGCCCCAACCATCGGTACCCCAGAACGTCGTGCCTTGGACTCAGAGCCTAGTCCCTAGAGCTCCAAGGCTTGAGCTGATGGCTAGTGTGGACTCAGTTCCTAGTCTGGTGGGACCAAGTGGTGCTTCTGACGAGCCGATGAACGCGGCCGCTGAAGGAACAGACCTGTCGGGGCACAGCTCCTCAGGATCGTCGTTCTTGTCCGCCGCGGACTACATGGCTGGCAGTGCCTTGGGTCATATGCCTGGAACAAGCCCGATGGCGATGGTAATGATTGCGCAGGAGAGCACGGTTGCAGCAGCTGCCGACCCGGGTTTCGGTGTCTCGGCAGGTGCTGTGCAGTATCCAGTGCCGGTTTCAGCACGCCCTGCGCCTTCGCTGCAGCCCCCTCAGGAATCGCCCGCGCATGTACCGCTGCGCGAGTCATCAGAGAGCAGCGCAAGTCTCCAGCCAGAACACTCGACGCAACCTGCTCCCGGGTTGCATCCAACGTCGTTGCCTCCTCCAAGCTTCGTGTCTTCCACCACACCCGCAGCCGGCATGAACCTTGGCGTCTCCACATCAAGTGCTATGCCACGGACCCAAGCCACTTCGACAAAGGTCGCGGACCCGGAGTCTGAGAAGAAACCACAGAAGTCCGTGCATTCTGGGAAGTCATCGCGATCCTGGAAGTCCGCCGCGAAATCTGCGTCGTCCAACTCTTCGATGTCAGGAATCTCCTCTCGTGTGTCGTCCTTGACGTCGTCGCGTTCCGGCGCGTCCGAGGTCGCCCTGGTCATGATGAGGCAGCAAGAGGCCACCCTCAACCATGTACGCGCCGACATGGCGGCCGAGTTGCGTGGCATTCGCCTAGACAACCAGCAGCAGACCGCTTCCCTCATGGATCGTCTTCAAAGGAGCGAAGAAGCCCTTGCCGCCGAACGTGAGTCCCGCCGTCGCAACGCCGAAGTTGGTGAAGCTCGGGTTGCTGCCGCGGTGAAGGTAGAGCAGTCCCCAGTGCCATCGTCAGTGCCCGCACCCGAGATGGGGCGCGGTACACTTATTCCCCCCGAAGCGCCATTGCCGAGTGCGGCCCTGGACGCCGCCACCGCTGCTGTGTTGGCGGTAACCGAGGAAGTGAAGGCAGAGGGTGAGGGCATCGCGCAGAGCACGAATGCCCATTTGGCCGCGTTCGAGGACCAGTTGCGCAACGTCACGTCCGCTATCTGCAGAAGTGCGCCCTGGCCCAGAAGGTTCAACGTGAGAATGATGCTCGCCTACGTCAACAATCGACTAGTGTACCTGAATCTAGTGGAAAAGCCACCGCGACGAGTCGCACTTCCTGCGACAAACTTGCAGGCCGGTCGCCCACTTATATCGGGCAACAGCAAGTGGCCGCGGGTTCGCTGGCAGCAGCGCAGCTTCAAGCGACCATACAAGCTCCAAGTCAAGTTGTCAGACGCGAGACGGGACCAGGCGAGATGAAGCCGACTGAGACACAAGGTCAAGTGAGACGAAGACACGTGCGACAGGCGGGACGGGGTCAAGTGAGACGAAGCGTGGAAGGCAGCCGAAGGCTGCGACACAGACTCGGTCCAGTGTCGCTGCAGTCAAGGAAGAAAACTCGGAAGAGACCAAGAGCTCAGCGAAAGGTGTCGCTCGGGACTCTGCGAGTGGGAGTGGCCATGTCCCCAGATATTCTGGGAAGTCGGCTAATAAAAAGCCTTCCCACAAACACAAACGTGGAAAGAGGACCCGTCGCAGTAAGCGACCAGGTGGCGATCCCTCATCGTCAGATTCAAGCTCAAGCGGCGGTTCGTCTAGCAGCGAGTCCAGCTCGGGCTCCGACTCCGACTGGGAGCGCGGCCTTGCTGAGGAACTCGCCCCTGCAACAGTACCAGCCGCGAACGGCCAATCGTACACGTTCCGCCCGTACATCCAGTATGGGGCGGTGGAGATGTTTCATCCCCACGCCAAGCTCGAAGACCGCGTGAACTGGTGGGAGCGGTTTGTCTACGCTGCTGCGTTGGGAGTATAGCCGGAGAAGATGAAGTTGCGTCAGCTCCTGGGCCGACTACCTGCCCCGCTACGTGCATGGTTCCGCCAACTACCCGAGAAGGACCAGAAGGACTAGTCGCGCTTGTCGAAGCTGTTTCGCAAGGAGTACTGCCGCACCGAGGCGTCCCCATACGACCGACATTATGAGTTGTGACCGGAGAATGGCGAGTCTGCGCGATCGTTCCTGTATCGACTCAACGCTGCAGCCAAGAAGGCCGACGTCGAGTACGAAGACTCTCCAAGTGACCGGGAACTCCACATCCGTCGCTTTATCAAGAAGCTGCCGGATCGTCGTCTGAAGATCACACTACAGGGACAAACGTTGAAGTCGATGAAGGAACTCGAGAAAACTCTCAGCGTATCGAAGCAGTGCAGCGTGATGATGGATATGAGACGCCTCCTCCACCTCCAAAGACCCGCGATGCGAAGCCTAGTGGTGTGAGGCTCAGTCGATTCCCTCCTCCGCGTCGAACTCAAGGTGATCGTGCGTACTTGGTCGAGAACCTGGACTCGGAGTCAGAAGACAAGGCTTCCCCGCCCTCGGACTCCGAAGAGAAACCAGAACCACGTTATCTCCCGGGAACTCCGTCCCCGGCCATGGGGCGTACGGTGAATTCTGAGAAGGTCAACGTAGCCCAGGCTTCTGAGACTATCGTCCAAGTACCCAGACCCCCGACGACCGAGGAGGTGTTGCGTGCTGCTGAGCAGATGGGTTGGCGCCCTCCAATTCCACAAGCGCGACCACCATCTCCATACCGCGACAACTCCCAAATAACTCCCTTCTGTGAAAATTGCCGCAGTTTTGGACACGACGCTCAGAATTGTTGGCGGGATCTGATCTGTGACCGATGCCATGAAGCTGGACACCCGACATATAAGTGCTCGCGTCGCCCATGTTCCAAGTGCGGAGACTTTCACCGTGAAGGGCTCTGTGCCGATTGGGCTGCTTTGAAGGCAGTCCGAGAATTGGCGCGACAAGGAGCGCTGCAAGACTTGCCGACCGAAGTTCTGAAGCAACTGCTGAAAGAACAGCCGGCTAAGTCTGGGACGTCGTTAAACAACTAGGCTCGCTGGGTAGGGACCCAGTGCGTGTCGAGCCTAAGTCCCAAGCGTATTGCGCTCTTGCATTTGTCGGTGCAGAACTTAGGCACCAGATCGGTAACCCACAATGCATGACTGCCATTGCATGTAAAGACGAATCGCTGTTGGAATCGCGCCCGGTTTCTCGAAATTACGTTTTCCGAGGTTTTGAATTTGAAGATGAAGCCCCAGTGGAATTCACGTTGAACCCAGGAGAACGTTACGGGTGGTGGGCAGACCACGACTTGGATAATCAAGATGCAGTGGCATTAGTGCATGGGGCGATCAACAACTATCGGACACACATCATTCTAGATTCCGGCGCCAGCACAACTATATTGAGCCCAGACCTTGCACGCAGGTTGAAGCTTAAGTTGACGTCGCACGCCGGACTCAAGGTGAAAGGTATGGGAGGAGTGATCACGTACATCCGGTCGCGGACTCGAGTGAAGTTAACTCTGGGAATGCGTGTGGTATATGTGCTGGACATGTGGGTTGGAAACATTGGAGATGGAGTCACTTGTCTGCTGGGTATGGATTTCATAAAAGTGCTGGAGTACGACTGTGTGCGCGTGAGCAGTTGGCTAAGCTTCCGAATGAAGAAGACATTCCTCTGGTTGGAGAGAAGGAAGCTCCACGTTACATCTTGGAAGTTCCGATTTGTGTGCGTGAGCCGGTGTATTTGGCTCCTGGTGATTCAATCATTGTTCCGGTGCGGTATGGCCAAGCTGACGCTGACACAGCTGCGGTATGGACTGTCCGAGGGAATCAGTGGGTGACTCAAGTGATCTACAGCTCCAGACGGCGGCCTGCCGCAGTTCGTGTGGTCAATATTTCAGTGAAGTGGACCCAGATCATGTAGCACACGGTGGTAGCAGCGTTGGTGGAGCCTGGGCAACTGCCACGAGGAGACTCCTGTGTTCAACCAAAGTCGCGTAAGTATCAAGAGTGGCAACAAGAGATTTACCAGAACACCCCTTCGCGGGAGTATCGATGGGGGGAGCTGGAAGCACTTGAAGCCGAACGGAATGCCCCACCCGAAGTCCTGCGACCTCAATATGTTTGGCCGACGAAGATTTTGCCTCGCCCACCTGAAGAAGTCCGAAAGGCTGCTGAGCTACAGAAATCTCGGAACTCGAGTGGCCGAGCCATGAGCTCTTCGGGTCAGACTGAGGAAGAGGCCCGCAGTCACTCGAGCGCCGTTGCTGATGTAAAGATTCTGGATCTGGGCATTCCAACTGCCGCGGAAGTCACTCCCATGGACGAAGCCGAAGCCTCGCAGACAGATGAGTTAGATCCTGCGAAGGAGCTCGTCATTGATCGGGATTCTGGTGATGTCGACCGCGGATTGACTGGTTGAGGTACCAGTAGTGCCGAAGCTCGACATGAATTGAAGGACGTGTTTCGCGCAGAGCCAGTCAAGATCTGTGAGGATGCCCTGGAGCAGCTGGAGGTGGCGTACGCGATTTATCTTCGGGTGGTCACAGCTGACTTGGATCCTGATGAAGAAGTCTTCTTCCATGAAAGAACCGAGCTGTTGACGCAGTTATGAGGCCAGTTGGCTACTTGAAGGATCTCAGCCCGAGCTTATCAAAAACTTGTTGGAGACCGGACTCATCGAGACTTCGCATTCGGAGTGGGCCTCACCCATCGTAATCATTTTGAAGAAGAACGGCAGGGATATCAGACTTTGTATCGACTACCGGATGGTGAACCAGCTCATCAAGCTGTCTTGCTACCTGCTACCGTTGATAGATGACTTGCTGACTGGATTTGAAGCTGCGATGTGGTTTATGAGCTTGGATATGGCGAGTGGCTTCTGGGCGGTGCACATGACCCAGAGGGCAAAGCTCATTTCTGCTTTTGTCTGTCCTCTTGGACACTACCAGTGGTTGCGCATGCCCTTCGGGTTGAAAAATGCGCCCCTAATATACCAGCAGATGCTGAACAACTGTCTTTGGGGTTTTGTGCGACTGCCGCCTGAGGAAGAAGCCAAGGTCGATCCCGATGTGCTTGAGTTTCTGGGAATTAAGGTAGACGAGCGAGCGGTCCCCGATTCTGGAGTGGGGATCCCAGCTCTGACAGATACAATGACTGTTTTCCACCGGAACATTCCAGGCCCAGTTTCAATGGGCCCAGTCCTGGGTAGAAGCTCATACATTGACGACATCGCCCATGGGGCGCCTACCTGGGACCAGCTCTGCTCGGTCCTGAACGCGTTGCTGGTCCGGCTACGCTACTGGGGAATCTCCGTGAGCCTGCCCAAGCGCGAGTTCGGGAAGCTGTCTATTCCGTACCTGTCGCATGAAATCAGCGCCGAAGGCTTGCCAGCGAAACCCAAGATCGCGAAGGGTGTGAATGATTTGCCATTTCCGTCGACACTCAAAGGCGTGCAGTCATTTCTGGGAAGCATCAACTACTACAACAAGTTTATCGAGGATCTTCCTGTTATAGCATCGGTGCTTTACGACCTGACCGAGGAGCAAGTCCGGGAAGGACGAGACTTGGGGCGCGCCAAAGAGGCTTCCGAGATTCTGAAGAAGAAGATCGTCTCGACGCCGCTGTCACGACACCGGACCGAGAGAAGGACTTTGTTGTGATCCTGCTTGCGAATCCTTGGGCTGCAAGTGCTGTCTTGGGCCAAGAATATGACGGTGTGATTTTTCCTGTTCGGTTCACTGGCAAAACCCTCAATGAGTCTGATATTAAGTATCATCCGGCTGAGAAAGAGGTGGTGGCGTTGTTGCGCGTCCTGCGAGTGTTTCGTTGTATGCTTGCTGGGAGTCACACCAAGGTCTACACTCGTTACTCAGTCCTGCGGCGGATTTTCATTTCGTCATCATTGGAGGGACGTTGTCAACGGTGGGCCACCCTGCTCTCGCCTTGGGATCTAGAAATTCACCGGATTGAGAGGGACGAGGATGGCCTGGCAGCCATCATGGACGGTGGGATTACGCCTCGTGAACATCTCGATAAAGTGGCAGAATCCCTGATTCCGAGGAACTGACGGGTGACACCTGCCCCACCGATTAGTCTGGAGATATTGGAAGAGGATTTCTCAGGTTACCTGCTCAGTTTTGATGGCGCTGCGAAGACGTCTACCAGGCAAAGTAGCTGTGGTTGTATCTTGTGGAAGCTCCCAGAGTGGACTGTGGTCAGCGCGCGAGGTTACTTCCTGGAAGATGTGACGGTCAATGATGCAGAGTATCATGGCTTGATCAAAGGAGCGACACTGGCTATGGAGCATGGTGTTTACGACTTGGTTGTCGTCGGTGACTCCCGAATCGCTATTCAACAGGCCCAAGGGTTGATCAACTGTCATCAACCGAATCGTCAGCACCTGTTAAGTGAGTTCGATTCGGTTCGTCAGAAGTTCCAGTCTGTGAAGTTGAGGTTTTGATGCACTACATGTACTTGTGCATCATGACCTTCGTGTAGAGCAGCTTCTTGACTGCAAGGTGTGGGCTCAGTCAGACTGATCCTGGGTTGGGTTCAGCTTGAGACCTCATACTTCGCCCCGGGGCGATCTCTGGGGACATGGCCCGACCATTAATGAATAACGGTTGTAGAAGCTTGTGCGGCGTGAGGCCAATAAGACTAAACAAGCTTGCCACGCTCACTTATCAAAGTCAAGCAGTCGATGTGCAGGTTTGGATCATTATGCCAAAAATCTGATGCAGACGCAGGATGCGCTTCTTTCCGGGGCTCTCTTCTATTGTGAGGACAGCAACTGAGACCCTTTGACGCCTTCTCTGAGATTTGTGGCTAGTGATGAACCATTACAGCAGTGACATTTGTCTCGGCACACACATTTTCAGGCAAAGCATACATGGGATTTCTTTGCGGGCGCGCAGCGTATAGTACATAGGGCCACCCAAAGCGAGCGTAGCGAGTATGTACCAGTAGACGTGACACCATTTACCATTGGCTTTTAGTCGAATCAAGAAGACTCACGAATAGGCAAGCAAATGACTGCAAAACTCTTTCCAAGATAGCAACGACGATAGGAAGTACCAGAACCGGTATCAGCGACAAAACAGTTATGCAATCCTTGATTGCGCTCTCGCGATGTAGCGCAACGCTCGAGTTCACCCACTCAGTCGTCACTTTTCAATTTACCCTCTACCACTGCGAGCTCTCCGTCAGCCTCCTGCTCAAGCGCATGCGTCTGGGGTTGCTCATTCTTGTGGCAGCGACCACTTCGTGACAAGGTTGTCTCCGCTACGTTTCACGTAGACACTTCCGCGCATTCCGAGACGATAAGTTCGGAACGTACTACCAATGACAATCGATTTCTTTGGATCAACGACGACGACAGCGAAGAAGAGCGGACGAACGCCAAGCTCACCACAAGCTTCAAGGAGCTACTAACCAAGGAGGCGAATACTTAAGTACGGCAAAGCTGACCGGGACCAACGATTTGACCAGAATAATTACAGCCGACGAGTTGCTGCAACAATCCAAGGAACTCCAAAAGAAGGTTGAAGCCATTCTACAGGACCCGCTTATGACGAAGACCAAAGAGTGGGAAAAGCACGGCTGGAACCCGGCTATAGTGGCCGAAGAAATTCGCCTGGACACTGTAAAAAAGCTGTTGCCAAACGTTGAGAAGTTTCGCGCCAGTCCGCAGCACAGACTCTACGAAGCTTTCGGGAAGTTCTGGAAGGAGCACTACCCCGGTTCAATCGTGCTGAAGTACGACTGATGACGGTTGGGAGGTACTTAGTACAGTATTTCACGGGGAAGGGGAGATGGCATGAAATACATGTAGAATGCTCGCAATGAACACTTGTGCTGGTTTCTTTTACATAAGAGGTTTTGAAGTTTCGCGACAGTACGGTGTTTACTGAGAGCGAATTATAGTACATGTACCTGTGCTAGGTACAGACTAGAGCGTGAGAACAAGACGGGTAACAACTAATACCCGTTTGTACCGATGTGATCAGGTATTAGTCAATGTAAAATACATAAAGTGGTGTCTGCCACATATGAGTCCCTTGTAAATCCGAATATATCAGGCGTCTCGTTCTCACGCTCTAGTCTGTATTACTGTCCGCGGCAGCTGATTTGAATGCTGTGATCGGATTGTTAAGCAGGCAAACACAGCTGCAAAACCACTTAGCGTTTGTGCGTAGAAAAAATATTTGTATGTTTGTGCGCAAACTTGTTATAGGATAGCTCTTACCCAAAAGTTACAAACTCAAAATTGCCACTATATGTGGTAGCCAGCCCAATATTGCTGACGCGATTATCTCCCACCTCGGTATTCGACGGCGAAAAATAGCTTCCAATAAATCCGAGGTCCCCAATCGGCCACAATGTGTTCCCCTGAAACTTGAAATCCACCACGCAATATCATAGCACCAAAACTTAGAATTCAGACTCATTATCATAGCCTGGGAGACTAGGAGAGAACTTAGTTCAGGTCCTTGTATTATTGTGGAAACCGATTAGATTGCCCGAGCGGATTACCTGATAAAGCAGCGTTCATGAGAGATTTGACTGGTACTAAATCGGGGATCCTTATGATTTCATATGGAATTGGTAAGGGTATAAATCGGTGTAAGGTTTATTTATGGGGGTTGCCTCATTACCCACCAGAAATACGACGAGCGACCACTTACCGCCACGAGCTGAGTGATTCGCGTACCGGTACCTACTAACGAGAAATAGCATCGTGTGTATTAAATACGCTTCTGTGAGCTTCGACGTGTACTGCTATCTATTTATCAAGTTCTGAAGTCATGTATTTGCGCTGTCATTTCTCGTCAGCATTAGCGTTTGTCGGTTTTACGTTAAATCGGCCACCGAATGCCATGTGGGTGTCGGACATTCGGGCTGATTAGCATGCAAATCAGCCGTCCCGGGCTTTGTAAGCCGTGGAGCAGCTAAATCAGCTAGCCACATGGCGTCGTAGGCACAACTGACCGCTCTGTCAAATCAGAGTACAAATCTTAGTCTTTCGATCTAATTAGGAGGTCGGATTTAGCAAATCAGACCCGATTAAGCTTAATCATCTGCTTAATCAGCCGATCCCAATTAGACAATCTAATCGGTTTCCACAATACTTACTTTGCTTTTTTTAGGGGAAATTGCAATTTGGTCAGGAGTTCGACTTGAAATTTGCAATTTGGTCAGGAGTTTGCTAAGCAGTCAGGACTTCTGAAAGTAAGAATTAAGACGGTCCTAAACACTAGATTTAGAACGTTTTAGATAGCAGATGAGCAATATGCTGGACTGCATCCAGTACTTAGTACTTAGTACTTGTACTGGACCAGTACAAGTGTGCTCTCGGCTAGCAAGCATTACAGCATAAAGCAACTTAGGATCTTACTCTCCGTTACATAGCAACTACCAAAATGGTCAGGCAGGAGGTCGATCGGTGCTTGCTCGTGGGTCCTCAGTGAGAACCAGTAAATTGTAGCGACTCGTAGGCCACAAGGGCCGCCAGTCGTTTGTCTTCGTTTAGCTTAGCACGAGGACTACCTCCTTGAGTCGGGAGGTGGCTGGAGAGTCCCGAGCTAACAGCTCACGACACGAAACAGCAGACGTACGAGCACATTGGAAGAATTGGTTCTACAATGTAGTAGTGTCTTCCAGATCTGGCGTGCCAATTCTTACTTTCAGAAGTCCTGACCGATTAGCAAACTCCTGACCAAATCGCAATTTCCCCAATATTAAAATATGTATAAATCGCAACATCGTGTGTGGTACACACCAGCCATACGTTTGAAAATACCGACGACGAGATGTACAGTGCATGATGCACTCATGCCACTCACGTTGCCGAGCCAGCTAAACCTAAAGCTGTCCCTTAACTTGAAAATATGTGGAGGCTACGCTAAGAACGGAATTGCTCATCCTGCGGCCGCGTTGTGCCTTGCACTTGTGTCCAGATCCAGCGTTCATCCAGTTGTAGACGCGTGCCCTTGCCCAACAGCTTGTGCACCAAGCACAGTAGAATCTCTTACCGCAATCCCGTCGTAATAGATCACAGGATGTTGGCGCACCATTTCTTAGAGGGTGTAAGTCATGGTAGTTGTTGTTGAAATGACGCACAAAAAGTTAACTGTTAAATGGGAGACGATGATTTCTTTTTCTTTACTTCCTCTCACAAGTTATCTCTTAAACAAAGCCCTGCATTTACGGTAGACAAACTTGGTACGCGAAGAACGAATGGCGGATATTTTTAACTACTTACTTTTATACTATGCAATCTAACATGTGATTTTACATGTACATAAACACATATTAACCTGGTACTACGAAGTATGGTCTTAGCGTATCCCATTCACAGCTTGGGCCACTTGGGCGAATCTTGGCCCTGTACTACTGGACGCCGCCCAAAACCACCCTATCAGCCTATATGTCAAGTCCTGCGAGAGTTGATAGACCGGCATATCCTCACCGACCGTGGCATATATCAGGAACCTTTGACATATCGTACCTGTGCATCTTTGATGTTTAGAGACAAATTTAAAGATCGAATATGACACCCCCATATGCTAGTTTTGGGCAACGTCCACTGGACGCCAACCAGATATATATTAACGGGCTGTCATACCTGCAGCAGATATGACAGGGTTTAAAAAGATATATGTTGACATAGCGCTCAAAATCTCCACCGCAATTGTCGTACATGCGTCACTTGTGTCCGCTTGATATCGCCCTGAATCAGGTGGCTTGATAGACGCTTGCTGGGCTTTAAGAATGTACCCGTCATTTCGTTCCGGACACCACCGACGCTGCATCCCTTCTAAATTTCACCAGTTTCGAATTTGGCGCGCGTCGGACACAAGCGCCGGAGCGATGGCCGCAGAGGACGTCGATGCGATGCTGGTGCTGGCTAGCGCCTTCGTCGAGCAGGGGGAGACGCTGCACGAGGTGCGCAGGGAGGTGTACGACAAGCTCGTGGACGAGGCGTGGAGGATCGCCATGCCGACCAGGCACTACCTGACCACCCAGGTCCTGGACACGCCCTGGGACTCCGCGTGGATGCTGTTGTACACGCGCGGAAGCGACATCAACTTCCTAAACGCGACGAGCTTGACCAGGTGCGACCCTACTTACTATCTGAAGTTGCTGCGCTATATCTAATTCATGCATGCTTTCAGGTCGGCTTTCCACCAACTACTGCGGCGCTTCAGCCGCCTTTACTACATCCCACGCAGCACGGCACGCGGGCGGCCCCCGAAGCTCCGACACTACCACCAGATCCTGGGCCTGGTGCTGTGCTTCTACGTCGGGTCGATGGAGCAGAGCTCCCTGTGTATGATGTTTGGGACTCCGCCGAGCACCATATCGAGGACGCTACGCCGCGCCGAGGCTGCTCTGTCGCTGGCGCTGAAAGGCTACCCTCGCCTGCTCGCCAAGCCGAACTCGCAAAGCTTGTGGAAGCCCGCAAGCCGCTTCTCAAACACACATTCGGCTTCATTGATGGGAAGAACTTAAGGGTGAGTTGTAGTTTGTAAAATGTTACTTGCTATGATAGAATGCTAACATCAGTGATATTGTAGGTTCAGCAGCCGTCGAATGCGGACTTGCAGAACGCCATGTATAACGGGTGGTTGCACACCGTTTTCGTGACTGGCACAATCTGCTTCGCAGCCGACGGCTGCATCATTTGGTGTAAGCACAATTGCCCCGGGTCGTGGAACGACTTCGACACCTCCTTGGGCTTCCGTTCCAAGTTGCTCGACCCTACCCTCTGCCCGGACACACGTATGAACGTGGTGTCGGGCTCGGCCTTCCCAGCATGGTCGGTCGCATCCTGACTCCTCTCAAAGATGGCGATCTCGAGAGGATTCTCCCGTCGCTGAGAAGCTCCGCGCGGACGCTTCATAACGCCATCACGTTCGTGAGGCAGGCGGCGGAGTGGGGCATGGGAAGTATGCAAAACGTGGACAGCCGCGTGAACCTCCCCCTGCCGTACGACCCCGAGCTTCGTGGGCACCGAATCAACAACATCTTCAGAATGGCTAACTATCGCGTCCGCACGGTCGGCATCTCGCAGATACGCACGACGTTTTCAGGCGAGATGGAGCTATCCAGCGAGTAGGGTGTCGAACTAGCCGTGTTTGTACTGCATGCGACAATACATTTTTCTTTGTCGTTGAATTGAGCTGCTTCATTATCTCGATGTTGCTGGCAGCAGCGTGCTGCAAACGTTTTGCGACAGAGAGCCGAACTCGATGCTCGTGCGTCTTGCACTTGACTTCACAGAGATGTGTACGCAGCACGAGAAGTACATGTGATGGTGAAGGCGCTAGAAGATCACGTAACCCATGACGGACACGCTAGCGGATCATGAACAACATGTTTGATTTGAGGCTTAGTGGTAAGTGACAAGTATACAGTAACTAGAACGTGAATGATAGCCTCACTTCGAAGAGCATGCGCGCCTTCCGCTCACGCCTTCTTAGTCAGTGCGCCGATCAATATGAGCAGCTCTTGAGCGCGGGCGATCGCATCTTCGCGCTCACGGCGCGCACGGTCCTCTCTCTCCAGCTTCTCCTTCACGGCGGCGCGTCTCAGCTTCAGTCTTGGCTTCCAGAACGCAGGCCTCGTTGGCCGCCTTTTCGTCTCGACGGCGCTGATCTTCCTCGGCGCGACGGGCGTCAACCTTCCGCTCGCTCTCTTCGCGGAGCAGCAGAAGCGTCTCGAGGATGCCTCCTCGCATGTTGCTGGCGTTGTTTAAACCCCATCCAACTTTGTCTTGAGAGCTGTTGTTGCATTCATGGCACGGATGCGCTTAGCTTTGGCGTAACTAGCTTCCGCCGTGTGTTTGTCTTCTTCATGAGCGCGCTTGGCGCCCACCGTGTCGCGAAAGCCGGCCAAGTCCACGCCTCCGAGACGGTTCGACGTCTTGTGGAGCTTGGGGTAATTGGCCGCTTCGGCGGCATCGCGGTTGGTGACAGCGGCGGCACCTTGAGTCGATGGCTGCTGTGAAGCATCACTACTGGGGGCAGTAACAGCCGTCTTACGTGGTGGCGGCAGCCCTCCCGAGTCAGCACGACGTGTACTTGGCGCTGCTCGGACATGAGCAGGACGCGGCGTGCGTGCAAGCTCGTCCAGATCATCGGTGGTCAGCGGCGACGAGAGCAAGTCTTGTAACGCGCCTCGGCTCGATGAGCGGCTGAAAGCCGTCGACTCGTCCTCGGCCGACTCGTCGGAGCCCGGCGACTCGCCTCAGTCGGACCTGCCCACAGTGGCGGCAGTGGGCACTCCCAAACCTTCGCCCTCGCCGTCGCCGCCCTCGTAGAAGCTGTCGTCCGGGTCGACTTCAAAGTAGAAGTCGGGCTGGTCGTTGTCGGCCTCGTCGTCCATCTCCACGACGTTGGCCTTGTCGTCGATGGCACGCTTGACCTCCTTGGCTTTCTTGATGAGCGGGGGAATCTCCTGCACGCCGGTCGGCTTCCGGGTGCTGTGAAGCACCTTGAACTTACGCCGTAAGCTCTCGAAGTCTCGCTCGGGTGAGCCTCGAGGCCTGTTGGCGTTGTACGTCATAGCGAGGCGTTCCCACTCGTCCCTGCCGAGCGGTAGCATCTTCTCGACGAGCGTGAGGAGACGGCCGACATCGGCCGTCGAGTAGTTGGTGGTTCCAGAGTGCTTGGGCATCTACACACACAGAGTCAGCCACGCTGCTCATTGCCACGCTGGACCGTGTTGGCGCGGCGTACCAGGAGTGGTGGGCGGAGGCGAGGCGGCGGAGACACGCTTGGGGGGGGGGGGAGAACTGCTTGGAACGTGGTAAAACCAGAAATGAGCGACGACGACAGCTTCGCCGCGGCGGCAGCTTGCCAGGGCGATGCCTTCGCCGCCACCAGTTCGCATCGATCGTGAAAGGATGCTAGTAGCTCACAATTTCAACGCTGCGCGCGCGAAATCTGCGCGCGCAAATAGCAAGTCAGTGTACGTGAAAACTTCGAATGAAGATGAGCCCATCAACCCGTCGTTTGGTGCGAACCTTGGCGCCAGTTTTTCATGCTTCCCTGCTTGTTGCTAGCCTGCAGCTACTTTGAACTCACGGCAACCACCATCAACAACCGCACAGCAAAGAGGTTATCTCAATGCAATTCATTTGATCACAACACGCTTACCTACACAACTACACCTCCTTCACTTCGCTCCCTCCCCCTTCTCGCTGGTCTCTCTCTTCACCTTGCTTGCTCTCTCGTCCTGCTCCCTCTTTGGCCCTCTCACGGGTCTTGGGCGTCTTGAATGTTACGGTGGCGACAGCCATCCAGCCCACAGCGGCAAACAAACCACAAGTCGTCGCCATAGTCGACTGTCACCTCCTCGCCGCGGTGGATGTCTTGCATCGACGCCACGACCACGGTGGTACGGCGGCCGTTGGCCACTTCCACGAACTTCGCCACCGGTTGGCACGAGTGGTTTACGAAGCGCATCAGCCCTCCCATGTTCTCGCCGTTGATCGCTACGCAGACTGGGAACGTCGGTCGCTCTGGCCGCTGCCTCATCACCAAGCGGTAGCCGCTATTGCGCGGTCGGGTCGTGCGCGAAACACTCTAGCGCTCCATCTCGCCGAGGTATTGCCCCAGCACTTCGCCCGCTTTGATGGCCTCGCCAGCGACCACGCCCAACGACCTCGTGCGCACGTTCCTCCCTAGATACACCTTGCTCGACTCGGCCGGCGCGTTGCCATAGAGCCCCCCGTACGGGCAGCAGTTGATATTGCAGTAGAGATGCATTAGCGAATTGCGGCAGGAGTCCACACGGCACGGCGATGGGCAGTCGCACCACCCAAAGTGAGGCACCGACGGAAATACCGTCGCGAGCGGGTTGAACTGCGCGCGAAGGTGAATCACGCGGTGCGGCCACTGCGCTGAAATGAACCGATCCCGTGACCGCGGTCCCCGTAGTTGCGTCCGAGGCGATCCGTCCGCAGTGACTCGCATCGCCCCGCGTGGGTTGATGACGGGCCGGGCATCGCGCTGAGGCGCCGACCGCAGGCGAGCGTAAGGGGCGGTAGCTTCACGACGCGCACGACGGCCCTCGTGGCGAGGCTGAAGCGCCGCTGGGGATCTCGGCGACGTCTCCAGGAGCACTGGCGACGACGTGGTGGGGCTGGCGTACGGGCGGCTGGACACCGGCGGCGACACGGGCGCAGACGTCGACTCCTGGCTTGGCGGCGGGTTCGTTGCCAACTTGGACTTGGGGCGGCTTCTCTCTGGCGGCAGCCACGGAGGCGTTGCTGTGCCCGTAGCGCTGGCGGACTCGCTGGCGTCTTCGATGCGGCGCTTGCTGCCGCGGTCGTACTGGTGGCTGGGCTGGATGTTCGGCGGCGTGCTCTCTTCGTCCTCGCAGGACGTGTCATTGATGCACCGACGCCGCCAGTGAACGGCGGAGTGGGTTAAGCGCACCATTGTCCCTGCAATCAAACACGAGGTGAGTCCTCTAATAGAGAAGTACATACAAAGCCATCAACCACGCTCACCTTTTGAAGTGTTGGCTGCTGTCGACCTCGCGCCGGTGGCGGCAAATTCGCAACTGAGCGTCTTTTCGATTCGGCGGAAGATATATGATCATCGGTATGCCCGTAGAGTGAAGGATGCATATGCTAGAATGATGGCCAGCATAAAGTATGCTAACAACAAGACAAAACTTTATGATGGCTACACGGCATATATCTAGGGGTAGGGCAGTTTATCGAGACGATATCTGCGTCCCGCGAGATCTATGCGCGTATATGACGCGGCATATCAGCTGCAGGTATGACAGCCCGTTAATGTATATCTGGTAGGCGTCCACTGTAGATAACGGTGTCAAAACATACATATTTTCATGCAAAACATTAAAGGAACATCACACAGTTTAGTCAATACATTACGATACCCAAATAACCCCTTACTAGTGGGACAAAAAACATCTACCGCGTTTGCCCAGAGCATGGATAGATTACTGTGGGCATGATAATTTTTTATGGCTTGCTAGATATTACAATCTTCAACCTTGTGTTTCAATTAATGTTTATCGTACGATCTTACAAGATTCGTGTGTGTAGACAAATATAGGCAACCCGGAGCGTTGCTCCGGGAGGGTACACAGGTCGACGAATAGTTTCATGGACGATGATAACGGATAAAACCAAAGTCGTGCTGTGCACGAAGAAGCTCTGAAATTTCGGCTGTGAAGTTCAAATTTTTATCTTCAAGTGTCTGCTACTTTGTTTGCGACGCTCACGCTTTCTTGGTGCATCTTGCTCTAGGCTACTTGCACTTTAGGTGCTCGCCATCTTCTGACAAACCCCTTGGTGCTCGTCACTTTATTGACAATAAATTTCTAGTTTAAATGTGGGTGGTAACATGCGCAACCTGATGCTTTCGGCACTGAGTCGAAACACGCTGGTTCAGTTGCTCCAAATCTCTGGACAACCTTAATCGGTATTCTGCGTCTTTAAACGACCTTTTCTTGGATTTTAACTGTACACACCCAACACATAGTGTTTCGCCCGTACTTCTCGAGCATTCTCCTGAGCGGCGTCCCTGCCGCGCAGCGTGCACATGATCCATTTTGAACATCCACTTGAGTCGGAGTGGCAGCCGTGCAGTAGCAACGCTAAAGCCATTTCATGTGCTGTCGAGCATTATAGGCGCACATATGCTCAACTTGAAGCCGATCAACTTTAGCAAGTAAGATCGCTTCGAGCATTTCAGTCTGAAGTCCATTGCGTTCAAAAGTGGGTGATATACATAGCAACAACGACACTATGCTAGCAGATGCATGCAACAATGATCGAGTAAGCGCTCAGAGGCACTCACCCCTTCCATTAATATTGTTTACTTCGGGCAGTACCACGACGCGTCCTGTCGGGGGTCGATCACATCGATTACTTCGGCCATGATGTTCCACATGTCCAGCTTCTAGCGTCGCTGTCCACGACCATGACAAAGTCGCCCGCCGTCGGTGTGTAGAGCTTCTCAAATGACACGACGCGGGTGTCGCCCAAAATCCCCGTAGTCCAACCCCAGCAAGCCAACACCACCGGGCTCGGCGTTGTGATGAGCTGTCGTATTCACGGCCGCGTATTGCCTGGACCCCCCGCGGAGCGGGGCCCCTTCCAGGGCTTCGTGTGTACTCGCGGTTGCGGGTTAGTTTCGCGTACTAAACGGATTAACCCCACGTAGTTTGCTGGAACGGATTAATTCCGCGTAGATTATCAGGTGGCATGTAGGTAACTCGCCGCTAGGCCTCCAATCCCATTACGGGTCGTCAGCTCACTGACGGATTACGTTGCATTGACGACCAACTCGCCGACACCTAGGCGGAAAGCATTAGCTCCGGCGGCTAACCGGCACGGGGCCGCACAGTGGTGACCAAACCGCTTATGGCCCAGACGGGGATAGGGATGGCTGGGAGGGAGCGTTGTCGGCACCGACGGTCGGGTAGCCCCGCCGGCCGCTTCCAGCAAACCCCGGTTAACATGCAACGGACGCAGGTGTCCTTCGCCTGAGGGCACACGCGGACCCTTGCGCCCCTCGGTCAAGGCCCTACTCGTGCGCCTCGACCCCGTGGTCTCTCTCCACGGTCCCGCCGCCCTACTCGCCACTGCGCCCCTCATCTTAGTGCCTGCCTACCTTCGCTTACCTCCTCTTACCGCTCGCAGCTAGTCGTCACCCTCGCTTAGCACTAACGTAGTAGCCTGTATCTTCGGTCGCAACGCAATGTATTTAGTCTCAACCTGCTTCAGTTCTGCAACAAATCTCAACTGAGGGTCGAGCCGCCAGACCGCAGCTCGTTGTCCCCGCTTACTTCTACCTCTCCTACACATTGGGCGCCTTCCTAGCCTGCCTGGACCTCTTCCTCTTCACGTCTCATCACCGCTCTCGTGGCGTCCTGGCCGCTCGTTGTAGATCTCACGTCGCATCGCCTCCTCGCACGCTCACTCCTTGTCCCTGCTCGACGTGTCACCCTCCTGCGATCCTCTGCAGACTCCCCTCTTCAACTTGGTCCTCGTGGCGGTGGTAGTAGCCGACTGACTCGCCTCAGCCACCGCCTGCCGCCCGCCGTACACCTCCGCCACCGACTTGTCCTTGGTGGGCCACACGAACGACTACGTCAAGTCGATCACGATGCAGCCGCTGCTCACCAGCTCTGAGTCATGCCCCGCCGCACAGTGACAGGACACACTACTACAGGCATATCTTAAAAAATCACATCGAGGATTTGTTGGCAGTGCAAGCTTGTTGGCTGAGTTCGTGAAGGACTACTTTGGTACAACATGCACTTTGGACGCTGTTATTAGGCAGGATGAAGCGAGAGCTGATGTAGCTTAACGTACCATGATGCCTGTCACCAACGGTGCAGCTTCCGTCAGCTTCGGTTTGGTAATGTAAGTTGTTTACTGTTCAATTGTGACTGCTGATGTGGTGACTGGCCACACAGAACAGGTACGACCTGAGATGCACAGGCATCTACCTCTACTCCCGCATCGATCGTACGTCTCACCTCTATAATGCCACCGCATGGGTCGCAGAGCCACTCGGCTAGCCAATAGCTGAACACTGGAGGTCGCTATTTGCGAAGGTTTTACATGTAAGGTCAGGGAGCCATTGGAGCGGCTCAAAACTGCTCTGATCACTTCATCCGTTTTATTTTTGCTTAGCCGTAGGGGCTAGTGAAGGCATTGTTATAATAACAGAGAGGGGCACCAACTTCCCAGATGAGCCCTACGCGCAGGAAATCTCTGTATAAAACGCTACGTGCTGGTAATCCGAATGAATGATACACTCGGAAGTAATCCCTTTTCTACGTGGTTTTAATCCTCCCTCTGTGATCGCTGCTCAAAACGCGGCGCCAATAGATCACTTCAGAGCTGGTGTGCGTAGTCACCGCGGAGGTGGCAGCCTCGTCATTACTCGCTAGCAGAGATAAAAATTCGGCTTGTGTCAATTATCCATTGGTTAAATGGAATATTGCATTTATCCCAAGAAAAAATCCACATAAAAATTACAGTTTAAATTACTTGCAGTCGATGGACGCGTCACCGACAGGGTCAACATTCACGTGGGCGATTCATAAAGACCAGATGTATACAATATTAGAGGGTTTTCATATTACATTGTATCATGAACTGTTTACTTTGTATACTTATCTATAAGATGTTCGGACAATCATACCCTTTAAATTACGAAGGCTGTGGTTTTTTTGGGACGAAGTCCCCCCTATAATCATGAGACTCCGTTTTATGGAGTTTTTACGACTCTTATATACACTCCGCTTTACTTTTTACATTAACCCTGCGAATGGGTTAGAGTCACAATTTAGAACCGCTCACACGGGGACCAAAAAATAAAAAAATACCTCGGTTAAACAACATTTGGATGCTTATCGGAAGGTGGTATCGGCACGGATTTCTTTGAGCTGAACCGACGTCACTATCTTTAGATGCCATAAAACCAGAGGGTCGAAGTTATGAAACAGCAAAATCGACCGTTAGTATAGAGGATATCAGAAATTGACTTAAACGTGACATTTTACCCTTATTTGGACCCGCTTAGGACCCATTATTAAGCCTATTTGCCTTTCAAACCTTATGCTGTCCGCTCTGCGGCCGTTGGTAAGAAGTCTGCGGCCCTTCGGGATAGCTTGACCAGCGCACAACAGAGAGCCCAAGCGTCAACAAGCAGAGCCTCAAGGAAGCGCCAACGCTACGCCAAGTAGCAAGCAGCTTTGCATGCTGAGGACCGGTTACTGTCGAGCAGCAACTTCTCTAAATTACATTGAAGGCTATGCGCGGATGACGAGCTGGACGATGAGCTGGGGTGTACGAGCCGGAGTCCGTGTCGGTGCTTCTTGGTAGCAACAATGGCTCTCTTTTAGCCCGTTCGAGCTCGCCTGTTACTTCGCTTTGAATATATCAGACAGCTCCAAGTCCTTCCTGGCGCCGATTATTTGCTCCTTTCTAGTCTGCGTTAATTCATTCATTGCGTTGCTCATGGAAAGATGCTCGACTAAGCAAATGCATTAGCCCACTCAATTACAGTTCTGTTGGGTCGATCTCGGGCGTCACAGCTCTGCTTTGATACCCTACATGCATGTGTGATGGTACGATATCGGGCTCAACTACATTATTTTGAGCTAGTTATCGTTCATTATATATGTTTCCTTATTGCGCTCAACGTGCATGAGGTTATCTACCTACGCGTACAGACTAACAGTTTTGAACAGCCGTGCATGCCATAGTCGCGGCAGCAACATTGGCCATTGCGGCTGGGTGCAGATGACATCTGGAGGAAGAATTTCAACATGGATCGCGAAAGGTTACTGGAATAATTCGCTCGTATTTTCTTTTCACTCTGAAAATGAACACACCACGAAATTGAAACATCGAAAGTTAACCCCTTATTCACTTTTCGTTGTGCCAGTGTGCACATTCTGCTATTACACTTACCTAAGTAGGTAAAATACAAGTGTTCTGGCATTCGAACCACAGGTCAGGTGTATCAGTCTACCGTTAATAACAACGTATGAATGGTACTTATGTTGCTTGCAAAATAGCCAGCAAATCGGGGAGCGTGAAATGGGAAATAAAGCGCTAGAATTTGCAAGCGGCTTTGTACTCAAATTCCACAAGTGGGGACGTCGTCCAAAACTGTGGTCAGCATAGTTTTGGGGGTCGACCCCTAAAGCAACATGAGCGCAGGTCGACCCTAAAGCAACATGAGCGCAGGGACTGTGATGCTCCGCTAGTGACAAAAAAACTTTATTTATGAAGTTTGAGAAATGGGTGACCCGTCCAGCAGATATGCAATTCAAGCAAAGAGGGCGTCGCTAACCACTGATATATGTAATTAGCGCTGAAAGTGGTATCACGGGTAGACTCTGAAATACATTTCAGAGAATTGAGTAAATCCCAAAGTTGTTTTGTTTTTAATCCCTAAAAGCACTACCAGCCCAACTCTTTAGTTGATTCTAACGTGGGCATCTACTGCGCCTGCTTCGCAGCCGCAGCATCTGCCCGAGAATGCGTAATTGAACAAATAGCTGCGCACATCGAAGTGTATCGATACGGAAATGATGTTTCAGCCAAACCTTTGTGAGGCTGGTAACCAGCAAGCCTCGCTCTTCTTTATCCTGGTGGGTTCTCAGGAACCGAAAGTCACCAATTGAGGTTGCCTGGTCTGATGAGGCCATCACCCTGGTCAGCATCCAATGGCTGCGTTGGCGCCAGCAACGAGAGAGCTATTTCATTCATTTTGCAGGTAAGGTTTACTGTGCTCATTTTTGTACTATTTTGTGTGCTAACGATCAGACGAGAGAGTTACAGTAGCGGAACGAAGGAGAGACGCATGGTGCGCTGATCTTGACCATTTAACTTGAGGATGTTAGCTAAGTGACAATACTGATCCTCAATTCAAAAACAAAACGAACGAACGAACAAACAAACAAACAAACTTTTGACTTGAGGGCTTGTGGGATAAATTGCGGAATGAGATATACGCTAATGGACCAATTCCTGACTCCGGAATTAGATCGACGAAGCGCGAGTGGACGGAGCCCGTAGGAGCGCAGGCGACCGAAGCGTCGTTTTATGCTGAAGATTGTATACCAGACTGAAGAAGCAGACGTATGAACATGGAGGCAAGCGGTTCGAGAGAGAGAAACACGACGTCGTCACACGAAGACGTAACTATGGAGGGCGCGGACACACCGGCAGGGAGCTTGAGTAGCTCCAGGGCCAAACGGCCACGCGCACAAACAGATCAAGGGATGACGGAAGATGAACTTGATGAAGAAGAGCTCATTCAAGCTTTCACGGAGGAAGAGCGGGCTGATATCGAGCGCCAGCTGCAGGACACTACCACAGAAGTGGTTTTCGCAATGAATGAGCGCTTGGTGAAGGTCAACGACTGTCGTATGACGCTAGCCGACTTCAAGCAGGACATCATCGAGCTGTGTAAGCAGTTGGGCGTGCTTTTCGAGGGAGACGAATTGATTGAAGGCATGATGTTTTTATCAGGGCGCCCAAAGAATCTGGACCGAGCACTATGATTGATGCTGAAGAAGGGAGAGATAACTGTGGAGGGTGTGCGCATTTGGGTACAGCCAATGTTCACGGGCAAAACGATCACGCCACTTACGCTTAACGAATTGGAGGACATGAATTGCAACCGTGTCTCCGTTTCCCAGTTGTGTGGCATTGTTAAGGAATGGGGTGGAGCAGAATCCGTAATGGTTTCACACGGGTACTACACAGATCGGTACAACATTCGGCAGCGAGGCAGACGCCCTGTGCAGGAATGTTTACAAGTGGCAGCAACTGAGTCGCCATATCCAATCTACTCCTTCCGGCTGTTCTTCCCAAGCCCCCAGGCAGCGAACAGAGTGTACAAGTCGTACTTTGAGTCACAGAGGGGGCGGCTACGGGGCCATGGAGACCCGACGAGTACCATGAAGTTGAAGCCTGTGCCACATGCAGAATGGGATTCAGCAAGCAATGAGATGTATCGACCCGCGGAACGCGAACACGGTCAAGAATGATTTCGAGTTGGCATCTTCGGATTACGAGTTGAGATCAAAGCAGCAGACATTGAGGAAGTGTTCGAGAGTAATGGGTTGGGTAAGGTGAGAGTTGAAATTCGTGGAAAGCAACCGCTGTTTGGTGTGGGAACGTGTATGTTATCCGACCAGCAGAATGCCATTCTCACCCAATTCGGTCCCGAAGGCACCAATGTGACGAGGCGATGCGGTGTTCTCTCCCAGAAAACAGTTATAGGCCCTCCTTGACAGACCTCAGGCTACTAGAGCTTTGGATCCGTCTCGGCTGGCACAGGGTGTGTGTTGTCCAGTACACGCTGTTGGTCAGGCGCACGATGTGTATCCCTTGGGTAGCGGTTCTTTTCACCAGGAGGTTAGTATCGACCCCGTGAATCAGACAGCTACGCCGGGCTAACGCTAGAACAATCCAACCCAATAGAGTTATACACGTTATACAATCACACAAATACTTATTTGCCCTCTCTTCTTTCTCTAAGCCCAAGGCTAAGGCCAAAACACAAGTCAACTGGTCCAAATCCAAGACACTTGATCAATCTTGGGGACGCGCACCACCTCTCAGAGAGAGAGGAAACGATCTACCCTGTCGCCAACTTCTTCAGTTCGACACAGGTCCAATAGACCGCAAATATACAACAAAGACGGTCTGCAATCCGCCAAATATACAGATATGGAATAGATATGATCACTTCCAGGCCGAAGCAGTGGATCACTTACCTAGAGTAGTTTGAATTTTGCCGTGGAGAATGGCCTTCCAGGCTGTGAAAGAAGCACTTGTGCCCTTCGAAGCAAAACGAACTCTGTTTGGTTAAAGGTCATATGCAGACGAAATCTTTCCTAAGCGACCCTTCGGAGACTGCGATCTTTCTGCGGAGTGTTGGTCTGGCCTTGAAGGCTCGCCAAACTGGATACCTTCTCGGAGTTGTTGGGTACACCTAGGATCTTGGAAGATGCCATAGTGAAACCAAGTGTTCTTGGGTTTGGAGCCTCGGAACGCCTCAAGCCGAGGTCGTTCTTGGAATTTTGTGGGAGGTAAGTCTGGGAACGCGAAGTCTGGGAATCGTTATTCCGGGAAAACAACGGGGAATCTGAGAAGTGCCTCAACTCCCAGGTTGTAAGCCAGAGTCGAGTTCCGCCGTACTTAGATATACTGGGGAGGATCGCTCGCATTCCGTTGCACTTCATGGAAAGGGATCAACTCGCCCACATTGATCTATCTTCCGGGATTCAGCGTCCATTCGCAGACATTACCCTTGTTACTCCAAATCATCCAGTATCACCAAGCTCCACATCATTGGGACTTCCCAGGTTCATGTGCATTCACCCGAATTTAGGGATCGACACCTCGTCACAACCGCCCCATTGGCCAATTCGAGCCACGGAGGCAACTGGAGGTCCCAGCTATCTTCTGGTAATAATGCTGCGTCGAAGTCATCTTCTTCGGCCACTTCGATCTCCACCGTTGGGCGTTCTGGAAGGAGCGCGCTCGGCTTCAACCTGCTAATGTGTACCCAGGGACCTATTCGATTGCTGGTGCCTTCGATCTTTAGCCGTACGCGGAAATCATCGCGGACTTCTTCAATTCGAACGGGACCATGCCACATATGCGCGAATTTCTTGGTCAACCCGGGTTGCACACAGGCCAGATACAGCCAGACAGAGTCACCAACTTGGAATCCAGCGTTGAGTCTTTCCGAGAGCTCCTGCCATCTCTGAGTCTGAGCTTCTGAGCGCAGCCGTTTAGCTTGCTTCTGTAAGTCTCGAGCTCAAGCATGGGCGAAACTATAATCGCGTTGCAGCTTGCGTCTCCACTCGTAAGCCGACTTCTGTTCCAGCCCCGCGGGTGGTGGACCTAACATAGCCGACACTGTGCTCTTCGCATCCCAATCATGGACAAGATAAAAGGGCTTTTCGAGCCGGGTCGAATCGAAAGAGGTGTTTAAGGCGAACACCAACTTCTCCGCATGATCATCCCAGTCGCTCTGATCTGCCTCCGCTACATAGGCCCGGATGCTCCTCACCATAGTCTGCACCGATCTTTCTTGTTGGCCGGTGGCTTGAGAGCGATACGCCAACGTCGCTTCTTGTTTGGTGCCCAGCATTTCCCTGAATCGCCTGTAAACTTCGCTCATAAATCTGGGGTCTTGGTCGTGCCTGAGCATGGAGCTCGCACCGAAGCGCCGGAAGACACCCTCTTCATAAGCTTCAGCTACGTCTTGTGCTGTCGCCGAACTCATGGGCCCACACATCACGAAACCCGAGAACATATCTTGAAAAAGCAAGAGAAACGTATTCCCTCGTTCAGATTTCGGGAGGTACGTGACAAAGTCCATCGACAGCACTTCGAATGGAGCGTTGGGCTCAATGTTCCCAGGCGACGGCCCGGGATTAGGCGCTTCCCCTTTCCAGAGGCGCAGTCCACACACTCCTTGACAAGACGTTCAACATCAGCGTAGAGGCCTGGCCAAAAGAACTCTCGACGCAGGTGTTCGTGCGTCCGCGTAATTCCTTGGTGACCGCCTTGAAGCTCTTCGTGACAGTGATGCAGCAAATCCTGGCGCAGATCATGAGGAACCACTAATCGAGGTTCATCTCGTGCATCTCTTGGCCTAGCAGCAGTCGATCGGCTCAGATAGTAAAGAACGTCTCGGGAATCCAAGACATAATTGTCAGCAATCTTCGCCATCCTCTGTGCTTCCAGTTCAGAGAGTTCAGAGAGATCACCTCGCAGGAAAGCTTTCAACTGTCGCGTCCATGGGTCGCCATCTTGGTGAGCCTTAATGCGGCGCCAGCGCTCTGCTTGGAACTCCAAAGGTGTCATGCCTGGGGTATCAGACTCCGTCTCCTCTGCATCACGAACTTCCGCTTGGGCTTGGCTCCGGGTCAGAGCGGCTAGCACGCGCGCCAAGAGAAAGTGGTGCGTTGTCATAATCTGGGAACTCATCTACAACTGCTCTCAGTACCCGACGCTCAGCAGTGCCTTCGACCAATGGATCGACAACTCCAGATCCAGACTGTTTCACCAGCTTCTCAGGGATGCGATTCACCAAACGCAAATGCGACAGCTCAAGGGGATCATCGATAACCAGTGAGCTCGTGCAGGTTTTGACGTACTGTACATGTACTCCCTTCTCTGGTCTAAACCACCAACTCGAGAGTAAGGCCTTATCATATTAAAGTACGCCAAAATGTATTGAATTAGCTGAAGTCACTACACCTGCAATTGTAATACAAATTTTGTATACTTCTTCACAAAAAAAACCGAAGTTAATCGCATGGACGCGCGCACATGTTCATGGGCTTTGCTTCGCGTAGAGACCACGCCGTCGGAAAACAGTAAAACTGAGTACATGCGTGGAGGTTTGCGCGGTAACAAAGTTTACGTGGATTTAACGATTTTACTCGAGGGCCTCCACTTTCTCAAGCATAGTTTTCACCAGTTCCTGTAGCTCGCCATTCATGCTACACTGTACTAATGTTATCTAAAAACTGGTATGTTCCTAAGCATTGAAGTAGGTAATTTTGTGAAAGAAAAGCTCTTCAAACAGCACCGATAGCCAATAGTGATGGGGACGCAAACGACGTTAACGTTTACCTGTCATATAGTTTATGCTGTATGATAGGTGTTCGGCGAATTTTGTTGTTTTGCAATAGCAAGTGTAAACGTATGCTAGTCATAACTATGCATCTGGCGTTAAAATTACGAAACTCGTACTAGAACTACATCAAAACTACAGCTCAACTTTTGAATCTATGATATAGAGTACGCTGAATGATGGGTTTTCAGTTAACGTTGTTTACGTTCCCCAACACTAATAGCCAATGCGTGCAACTAAATTCAGCAAGCATATGCCCAGGGGCCTCTCCTCAAGATCAATCATTGTGCTTTGAACACACCGGATGTCTGTGTTTCACAATCTTGTATCATACATTTTGTAAGTGAATCACGCTCAACAAAGCCCAAGATCGAGCAGTTCTCTTCGAGAAGGCCATATGGCGCTTTAGCTTCCTCCCGACGGGGCCATATTTCTTCATTTTCAGATCGTCGCCGAACCATCAATTGCTCTTTTACCTCAAACAGCAAAATCTCGTCGTCATGCGTCTCAGCCTCTTCCTCGTGCTGGTCGTGGCCACCTTCGCCGTCCTCGTGAGCGCCGAAAAGACCACCACAGCTCGCCGCCTCAAGAGAGCCGACGACCTCACCGCTCATGAGGAAGAGCGGAACATCCTCGCCACGACGGTTTCAGGACTGGCCAGTGGCGCCGAGAAGTTTTTGAGCCCCGCTCTCCTTGCCAAGTTGCCGAATGCGCTCAGGAAGAACCCTGCGGCTGTGAATAAAGTCGACGATGCGGCTGCTGGTGCTGTTGTTGCCGCCGACAAAGTTGCGGACCCCGCTGTCATTGCCACGGTGAAGGATGCGCTTAAGAAGGACCCTGCGGCTCTGAACAAAGTCGACGATGCGGCTGCTGGTGCTGTCGACAAGGTTGCGGACCCCGCTGTCATTGCCAAGGTGGAGGATGCGCTTAAGAAGGACCCTGCGGCTCTGAACAAAGTCGACGATGCGGCTGCTGGTGCTGTCGACAAGGTTGCGGACCCCGGTGTCATTGCCAAGATCGAGGATGCGCTCAAGAAGAACCCTGCGGCTCTGAACAATGTCGACGACGCGGCCGCTGGTGCTACTGGCGCTGCTACTGGCGCCAGAAAGATCTGGGACAAGCTCGCCGACACTGCCTTGTCGGGCGGCCGACTGAAGAAGGTGGACACCACGACCAGCCAGTGGAAGACTGAGTGGGCCAAGCTCAAGGGAAACCCGCAATTCGCGGGTATTACTGAGGCCCAGGCCGTCAAGATGACGGAGGCTGCTGCCAAGGAAGTGGTCAAGAACCCGTCCAAGTGGCGTCACTTCAAGAAGTTCTTGGAGATTGCGTTCGGTGCTGTGCTAACGGGAGTCATCGTCGCCGGCTTCAACTCGATGGTTTCTTAGACTCGACGGAACTAAAATAGCTCCTGTAGCTACGAGAATACTTGGGATCGAATAGCAAGACTGTGTTCTGACTTTCTTTCGGCCACGTCAAGATGGTGATACCTTGGTATGCCAACACTTTCGTCATTGTGAGGTGTGCCTTGTGTCTATTATAGGTGGCACTTCAGTCGGTGCAGTGCAGTGCTACTACCTCGTACGCGAATCGATCATGCAATGCCGACCTTCAAATATTCAGGTCTTTACTCCGGGGCGCTACCGTGTGCGGATAATGCAGGTTGGCCATGATCAAAGTTTCGTGTCTAGTTGAAGCCTCGAAGCTAAAGGTTACAACGAAAAGCATACAACTCAGTTTACGGTAGGCACCCCACCATAACTGCAGCGTCGTTGAAACAAGCTTACCCTGCTGCACTCATCTCGATTTAGCTACGCGTAGCTTTACTACGTGTTCACCGCCCCTCGGAGCGGAGGAAAGACGCTAGAGCAACATTCCACACCACATTTACAAACACGTCGGCGTCGGTTTGCTGACCGAAGCTGTAAGTATTTCTCCAGCAACCTTTAGAGCTTAGTTTTTTGGGTTGAGCGAGCCTTGCTTCACGTGTTCATTATTATAACCAAAAAACAAATAGCAAAATACTTAGGCCGTGTTCGACTTGCATCCAATCCGTCGTCCCCCACCATACCCATTTTAAATCCTCAAGTCGTCCCCCTATTAGGCGTGTTAAATCGACCCAATCGGATCAACGGGATGCCTCGTCTGACTAATCCGGCAGTGAATCGCCTGATTCCGACTCCGAGTCGATTGGATCCGCTTGTCGATATGTGATTACAAAGGTAAAACCTTTTATAATAGCTTATAGTCCAGATCATAAATAGAGGTGGATTCATATAGAAAGGTCCTCAGAAGCATCTAATTGGCTTAAAACAAGCGATTAAGAACCAATAAGATATGTGTTCTCTTTATCCTCATACACATTTGATACTCCATCCCAAGGGGTCGACTCCGACTGCAGCTGACACTACCTGCGCACGCCTGCGGCTCCTGCAGGTTTTCGCTCGCCCTGTTGGCCCTACGACTTCACCCGAGCGCTTCCCCGCGAGCATTCTTCTTGAGGATCGCGGGACTGGAGAGCAAGAGCAGCGCCTGGCGCCACAGCGAGCGCGAGGGCTCGCGACCGGCCTCCCTCGGACTCATTTGCGCGCAGCTGAAAGAAGGTCGCGGATGCCGGCCCGATGCTGGTCGAGAGCATTCGCAAGATGGATCACGTGCTCAAGGTCATCGAGGCGGCCAAGCGTCGCACCATGATGCACATGACCGGCTTCGCGGCTACGCTGACGCTGCTGAAGCAGGCGCTGGAGGCCCTGTTCGCGAAGACCGACGCCAACCAGACGCGCATCCTGCACTCACGGGTTCGCTGTCGTACTTGCCGCTGTTGGCTCCTTTCCACACACACAGCTGCTGACTGAGGCCAAGCCGAAGCAGGTCCAGGACGTTGAGCGTGTCAAGTGCGCCATCAAGGACAGCCAGCTGCAGCTGCCCGAGTACGCTACGAGCGAGGAGACTACCAACCTGCAGACGGTGGACGTCGTTGTCGATGAACTTATTAACATGCCGTTGCTGCAGCTCGTTGACTGGACTGCGACGTGGGCAAAGATCGCGGAGCACCACTCGAGCGCGACTCACGTGCTGGAGTTTGGACCTGACCTTGGCGTGGCGAAGCTGAGCGACAAGTTCGCGGAAGGCCTGGGCATCGAGGCGGTGATGGCGACCGCCAAGCACCCCGTCATGAGCACATCGACGAAGTACACCCCTCACATCGGCCTGCAGCAGTTCATCGACGCTACGCCGACCTTAACTCCTGCCGAGGTGATGTGGGCGAAGAAGTTCGGCCCGCATGTGACTGCGTCGGGCGGGCTCTACAACAGGTTCACGCACGCGCTGAACAAGCCCCCCCCATCATGGTCGCGGGTATGAAGCCCACGACGAGCCTGGAATGTATTGACCTCGTTGCAGCAATCCAGAATGCGGGTTTCCACGGCGAGCTTGCGGCGGGTGGCCTGTCGCGCCCGAACATCTTCGAGGACGCGGTGAACGAGCTGGTGTCGAAGATAAAGCTTGGTCTTGGCATCGCGATCAACATGCTGTACCTGAACGTAAAGCTTGGTCTTGGCATCGCGATCAACATGCTGTACCTGAACGCGAAGCAGTGAGGCTTCCAGTTCCCCATGGTTCTTCGTATGCGCCACAGCGGCGTGCTTATCGAAAGCATCACAATTGCCACTGGTATCCCAACGCAGGAGCGTGCGCTTGAGATGATGTCGCAGATGGAGGCCGTTGGCATCAAGGTGGTGTGCTTCAAGACCGGTTCGGTGGACGGTATCCACGCGGTGCTGAAGATTGCCGCGGCGATGCCGTCGATGACCGTGATGCTGCCGTGGACTGGCGGCCGCGCTGGTGGCCACCACAGCTTCGAGGACTTCCACCAGCCGATGGAGGAGACGTACGCCGCCATCCGTCGCGTGTCGAACGTGCTGCTGCTGGTGGGCTCTGGCTTCGGCAACTGGGAGGACTCGAAGCAGTACCTCACGGGCGAGTGGAGTCTGGCGCGCGGCCACCTGCACAAGAAGCCTGCGGATGGTGGAAGGAGTTCAACGACAAGTACTTCTCTATCCCGCGCGAACAGGTGGAGCTGGTGCTCCGCCTGAACAAGCAGGACATCATCGCGCGCCTGAACGCGGACTACCAGAAGCCTTACTTCGGCTGTAAGCGCAACGTCGAGACGGGCGAGGTTGTCCCGACGGAGCTGGAGGAGTGGTCGTACGGAGACGTGTTGACGCGACTGGTCGACTTGACCTACGTGGAGGTGGAAGGCAAGCCGCAGCGCTGGGTGGAACGACACGTACGTCTCGCGCGTGAGCAAGTTCATCACGCGCACGGAGGAGCGTTTCCGTCACGAGAGCGCTGGCGCACTGTTTGACCAGTCGGAGCTCAAGTCAAACCCGCGCGAAACGCTGAGCGCATTCATTGCGAAGTACCCTGCGACAGTGTCGACGCTGATCTCGGTGCCGGACTGCGACTTCTTCCTGGAGCTGTGCCGCATGGGTGGCAAGCCGGTGAACTTCGTGCCTGCGATCGACACGGAATCCAAGACAAGGTTCAAGATGGGACTCTCTGTGGTACTCGGAGGAATTGGATTCGGTGTCGGAGTGCGACGAGCAGCGCGTGTTCACCCTGCAGGACCCCGTGGCTGTCCGCTACGGCACGGAGGTGGACGAGCCCGAGGTGGATATTCAGGGAGGCATCAATACTGGCTTCATCAACGTCGTGAAGGAGAGCGATGCGATTGCTGCCGCACCGGTTGCTGCTGCCAAGCCGATTGTGGACATCGCCGGTGCTGAGGTCACGAAGAGCGAAGGCAGTGTGGAGGTGTCGATCTCCACTGAGGAGGACACCGATCTGTCTGCTGACGAGTAGATTGCGGCGCTCGCCGCGTCCGTGCGCGAAAGGACTGGCTGGAGGCGCTTATCCTGTCAACTCACGTCGTGGAGAAGAAGATGTGGCTTGTGATCCCGGTGCGTCTTCTCCCTTCGGCGGCGATAAGTACGTGATCGATGTCGCCGGTGTTCGCGTGTTCGACAGCCCCATCGACATCTCGGGCCCCGTAATTGAGATCACGAAGAAGGAGGCGTCGATTGTCGTTGTGGTGAACGAGGTTCGCCTGGCGGAAGACTGGCGTCGTGGCGCTGTAGATGGCGCTCCAGTACTACCCTGAGCTACCATGCTCGATCCACGCTGAGGGCAGCGGCTTCATCGACAAGATGTTCTACCCCTACTTCTGCGTGGCCATCGAGGGCACGGAAGAGGAGTCGTGCGAGGCGGCGTGCACGGAAAGAGTGATGTCTCCTTTCACGGCCGACTTCAGCATCACAAAGGAGGAAATCATGGCGTACCGTACCGCGTTGGGTCTCAGTAAGGACGAGGAGGGTGCCCCCGCCGACTTCGTGACGATCGTGCCGTGGCGTCCGCAGATCCGGTCGGTGTTCACGAAGGAGGTGAAGGCCAACCTGCTGGGCCTGGTGCACCTGAAACACGTACAAGCTGCTGGCATTGCACAAGGCGTCCGCGACGTTCCTGCCTGACGACGACATCGTGACTCACGATGCTCATGATTCGTGAGCATGTCAAACGTCGGCAGTCTCCCCATCATCGCCAGCGGCAAGAACGTGCACGGTGGCCCTCATTTCGCGCAAGACGGTGGGCGAGCAACTGGAGGAGGTGCTGTTGCCGCTGGTGGGGCTGCACAGCGAGTTCCTGATCCGAGGATCGTTCAATGACTTTGAGCCGATGTTTTTGATCGATAAGCCGACGGACGATTTCGTGACCAAGCGCCAGGAGGATGTGGAGATCCTGAAGGCGAAGTCATGGCTGAAGCTTGCTGCCGAGGCCTCGGTGAGAGTCTGTGTCCTCTTGTCGTTTGAGCTGACGACGAAGAAGCACTACGCGTCCATCAACGCACTGAGCTTCGTGGAGGCTACGGTCGTGCTGTGCCGTGAAGAGGCTGGTTCGAAGATGGAGACCGGCACGGTCGATTCAAGAGGAGGTGAATGCGAGCCCTGTGGTGGCGTTCCTGCGCTAGGTGCAGTATGGTATGATGAAGCAGGCGCCGATGGCGTTTGGGTTCGAGCAACCGAGGACTCCTGGTAGCGGTCCATACCCATGGTAACCCCGGCAGAGCCCTGGTCATCGCGAGACCAGGTGCCCTGGTGGTATTCACCTGCGCACGACGTTCGGTCACTTCATCCTCGAGATGGTGCGGAAGAAACAGAAGTCCATTACGGCGCACTTTTGGTGAACCAGTAGCCCCTGAATCTGGCGACCATGCGGTTCTCACGAGTACTTGGAGTTCTCGTACTTCGAGAACATACACGAGGGAACGAAGAGCCCATAAGTTGTGGAAGCGCAGGACTAGATGCAGTTGCAGTTCACGACAAAGGATAGCCTATGTGGAGCTATTGATGTACAAGCTTACACTTGATTAAGACGCAAGTGATTAAGTCGCAAGTGCCCCTGTTCTAGAAGGGCAGAGGACTCTGCTCCGTGAAGATTTCAACCCTTCCGACGGCGACGAACTTGGGTGTGTGCACAGCACGTTGGTGACTTAGTGCGTGGGGTGGCCGTCTCCTTCGGTGCAGAAATGTGGGCTTTGCTCGAGCTTCGTGACGTTGTTGACGGCCGTCTAAAACTCGTGGGCGACATCGGCGTTTTACTTGACGATGGCTACAAGGGCAGACTGGAAGTTGTGATCAAAACTATGCTTCAAGTTGGAGTACAGACTCGTACGAGTTGGAGGCGCGTGGAACGGGTGCTGCTTGTTCATGTGGTTCACGAGCGCCATGTCGGTGTGCTTACCGTACTCGATGCGGGCGTTCGCGGACGCTGGCAGCTCCGCCGTCGACAACCCGCCCGTGATCATGAATAGGGCCGACTTTGTGGGCAGCTGGAATGGACTGGATTTGTTGGATATGTACTACATATTATGTAGTCGATTGGAGGATGGCCCGGACTTGGAGAGCTCAAGTTGAACTCGAGGACCACACGACCTCTGGTCAGTAGCACGGTCGGCGCGAGAGGAACGAGGTCGAACTGGTCGACAGTCATCTTGTTCTCGCATGTGGTAGTCGTGGATTCCGGGAGGATTCTGCAGCGCAGAACTATGGATAACGAAGGCTTCACGATAGAATTTTTGAGTCTAGACGGCTTCGAACCGAACCTCGCCTACAGCAGAGTCGTCGAAATGAATTGCACTGGAGGGATGATGAATCAATAGCGTGTATTTGGTTTGATATGGGTCCCTATGGAGGTGATGCGTGGGTAATGACTATTCGCTGGTCCCGTCGGCTTCAAGTTTGAGAGTTGCTTCGTTGAAATCCAGAAACGATTGCAGCTCAGAGATGGCTGTGACGGCGTCGTCACCGAGGCGTGCGCGTCGTTTGCTCACTGTTGTACCAGCTGCTGAAAAGCCTGCTCGCTAGGAACTGAAGTCGCCATGACAGCAAGAAAGTCACGGGCCATGAGCTGAATTCTTGGAAACTGGTCCAAGCTTCTCATCCACGCGCAAACTTCGTGGCTGCTCGTCTTGGAGTTCATTGTTTTGTCGCGATGAGCCATCCAACGGTCCAGCTCTGACGCGAATGATTCTCCTTCGAAGCTGGCAGGCTTGTCAGACTCGAACGTGTCGTCGATCAGCTGGAATAACGCCTCTCCAAGTGCAGCGTCGTGTTCTTCCTGCTGGCTGAGACGAGGGCTCCTTGCCTCTTGTTGCTGGCGCTCGAATCGGGCTTTGTAGGATGAGTCATACTCGTCCAAGACGTACTGCCGGATGGTACCCATGTCGTCAACTATGCTTGGGAGAAGTGACTTTGCCCGTGGATCCAAAACAGCGGCTATCTGAGCTTCGCGACTCTTTACATGCGTCGTGTACTCGTCTAGTTTCGACTTGAATGCCGTCGCGAAGTCTGCAGTGAAGCTGGAGTTAGCATGGAGCGCCACCTTGGCAGCGTGATTGGAGATGAGCGTAAAGACGACCACAGCCATGCCAAAGGTTGGATAGTTTTTTTTCAGACATCATGGTAGTTAAAAGCTGTGAGGAAACTGCAGAACTCGGTCCGCATTGCCCAGGCTTCGTCTCCGAGAGAATAAGCAAGCCGGTCGTCGGCTTTGATGGCGTAGTCCGTGTAACCTTCGTGAACCTTCACGGATGCGGTGGAGCGGTTCTTGCGCAGGTGGATGGCTGACAGCACCATTTCCCAGGTGCTATTCCAACGAGTAACGCAGTCGAGTTCAGGCTGACGAAAGGTTACCTTCAACACCTTGCACACCCTTTTCAGCTCTTCGTTCAGCGCAATCGATTCCGTCAGCTTCTTCAGTACATCTCGAATATGGCCAATACTCGTCTCTACGATGGAGCACACCTTTAGGCCTTCTTTCACAGCCAACTGCAATACATGTGCGAGACATCGCACTTGAAAGACATCGTGTGGCTCGCAAAGCATTGCGCTTGATTCAGCCGTCATGGCAGCAGCTGACGACGGCATCGTCGCCTCAGCGTGTGCTTCAACTTCATGAGGCAGCTTTGCCTTGATCGACCGCACCATGCTTACATTGTTCGTAGCATTGTCGGTAGTGATCGCCCAGATAGTGAGTAGAAGCGCTCCATCCATGGATTTCACAACGTCAAGGAGGTGGTCAGCTAGCCGAACACCAGTATGGGGGTATTCCACGCGTATGAATCCTATGATGACGACGGATCGCAGGTTCCAGTTGGCGTCAATCCAGTGCAGCGTCACCACCATGTAGCCTTTTTTCGCTGGGGACGTCCACAAATCTGTGGTAATACTCGTACGACTCGCACCAACATCCTCTAAAATGAGGCAGTGCAGGATGATCTTCCGAGCCAGGTTTTTCTCCACCTTCCAGCGCTGGATTGCGTGGCTTCGGACTGTCTGGCGGCAAGGTACCTTGTAGGACGGCTGTAATGTTGCGTAGAAAGCGATGAACTTGGGCTGCTCGACGGTCAAAAATGGCTGAGCGTTCGACACGACCCAATCAACCAGAGCTCGATCGGCGTCGGCTTTGCTGAAGTCACTCCCTAGGCGCTGTTTCACCATACGTTCGAAGCCATGGTAGAATAGATCCGTCTGCCTTGATGTGCTTGCATCCGTACCACCGCCGTACTCGTCTCCGTGGTATTGCTTGAGATGGTTACGCATTGTTGTGTGAGCCGTCGAGTTCCAGACCTGTGTTTTGCCCTCCCACTCGCAGCACTTGCAGGAGTATCTGCCATTACCAAGCTCTTCGGATCGATAGCCAATGAGGTCAGCAAAGTACTACTTCGAAGTACAGCGGCTCCAGAAAGTCACCACCCAGGCAACTTCAACATCGATTTTGGGCAATAGCTAGACAACCACTAATCGGATCGCAGTGGTGTGGGTACGAGTAGAACCGTCAGCGAACCTCAAGACGAAAACATTAGCCAATAACATCGGTTCGCGGGAAGTGTTCCGCCAATCACCGTTTATTCAAAACAAGGTGCAAATATACTGAGCGCCCAGTGGCTGGCCTCTTGCCAATTATATAAAATTTTGTATGGAGTGTCACAATGTTGCACGAATGTTGCTCGATCTAACCCATGCATTTTGGCGGCAACGCACCGATCGTTACCGCGCTAGTTGCTCTCATTCTCCTATTCACCTCACTTCGAACAAGTCAAGCTCAACTATGGACCAAGGACGTCGCTAGCACTCGCACGAGATCCGTTGTCTCTGCGTTAGCAAGTGGAAGAAGGGCTACAGCTACTCTAGAATCGCGAGGGAGCTGGAGATGGCCCGCTCGACAGTGCGCGATATTATCGCACACTTCAAGTTGAATGACCACTGTGTCGTAGCTCCGCGCCAAGGCCGCCCCCGGCTCTACTGCCCGCGATGACCGCCGCATTCTCCGAGACACTGAGACCAACCGGTTCTTAAGCGCGGCGGTCCCGGCTGCTGCAGTTTCCAAGGACACTGGCCGCGTGGTGTCGCCGCAGGTGGTGCGCAACGGCCTCAACGCAGCCGGCCTCAACGGCCGCTCTGCTAGGAAGAAACCTTACCTCTCCAAGAAGCACCGCAAGCAGCGCCTCGCCTATGCAAAGAGGCTGGCTCATCTGGAGAAGGACGACTGGGCGAATGTCCTCTTTACAGACGAGGCATCGGTGGAGCTGCACGGTACCAGCGGTCGTGTCTCGGTGTGGCGCCGGACACATGAAGCCTTCCATGAGAAGTGCGCCGTGCCGACCTTCAAGTCCAGCCGCAAGTCGTTGATGGTGTGGTCCTCCATCTCGGCAGACGGCGTCGGCACGATGCACTTCTGCGAGAAGTCCGTGGACGGCGCCTACTACCGACACCTGCTTCAACAGGAGATCCCGATCACCCGCCAGCTCCTCGGTCTACCCCAGCCTACCAACTTCGTCCAGGACAACGCTCCAGCGCATCGCACTAAGGCCATGACGAAGTTCGTGAAGACCTTAGGACTCCATGACCTTTGTCACCCCGCCCAGAGCCCCGGTCTCAACCCAATTGAGAACGTGTGGGCGATCATGAAGCGGGAGCTGAATCACCAGCCAGCAACCTCTATTGAGGACCTCAACGAAAAGCTCCGTGAGATATGGACGAGTATCGACGACGATGTCATTCGCAAGTGCGTGCTTTCCATGCCTGCTCGCCTGGACACTGTCATCGCCAGCAAGCGGGCTCACACAAAGTACTGATTTGTGACTTGATTTTTGTATGGGAACGAGGTGGGCGGTGATTTTTTATCACCGTGTTTTGTCAGTTTTGCCAGATTTTTCCTGATAAAAATACAGCAACGTTACGTTTTTCCTATTCATTGACCTTCACTTGGAGTTTATCCTTTTGCGGTTCCGCTCGTGTTTCTCCGGCAGGAAAATATTATCTAGTTCGTGAGCAGTTGCCAAATATATTAGCTGTATCCTATGTGGGCGGTGACTTTCTGGAGCCGCTGTACAATTTTAAGTGCTCTGAACATATTACATGTACAAATACGACGTAGTGCTGTGATAATGTCCGTATAGTTTATTGGAAGCTGTGGTTGGGCTCACGATCAGCATCATCAGGACGTATGCCCAACATTGAGCTCAACGTTGTAGAATATAGTTGTCAGTAGCTAGCTATACGATGCATGCTACGACGACGAACAATGTAGCACGGGCTGCATTCTTGCATTCTTTCTCCACGAAACGTGTATTTCGATGGAGTCCACTTTCTCGGGTTGCACACGTCTTGCCCTTCAGCGCGGTTCGACACCTGGCGATTCTAACGTATATGTAAATTTTGAAAATACTGTGACACGGCATAAAATATGCACAAAACTATGAAGTACAAAACAGTACATCATATTGTCAGGCGAATTTCTTGTTGTTCATTGCACGACTTTGTCTACCGGACTTCATCTTGCCGGATATTTCGTCGTAGTCTGTAGAACCCGTGTGTTCATGTCTAAACTGGATAACCTGGTTTACATCAAAAACAAACTACGGCTAAGCCGATCAGGCAAGTTCCCAACGAACAGGCCCAGTTTTAAATTAAAGTTTCGTTTCTGCGAGCAAGCCCAGAAATGGAATGATTCAAGTAATCGTCGATTCGGGCCACTTTAGAAACTTTTGGGGTCTAGAACTGGTTCAAACCATCTTCGAGGCCTAGCATAAATTGGAGATGCTTCTTTTTACATAAATTGGAGATGCTTGTTTTTACTAAGTACAAATAATACCAGTAAGGCGATCTATTACGCATAATTTCATAATTTTCTTGAGCAAATGTGTACGTATCATACTGGTCACCAAGCAGCGTGGCTTTCTACGTGCATGGCTACCCCGTTTGAACTTCTGAAAGTCTTTCGCCCAGCTTGGCGGAACGGCACACTGCACGAGCTCCGCGACTACGATGTGACTTCAGGCGCAACTTTATTACAGAGCTAGCAGGCTACGATTTCAACTTATAATTTCAGTTGTCTGTTTATCTACGTGTCAATTCGAGCGCTGAATTGATTGAGGAAGATCCACGGTTTCATGTGGCATGAATGTCGTTCGATGTCATCCGCTAGGCGGGGAACCTACGAATGTAGCGCGAATGTCGTTCGATGTCATCCAAAAACCTTCCAATCGACAGTTCTTCGAACTGCGAATTTGGATCTATTCTAACGCATCTTAATAGCGTCTGTAGCGGCCAGTTGCACCGCGCAACGAACAATACAGTTGGCAAATATCGTTCTGTCCTCTTCACTCATCTCTTGCTTGATATAGATTTTTATTGAGGATGTTCTCCTCAACAGGTCGACTTAAATGCCACGATGAGTACGGATATATAATCACGGCATTGGCAAAAAACTCGATGTATCACGCAAATGGACGTAGAGAGCAAGAGGGGCGAAGACCTTCAAGCACTTTATACGTCGCAACATAAAGCGGAATGTTATCCTTCACGGCATCCAACTTGAGTTGAACAGGATCCGAACGAAACCTCGACAGTTTATCTTCCGCGCTTTCGCCCCTGGCACTATCATCATCAAACACGAGCGCAATGCAACACACGTGCTTCCCAGCATCTAGAAACGGCTTCGCAAACGCCCACAGCTCCACTTCGTCGCACTTGTGGGTAGTGTGCGACACCACCTGCAGCAATCAGAAGCACTCCACAGTATTTTCATCATTGGATGACTCCGGCGGTTTGCCCACAATTTTCCACTTCGCAACCGCATCAAAGGCATCGGCTCGTCCGACTCCATCGACGAGTGGAACGTTATTGTACCCTTCACGTTCTTGATCTCCCTCCGATCCACCATGCCGTACTCGTAACAAGATATGCGAACGCAACGTTGGCAGCGTAAATGCGAGCGGAAAAGGTATTCCAGCGCAATACCAAGGGCACGAGGACCATTCATCTCTTTCGCTATTATAACAAGCTTCAGGAAAAAGTTGGGTGTTACCATATCCACGAGGTGCATCAAGGCCATCATCGAGGTAACACACGACCTCCAACACGATAAACGCGTATACAGCTCCGCGTTCCTCGTATCCGTTACCCCAATCATGCGAACGCGGTCAATCTGATCGTCTGAATAGCACCTACGCGTACTGAGCAGTATGTCTGCGTTTCCAGGTGTGAGTTCAGACAATCCAGCTTCTAGATAATCCCTAGCATACTGCTCTGGAAGCACGAAGTCACGAACACTTCCTCCTGACACGGAAATCCGACTGGCGACATCGCTCTTGTTCAGCTCTCCGAGTTTCCAGCCAAATCCTCCAAGTCCTCTTGTCTCCAGTATGGAACAAGACACGTCACCTGCTTAGCGGCGCGTTCACCATTTCTCTGAAACTGTCCAGAGACTGCTAGGACAGTATAAAAAGCGGTTAAATCGCGCTTCTTGACATCCAGCTGAGTCAATCCGTCGAGGCAAAACCAGGAGCGCGACTGATCGACCCCGCTTCTGAGGTGGCAGAGGTTGTCGTATATTTTGTTGTCCACGTCGATCCACTCGTAATATTTGCCTTGATCAAGGAACCGCGTGACTGGCCAGTCACCTCCAACGCGGAACCACCTTCTTCACGACGGCCAAGTAGAAACAAATCAACGACAAAAGGCAGCTCTTACCGATTCCTCGACTACCCACGAAAATGAACTGCTCTTTGGGGTTTTCTGCAGTCTTGACGCCGAGCTTCACATCCATAAAGTGCTTGAAATTCTCCAGCACACGCACAGTCTCGTGGTGCAAGTAGAAGTTAGAACCGCCAAAGTGAACGATGGAGCCGATCGAGTGGATGTCCTTCACTTGTCCGCAATTAGTGTCAGTCCACTTGAACAAATTCATGATCTCGCCGCTGTCCGGCAAATTGCATCAATTTCTGAAGATAGGACAACTTGCGCGGCGCCCCGAGACCAGTACTTTTATTCCGTCTTTTGCGGTCCTCCCGCAAACACCCATCGTGGCGCCTCGAACCCGAGCTCGACCCGTGGCCGGCGGTGTGTGCTTCCACACCAACCCTGGAGCTGCAGTTGCGGTCGTCTTTGTTGTAGCTGTGAGTGTTCCTCCCGTAGCCTGGATCCTCCTGGAGGTGTTGACGTCTCGACCCTGAGCTAGATGCGCCTGAGTCGGTGGAGCATTTAGACCCGGTGCGGAAGTCGTACGCACTGCGGACGTCATTTTGACTAGAAATGTACCTTTCTGGGTGTTGGATCCCTCGACGATCTTCGCCCAATTCTGAGCTATTGTACTCCGACGGATGTCCAGCGGTGCGGCAGTCGTAGGCATCACGCTCGTAACTGTATCCCGTGGGCATGCGATCGCTGGTGCTGCGAGTGCTCATTTCAGAGTCGTAGCGCCCTTGATAGTCTTCGCAGCGCCTTATTCTCGACGCATTGTATCCGGCGGGACATCCATCGTGGTTGTAGCTCATGATCGCGTTGGAGAAAAATCAAAACTAACGTTGACGCAAATAAATGACTCATAATTGATTGATAGAAATCAAACTGATTGGTAAATCGATCAAAACATCAAGGGTAGTCGTAATGTATTATTCTTGAGAAGTTGTTGCAGACGGACGGCCAGCTCAAGACTGGTCGCGATGTGATGGTTGTTGCTCTGCTCGGTGCTGAGGAGTTCGGCTTCGCGACCGGCCCGCTGATCGCTGATGCGCAAGTGCCACCTGAACACGTGCCCCGTTGGCGTCGCCACGCAGGACCCTGAGCTGCGTAAGAAGTTCCAGGGCCAGCCTGAGCACGTGGTGAACTTCATGTTCATGCTGGCTGAGGAGGTGCAGGACTACATGCGTCGCCTGGGTTTCCGCAAGCTGGACGACTTGATTGGCCGTGCCGACCTGCTCAAGGTGAACCAGGACGCGCTGCACTACAAGAGCCGCAAGCTGGACCTGTCCCCGCTCCTGATCAACGCCAGCACGCTGAACGAGGGCGCTGGTGTGAAGAAGGAGATGGAGCAGGAGCACGAGGTTGAGAAGTGCATCGACATGCGTCTGATCGCCAAGGCGAAGGATGCGCTCGAGAGCAAGACCCCGGTGGTGATCGATGACGTTGCAACCAACCTGGACCGTACGCTCGGCGCCACGCTGTCGCACGAGATCTGCAAGCGCTACGGCGAGCAGGGTCTCCCCGACGGCACGGTCCACCTGAAGCTCAAGGGCCACGGCGGCCAGAGTCTGGCCTTCGGTCTGGCCAAGGGTGTTCGTCTCGACCTGGAGGGCGACTCGAACGACTACGTGGGCACCGGAGGAGGCGGTGTACCCGAGCCCGGACTTCTCGGAGCGCGCTAACCCGGAGAACGTGATTGTCGGCAACGCTGTACGAGCGGTGAGGCGTACTTCTCGGGCAAGGCCGGCGAGCGCTTCTGCGTGCGTAACTCTGGTGTGAAGACCGTGGTGGAGGGCGTGGGTGACCACGGCTGCGGGTACATGACGGGCGGCCGCGTGGTCGTCCTGGGCCCCACCGGACGCAACTTCGCGGCCGGTATGTCTGGCGGTATCGCGTACACCTTCGACGAGGACAGCAGCTTCCAGAAGAAGTGCAACATGGGCATGGTGGGCGTGGCCCCGCTGACTGAGACGGCGTCGGCTGCCGAGATCCATGAGGTCAAGGCGCTGATCACCAAGCACCTCGAGCGCACGCACTGGGACGCTTCGGTGACCAAGTTCATGCGCGTTATGCCGTACGACTACGAGCGGGTGCTGCTCGAGCGCGCGGCTGTCGTGAAGGAGACCAAGAAGTCGGCTTCCGCCTCCGCCAAAACTACAACGATCACTTGGGTGGTACTCAAAGGGTTAAGATATGTACGAAGGGGAGATAGTAAAGAGCATGAAATGTATAACCAAGGTAATCACAGAACGGCTATGACTCATAGCCTATGAGATTGCAAAATGCTCATGAACTTTGAACAGCACCACTTCTCTCAGGTTTCACGTAGGGCGTTGGTTGTTTCACCCATGGGTGCCCAATAGTCCGCCGGAGTTCAGACGATGAAGCTGCTGACAATATGGGTGACATTTGTTGGCGGTTGTTCGAGTAGGCGAGCAAAGTCAGAGAATGATAGCGGCATGAAGAAGAAACAGGCATGTGAGCCAATGTGCACGTAGTAATGACTTTTGAAACTGTCTGCAGATCGTGGAAGTGAGGAGATAGGTGGCTGGCCCTATTATCGATCGGAATAGGCGACTTACAGACTGTAAGTTACAGCCGTTTATACGTCGCGACATACAGCGGAAAGGTTGGAGGCGTCCCGTTCCCAGCCACTTCAGTCTTCTTCTTTTTCTCGATCACTACAGTACTCAGTCGGAATGTCTCCATTCTTTTGGTGTTCTTGTCTTTTTCATCATCTTCATCCCCACACAGAAGCGCCATATAACAGACTTTCTTGTTCGCATCGAGAAACGGCTTCGCAAATGCCGACAGAACACTCTCCTTGCACGTGTGTGTTTCGGCCATCGTTAGCTGCAACAAACAAAAACGCTCCTCCGTATCGACGCGGGGATCCAGTAGTCCATCATGTCAGGGTTTTCTGCCCACTCCGCCATCACTGCTGCGTATTCTCCTAGTGTTTTACCTTTGCGCTGGATGGTTGGATCTTCGCCCGATCGAGACGACCGGCCAAATGTTATCGTTCCCATATCCAGACGCATCACGTCGCGCCAACGATCCATATTGGTCATCCGATTCAAGTTGTCGTACTTCATATAGGATATTCCAACCGTTTGTTGCTGGCGTACTTGTGAGTCGAAGAGCTGTTCGCGTGCAACACCCAGAACGAACTGATGGAAGAAGTCGGGTCCCATCATTGTCAACAAGGTATTCAGCGCCAATTTCGACGAAACAAACGCTCTCCAGTAAAATGGGTCAGTGTACTGCTCCGGATCTGTCGCGTCACGTACTCCCATCATGCGAATGCGGTCAATCTGTTCTTGTAAGTCAGTTCCATTAGGAGTCAGTAGACAGCCTGCCGTTGCGGTGTTGATGTTAAGGAACGCAGCGTGCAGTTTCGTCTTGGCCACACCAATCGGGATCACAAAGAAACGAACGTTTCCGCCTGACACGAACTACCGACCAGCAGGGTTGTCCAATTTCGATTTCCTTGCCAAATCCTCCAAGTCGTCTTCTCTCCAGTACGGCAGCAGACAGGTCACCTGGTCTAAGCTGCCCTCGCCGCTCGAGTCGAATTCCTCTGATGTCGTTAGTAGTGTGTAATTAGTGCCAAGGTTCTTATTCTGGAGCTGCGTCTGATTCATGCCGTCAATACAAAACCAGCAACGGCGTCACTGGATTGCGACTCATCGATGGCTGTGAAGATGGCGCTGTCAAGGTCGCGCCACTCGTAGTACTTGCCTTGGTCAAACAAACGCGTAACTGGGTCTTCCTTTCCTTCCGTAAGATGGCGGTGCCATACAACCGGTACATCTTTTTCGATCGCCAGGTAGAAGCAAATCAACGCCAAAATGCAGCTCTTGCCCGTTCCTGGACTTCCCATGAAAATGAACTGCTTCTCGAAGTCCGCATTCGTGTCCTCGAACAACTTCTCGTTGAATACGTCCCTGAACGCCTTCAGCACACTCAGGATCTCCCTCCGCACGTAGAACTTTGAACCGGTAAACCCAACGATGTCACCGATCGCTTTAATGTCCACCAGCTGCCCGCAATTACCGTCGTTCCAGTCGAACAACTTCAGGAAGTCTTCTGTTTTCTGCGGCAAGTCTCCATTTTTCCTGGCGCTTGCCTTCAGCTCATTCAGAATCGATGACGGTGCACTACTGGTCTTCTGCTTCTTCTGGAATGAGTACGTGAATCACGTATGTGCTGGCCAAACTTATCTCGTAATTTGGTCGGCGGCTACAGTTTTTTAAACGGCGGCGTACCAGTGGCGTCCTTCGGAAGCCCCCCTAACAAGAGCTTGTCCAGCTCCTCGTCGGCCACTATCCACTCGGTCTGCCTGTTCTCCCCCGTCTTCTGCGCCAAATAGAGGTTCAGTTCTAAATGACGAGCCCCCAGTTCTTCCGCAAGCGCCTTCACCACGCTGTCAACGTTCTCGCTGAGCCTCTTCGTAAGGGAAATCATTCCGCTCATACCGAACACTCCACAAAATAAATCGATCTCTTTTTCTGCCCGTGGAATCATCTTCATCCCGTCCTTTGCAGGCGGCGTCATGTGCACGCTCAATCTCGCCTCGCAGGGGCATAAAAAATCTTTTGAAAAACAAACAGATTGATCCAGACTCAGCAATTCTGTTCTGATTTTACCACAATGGCCACACGGTGTTGTCATAGCATCCGTCGCGATTTTGTCGATGCAGTGATTCGGTTGTGCGTTGTGGTTCGATATAGTAGCTAGATACTTCGAAGTACATAATATGTCATATTATGATACTGGTAGCATAGCGCTCAGCAAACCGAACGCGAATTGTTCGCGTGTTCCTTCAGCTCCAATATGATGCTTGTCAGTCTCAGATCGTCACAAAACTGTTGACAACCTGCACACGCTAGCGTTCTGCCACCAGGCGAGGGGTGAGACGCCACAAAGGCGCATCGACAAGCTATCTACTGGAAGTAAAGACTTCCACCTGACACAAAATAGCGTCGGGCAACATCAATATTGTGCAGATTCACGAGCTTCCCAGCCAGATCCTCCTACTTGTCTGTTACCTGTTTGGTGAAACCTTGACTTTCTTGACAAACTTCACCGAGGTCGCTAGCAGCGTGTAAGAAATGTCCCAAATCCCCGGTCTGGCTCTGATTCAAGCCGTCAAGGCAAAACCAACAGCGAGATGAATCGACCCCGCTCTCTAGGAATATTTTTTAAATATTCCATTTAAAAATGGATCGGTCGCTATCCATCCATTCGTAGTATTGCCTTCGTAAAAAAAACAGAACATATATTTTCATCTCCGTGGTGCCACACAACTGGAATTTCCTCTACGACCGCCAAGTAGAAGCATATCAAGGCCAAAATGCTCCTCTTGCCTATTCCAGGGCTCCCCAGCAAGATGGAGTGCGTCTTGGGAGATATCTCTGTGGTTTTGCCGAGTTTCGCTTGCAAAAACTTGTTGAAATTCTCAACCCACACAAAACCCCTTTCCGCACATAGAACTGGGAACCAGTAAAGCCCACGACGTCACCAATCGTTTGAGCATCCTTCACCTGTCCACAGTCGAAGTCGTTCCAGTCGAGCAGCTTCAAAAAGTCCCCGCTGTCCGACAAACAACCGCTTTTAGTGCAGGTTCTCTTGAATAATGCTAACGAGACTTCGTTAATGATCGTGGTATGCTTCAACCTGGCATTTGATTTTGCTCGTAATCGCGCATGTTTCTTGTGCGAGTGCACGTACCGCGTTGACATGGATCAGATTGAGTCACCATCTACACTAGGATCGCACTTCTGTCACTTGAATCGGGCACGTAGCTCCACAAGTATGTGAGCCGGATCAGGTTGGTCCCAGCCATCCTGAAGCAACGATGATAGCTCTTGCGAAGGAGTGGAAATTCCGTCTGACCGGACTCGTTTTTTAACAGGTCCGCGCAACAAGGAGCCGTCCAACTTTGAGTCGGCCTTCACCCAATTCGGTGAGGTGGAATATATGAAATGACGTGTAGCTCTTCACCAACCGCACTCCTCACGCTCGTCATGTTCACGTTGAGCTTCGTTTTCACAGTAATCATCATCGACAGATGATACACTGCGCAGTAGACCTCGAATTCATCAGCCATGCCGGTTTTCTTGCATACCGCAAGACTTGTCATCTCCGCGTCGTCAGGAAAATGTCTTTCTTCGTGGCTTCTTAGAGGTTGATAGATAGATCAAGGCGACCTAGAAAGAAGAAAGAGAAAACCTAGTTTTTCTATTGTAAAAAATGAGGTTCATGAGGAGAGGATGTATAATTACAAGTGCGCTCAAACTCACCCGGGATACAAGTGCTAGCAAGTCTAAGCACAAGACTAGTTTAATATGACGGCGCCTGACGTCCGAACGGCAGCTCACGGGGGTTGCCATCCTTGTCCGTGAACAGCCATTTCTCAATCGCTTGCAGCGCCGACGGCGTCTTCTGTAAAGGTGCAGAAGGCGGTCGACCAGTAGTTCGTCTTGGTCGGCGCGGGGCCGTCGTAGTTTGTCGTTGCTTGAACGGGAAAAACTGACTCGTCGTCATGCCAGCACCTTCTCCACTGAAAGCACCAGCCTGTGGTGCAGCGTCCACTTTAGCCGCAGGAGTCGTCGAGTTCGATCCTGGCGTTGGTAGCAGCCAATTAGCAATGCGATCCGAGAGCGAGTTCACCTGCTTCTCGGTATCCACCACGCGCTGCCTCTTGACTCTCGGGGCTTCGTGCATCTCCACATTGCCACTCGTGCTGTTGTTCTCCACACACTCCCGCTTCCGCATCGCCGGCGGGAATGACGCCACTGCTGAAAACCTCGAAGACGCCGAGCGTTCCGGCGTCTCCTCGGGCACCACCTCCTTCCCTTGCAGCGGTTTAGGCGCCGAAAAGGAGGAACTGAAGCTCCTACTCTCCGCCACCACCAGATTCTGATGCCGTCCCACGAACAAATGCAACTCGTTCGTTTGGTTCCGCAACAACTCCAGCTCCAACTCAAGCGCCGAAATCTACAACCACCAAATAAAAAAATATTAATATACCCCTCAATAATCATAATAAAAGTAAAAACAAAAAAAAAACGCCCAACTTACCGGCGAGCGTTGGAACCTGCAACTGAACAAAATCTCACTTATTGTGTCCTTGTCGTGCTTCCTGAGCACGTGCCACCTCTGCAGCTTCCGCTGGTCCTGCAGACTGGCCAATGGGATGACGACGCTGCCCACCACCTCGTCCGCCCCGATCCGCTCCTCCTGCATCACGTCCACTCTCAGCGTCCCCACAGCGGCGGGGAGGCCCTGGAACATCAGCGCCTCGCTCCAGCGTGGCGTGTAGCCCACGGGCCGCTTGGCCGTGCACTTTTGCTCCATAACTGTAGTGTTCGGAGTCGGCGTTGTTGACCGCCGCGGCCGCCACGACCTCCGCCGTCACGCGCACGTATGCGCGCTGGCCCGAGAGGAAGCCCGCCTTGAAGAGCATGTTGCGCCCGGCCTCCACCTTGACGTCCAGCTGCGCGACGCTCAGGCCCGAGTCCAGGCGCTCGTCCACGCCCGTCACGGCGTTGTAGCGCAGCTCGCGCCGCAGCGCGCGGAGCTGCGAGATCTTGGCGGCGCGCGCCTCCTCCAGGCGGCGGATGCGCGCGGCCACGTCGTCCACGGCGCTCATTGTACGGGCAGCGGGAGGGAGGGGAAGGCAAGTGCTGCAGTTGCAGTTGGAGGTGGGGGAGTGACGGCGGAAAAGGTCGCGAAGGAGCAGGAAACTCAGAAGTTGGTTTGGGATGTCCGTTGCGGGGTTTTGGTCCGACTTTATTTCGCGAGGGCCAATGGGGTGGCGCGGAACGGGGAGGTATACTGAACGCAAGTGAAACGAGTAGCTTCCTAAGTTTTTGAAGAACTTGCGGCGAGTTTTGCGCTGGCTAATTTTGAAACGGCCACGAACTAAGGCTTTCATTTGCGCACGTGGGCGTGGTGCTGTTCTGGCCTACGTGTTGACTGGAGGGTTGAGAATTACAAGGCATGCTAAGCTTAGCACAGACCTGACTAATGCTTGTCAAAGGTAGAGGTCGGGAGCATTCATGTACGCTTACATCGAATGCACTTTCGAACGACTACACTCCGCAAGAGGAGCACAATTCCTCGCCATTTTCACAGTGACCCTCACTGTTGGAGATGTGTTGTGTTCAATCAATAGTTTTGAAGTCTGGCTCACTTGTACTGGTAAGCTCGGCATCAGAATCATGATGAAGTTCTTAATTCATCAGTGCACGATCCTTTAACGGCACAGTGTTGCTACTGTAGTAGCAGTGGCTTCGAAGCAGCCAGCTTGAACCCTGGTCTATATTGAGTTGTAGCGGCCTTGACCGCTGATGCCCACACATTTATAAAAATGTAGCAGCTAGTACGGACCATTTGAATTAACTTACATTTTGTTATGTAAGTTAATTCAGATTTTGAAGCTTGGAGCTACACTCGTAGGATTGAAGAGCTGCTGCGAACCTAACGTCCCGTTCAAAGCTGTACAATAGTGGCACCAGTTGCTTTCTGATCTTTCGCTCACCGCACTTACAATACTAGGGCTCCGCGAAGGCTGGGATAGGAGGTTTTTGGTATAATCGCTTTCTATTATTATGAGTTTTTGTTTTTACGAACCACGGGCATCTCCTGCGCCTGCTTCGCAGCCGCAGCGTCTGCCCGGTAATTCACCCCAAAACTGTAGATAGTGCTTATACACAGTGATAAAACGAACCTTGCTCGAGATCTGTTTGTAGCTTGTAGAAAATGAAAATGTTTACCTTTGTATGCTTCTGCAGCAGTTCGTCCTCTTCAATCATTCACTTTACTTCACTCCTACTATTCGATACTGGTATATGTTACTGACTCATACCGGTTCAATCTGCCCACGCATATAAACCTTTTGGACGCAGTGCGGCACCGCGGCCGTACCGGTGTAATGGGTTTTCTACCAGTTCAACTTGCCCACGCATATAAACGGGCCCAGTGCGGCACCGGGGTCACACCGGTTTCAGGACAATGTACCAGTTAGGTGTCAAGAGGGGTCACCTTTTGACTTGACTGACGTACCACGGATATAATCCTGTTTGGTCTGCGATAGGCACACACCGAAAAGCTCACTGTCGCTCTACAGGGGCGTAACTAGGCCCGATTAGGGGGGGGGGGGGCGTGCCCCCCCCCCTAACTTTTGGTTTCCCCTCGCTTTGTATGCTATAATCCATACTATTTTTTGGCCTAGACCCGTGCCCCCCCCCCCCCCCCCTAGAAAAAGGCTCTGGTTACGCCCCTGGATAGGAAGCAACATTAGTGCTGCTCCGCTTTGCTTTTGACTGTGGATACTTTATGCAACCTTTCAAAAGTACCGCGTCATCACTGTACACTTGGAGCTGCTCTGTAAAAGTAACGTTTCTGAAAAACACGCGCTGTCGGCGATTGGCTACAATTCCAATTGTTGCTCGCGATTGGTCCATAAACCGTCCTGATCCCTCTCTCTATTCGTCCAAAATCCAATGCGGCCTCCTCATTGGCCAAAACCCCCATCTCGGTCGCAAAAACATGTTGCCCCGGTGGTCTCGCCACCACCGCCCCCCGTTCCTGCGGCCCCCGTCCGCCCGTTCAGTGCCAGAAATCCCTCCCGAGTTGCTCAAGCCCCGCCCGTTGTTCACCATGCCCGCCGGAGAAGCCAAGCTCAAGACCACGCCGCTGGACCCGCGTTTCCCCAACCAGAACCAGGCGCAGCACTGCTGGACGCGCTACAACGAGTTCGTCCTGTGCCTCAAGAACAACGACGGCGACGAGGACGCTTGCAAGAAGTACCACCAGTACGCCGCTTCGCTCTGCCCCAGCTCCTGGGTACGTTCTCCTTTCCTCACCTTATCCATTGCCGGGTTAGCACTAGCCTAAACGGTTAGAGACGATTAGAGAATGATGTTGCTGACGGTGTTGCATTGATTTTTGAATATTAGACGGAGCGCTGGGACGAGCAGCGTGAGGAGGGCACGTTCCAGGGCGTGCAGTACTTCAAGGAGGAGTAAGCTTGCTCTAGTCTGCGTCTTGTGATCCTCATCCCCCCTCTACTGCATCATGCGAAGGTCGTGAGAGACTGCAGCGTCGCTGAGTACCGATAGCTCTTTTCAGGTTATTCGCCACACGACGCTGCAATTGACAGCAAATCCCCTCCAAAATGAACGTTTGCCGTCTTGCCACTCTCGGCCCCAACACCCTACGCCGTGTGCATCATTAACCTGCAAATATCAAAAACGAGAAAAAAGAGAAAACCATTGCAACAAACCGCAGCAACTCAACTTCACACATACACGTTTGATCCTTCATCCCGCCCTTGTGAGCCAATTATGCAACGGTGCCAATGTCAGGTTTCTAGCACACAAACGCTATTATCCGGGACCGTACAGCGTAAATGAAGATGCCGAGCGCCTTGACCTTCGAAGTGTTGGGTCGCTACCACCGCGCGCGGGCGGCAACACTCACGCTGCCTCACGGTCCGGTCCGCACGCCCGTGTTCATGCCCGTGGGCACTCAGGGGGCCATCAAGGGGCTCACCACTCCTCAAATGCAGGAGAAACCCGTGGACTGCCAGATCTTCCTGGCCAACACCTACCACTTGGCGTTGCGTCCTGGCACGGACGTGTTGGCGCAATTGCCCGGCAAACTGCACGAGTTCATGCAGTGGCCGCGCAACCTGCTGACCGACTCGGGCGGCTTCCAGATGGTGAGTCTCTCGAGACTCTGCGAGGTGTCGGAGCACGGCGTGCAGTTCGAGAGCTTCGTGGACGGATCCACCATGATCCTGACGCCGGAGGCCTCCATCGCCCACCAGAACAACATCGGCGCGGACATTATCATGGCCCTGGACGACGTGGTGTCCAGTCTCGCGGACGACGACGAGCGGTTCAAAGAGGCCTGCGAACGCACGGTGCGGTGGCTGGATCGCTGTATTCAAGCTCACGCCAATCCGGACAAGCAGAACTTGTTCGGTATCGTCCAGGGAGGACTGGATGTAAGCGAAGGAGGATTGAGAGACCAGTGCTTAAGTGAACTCATTAAACGGGACTTGCCAGGTTACGCTATCGGTGGATTGGCAGGAGGGGAGTCCAAGGAGGCGTTCTGGAAGGTGGTAGCCAAATGCACTGCTCAGTTGCCGGAGAACAAGCCGAGGTATCTCATGGGTGTCGGGTATCCGCTGGATCTGGTGGTGTGCTCGGCGCTGGGCGTGGATATGTTCGACTGCGTGTACCCGACACGCACGGCGAGATTTGGTACGGCCATTGTCCCGTCGGGGCTGTTGAAGCTCAAAAGCGCCAAGTGCGAGCACGATGAGCGACCCATCGACGACACGTGCGAGTGTTTCGTGTGCAAGAAATACTCGCGCGCATACCTGCGCGTGCTGCTGAAGAAGGAGGAGACGTTCGGCGATCCGGAGGAGACCACGGGCAGTATCGGCGCGCACCTCATCACGTACCACAACGTTACGTACATGCTGAATCTCATGCGTCGACTGCGTCAGTCTATCATCGACGAGAAGTTCGAGGAGTTCGTGCGCAACTTCATGCTGCAGCAGTTCCCGAACCGGGACTACCCTCAATGGGCTGTCGATGCGCTCACCGAGGCCAAGATTTCACTCGACGAGGGCGATAGATAATTGACAGGGGCGTTCACTGTCCAGAATCCACTACTTGTTGGTTGTCATTTTACTGTCGTCCCCTTCGTCTTGTCAAAGGCACTTCACTGTAGAATTTCTAACACTACGACGTCTCTCTCTCCTCGTATCACGCAGTGGGTCAGTAAACCCACCACCTTGGAGTCTTGACGTGGGGAGGTTTGTCTTGATGGGGGTTCTTGGCGATGAAGACGCTTGCTACTCTACGTCAGCTCTGCACATGCATACAAAGATATGAAGGAACTCACAGGAAGGAGGCTGGCTTCCCTGCTGACCAGCCCGGCTTGGTGCCATCGGGCCTTACTGGTGGGCCACGCGCAATTGTTGCTGGCTGGGATCTCGGAATTCTGTGCAATATTCTCTCGTACTGCTGATCTTCGAGGAAGCGCGCTGATGTGGCACCTAAAATCGCTGGTTCGGATGGTGAGGCATACCTCCCATAGGTGACAACTGCAGTTGTTGCTGGCCTTGCGGTTGCTGTTGCATGAAGCTGTAGGGGCCTGAAGACCCAGAACCTGAAGGCCCATGCTGCGTATTGACATAACTCGGCTCGTTCCACGATTCCGAAGTCAGAGTCGAGGAGGTCTGCGGGGGCAGATTATCGTCGAGCCCTGCACTTTCCAGCAGGACATCGATGTAGTCTCTGCCCCCCTCTTCGTGATCCGACTGCTCTTCCTCCTGCTGCTGCGGTTGCTGCTGTTGCTGGTGTGACGGTATCCGTTGTGGCAGGAATTGTTGCGGCTGGGACATCATTAGCCGTTGTTGGGGCTTTTGTTCGACGCTTGACCGCGGGTGTGGATAGCCTATAGTGCCGATGTTACTCTCAAAGGTCGGCATCATGTTCTGCGACGGAATGGGGTCTCCAAACTTGAACGGTGAAATCATGGAGTGACTCTGCTGCTGGGGCGGGTATGATGACGCGGCAACAGAAGACGAGGAGTTGACGTTCACGGTGGTTGGCCACCCCCTGCAGGTCTCGGTCTTGATGGTGCTCGTCCACCCGTTGCCTGACCCACCCTTGATGCTCACCGGCTCATATCCAGATCCTCCGCCGTAGATGTTGGGCTGCCGGTTCATTTGAGGTCGGTATTGCTGCTGTTGCGGAGCTTGTCGTTGCTGCTGCAGTGGATAAACATCTTGAGCAACCGAGTTGGACGAAATCGGGAGTACAATCGACGCATCGGCCTTGACAGTAGAGGCAAAGATCGTCTGGTGCGACGACGACGACGTTGTAGAAGAAGACATGAACGCTTCGATCTGGCTGATTGACAACGGTTTGCCGCCGTTGACTCCAGGATTGTAGTTTGTCAGGAGCTGGTCACTTCTGCGTCGTCCGAGGTTAATCGCACTTCTAGGAGGCCCGAAGCCCCCACTACTTCCACCCCCCATCCCAGGCATGTTCAAGTTCATCCCCATACCTATGGAGTCTCCAAACCCAGGCGGCAACACATGAGGAAGACTTTGCCTCTTCCCTCCAAGTGGTTGGTAGGGATACCGCTGCGATAGCTCCTTCGCCTCAGCAACCTTCCTCAAATACAGCATCTGTTGCTGTGCCGTTGAAGCGTTGGCAACGGAATCGTTCCGAGCCTCCATCTCCAGCTCAAACTCCTGCTCGGCAGGTGTCCCAGCCCGTTTCCGTCCAGGTAAGGAAGCCGCCGACGCCGCTTGGGCTGCTGCATGGGCAGCGGCCGCCGCCGCAGCCAAGCCATAAGCCTCCGATCCAGGAAGCATTCCCGTCGAATGACGACGTCCAGCAGCAGCTGAGTTCAGGAACGTCACGGTCGCGCCTGACAGTGTGTTGGACTTCTGCCTCTTGAGCGCCTGTTGCGTCGGCAATTGGCTGCGTGCCTCGGCCAAGTCGTGCGCTTCAAACTGCTGCGCGTCCGCCTGCGCTCGCGCCTGCTGCTGGGCGTGCATCTGATTCATGAGGTCGATGGGGTTGCTCTTGATGGTCGCCGCCATGGCCGCCGACATGACGGCCGGGTTGGCTCTCTCCTTGCGCTTGATGAGCTTCATCCGGTCCTTGTCCGCGCGCAGGAAGAAGGGGTGGCTGAAGGTGCAGATGTTGGTCTGCGTCTTGGTCCACTTCTTGAAGCCGAAGTAGTTGAGCTGCCGCTGGAAGCTCGAGACCTTGTTGTGCTTGAAGTAGCGCGGCAGGATCTGGCTGGCCAGCTCCTCGGGCTGGATGATCTGGAACGCCGTGCCCTCGTGCGACCACGTGATGATGTCCGGGTCCTCCACCTCCAGGATCTGGAACAGGAAGCGCAGGAACTTGGGCACGCCCACGTTGCGCCGCTTGATCACGTGCACCTCGGGCTTCTTGGGCTGCTCGGGTGTAGCCACCAGCTTGGCTTCATTAGAGTCATTCAACTCCTGCTCGGGCTCCTCTTGCGTGGCTGCTACGAGCGACGCGCGCCGGGTGTCGCTGGGCTCCTCCTTGGCGCCGAACAGTGGGTAGCTCGTGGTCTCCAGTGGGCTGAAGAGCGGCGTCGACGGGGGTCCCATGGCGTCGTCCGCGGCCGGGAAGGGACTGCGATCTCTCTCGCCGAGCATTCTGCGTTGTGCCGCATCCCTTCAAGGCCAAGAAAATCTTCGAGGGAAAAAAACTTCCACATTTAGGGCGGCGCGGTTTGAGCCAATGAAAAGATTTTCAGCGTGTTTTCAGCCAATGGGAACGGCGTCGCGGGGTCTTTGCAAAGATCATTGCAGCGCTCGACTAATGTGATAAATATTTATCTGGATCTCCGGGTAACTGTTGCGAGCGGCTGGCTACGTTGCCTCTTGCTCTTTGGTGCATTTACATGTATGATAGGCGTCATGGGATAGTCTGCTGCTGCTCCCCGTCGTCGTCGGCGAGAGGGACTGCGTGAAGCTCTGCGTGCTACTGAGTCAAGGGGCAAGAGAGAGAGAGAGAGCGTAAGTACCCGTTATCTGCGAAAAGATCTTAGACCCGCTAAGGTTCCAAAAAAAGGAATTCAATGTGGATTTTGCCGGCCGCCGTGAGCCAGTGCCCCTGGTGCCGTTGCCCGCCCGAGCGTGCTTGCGTGCGTGGCGCCGCGCCGCCTCCACGAGCTCGGCGCCTGGAGCCCGGCGCTTTATGGCCGGAGCCGCGCCACTGTGCCCGCGGAGCAAGGAGTCAGCCCAGTCAGCGCGCGCTGAAACGCGCAGTATCTTCTCACGACGACCGGACGACTGGGTCTGGAGAGAAGGGTCCACCGGACAACTTCAACATGGTGTACACCACATCACATGACGTGATCATTGCGAGACGGCTGTCAATAACATGTCCTCCCTGCGCTTGCAGACGAGAACCATCTCGCGACTTCAGTTTATTCTTCCTAGTCAAGCGTGGTGCTCGTTCCAGGTGTCCGATGTCGCGTTTGCCCGAGGTGTAATATCCAAACGCCGTTATTTTCCGCGCGTCAACATGTACACGAGTCATGTCCTGCTAGACACTTCGACAGCGATTGGATCTCAGATTGACGATGGTGGTGGTTGAGTCGGACGTTGACGTTGAAGCCGAAAGCTGTAGCTTAAGGTGCAGTGTAGGCGTTTGGAGGTTGGATGGAGTTACACGAAGAAGTGTTGAGTTCGACACCTTCATCTCTGCGACGCTTGTAGCTTACGGACCGGCGCAAAGAATCCCAGCGTCGCTCCAGAAATTCATCACTCTTCTGATTAATTCCCGAGCATGTGTAGGCGGCAAAATCGTGCACGGAGCGGTAGACTTGCTTGACGTGCTTAATACCGACCGGTAATCGAAGTAGCTGGAACAGTTCTTCCTGCAGTCTTTTCTTTCGGCAAATTGGTTTCATCATCGAGCTTAGTGGATCCTTTCAATACGAGCATGCGAGAGACACTGGATACCACCTTCGCTGAAGGCTGCTTAAGTTGCGAGTCGATTACAGCAAGTCTGCGAGCAATGGCACGGAAGCCTCGTTTCTTAATGTCCAGATTGGGGTTGTCGAGCCGTCTGACAGCAGTGTTGTATAGTACCGTAGCGACAACTTCGCAGGATTCCCACTTAGCAATCTTAGCCGCAAGCTGCTCTGCACGCAGTAACTTTAGCAGGGCAAACTCGTGAGCTGAAAACTCAGCGGGATTGTCATATTCAGCTTCCAAACCAAGGTTTTCGACAAAATCTTGTTGACTCAGCTCATTACGTCCATGCCTTGAAGCAAACAGCAGCTTCTGAATATCGGTCTGTGTTGTGTCATCTCGCAGCAAGGTTCCTTCTGCTCGCTCTGCTTGAAGTGGGATCATGTCGTAAAGTGCTTCCCGTGGGCGGTGAACAGGAGCCGCCACCGGGTCTATACTTGTGCCGCAAGCTAACCGGGCCTGGACGAGTTGCTAGCAGTACGTTGACGTACTCTAGCTGAGGCGAATCAGGAACAATGCCACGGCATTGTTCCTGATTCGCCTAAGACAGCACTGCGACTCAGTGTTATGAAGTCAACCGCATTAAATTCATGATTCCGCCTAAACTTGGCTCCGACCTTGACATTATGCTAGTATCACAACCATAATGAAAGGGTTAACATACCGTCCAGTAAAAAAATCTCCTGCAAGAAAACTAACCTGTAACAGGAAGATATCCAGGATACGCAGCCCAACCTCGATCGAAAGCACCCGATCCAGAAGTTTTCTCAACTTTGAATGAATCGCTTCAAGTTGACTTGTAGACACCACTCGCACCGTACTGCCACCGTCACTGTAGTCACTCTCCTCAACAAAAAGGTCTCCTTGCCTAATCTGCTCGAGATTGCTGTTGACACAGCCCTCCCATTCGCTGGTAGATACACGAATACTTGATGTTGGCACACTAGAGGCAGCTTCCGCAAATTTTTCTGCTGTTGCACTTGGCGATCGAATTTTTCTGTCTACGTCGTAGATTGCTGCCGAAAGTCGCTTCGCGAGCCAGCCTCGCTGAGCTTGATCAGAATTTTTTTTCCGTGAGCCTCTGAATGACGTGAAAAGGGTCCTGTTTCACCGCGACCGAATCTCCAAAGAGTTTTTTTTTATAAGGCTGCGCATCCCATTAGCGTGGTCACACACACAGAACCGCTTCTCTGCCGGATGGACCGCTAGCTTATCGGCAACACACTGTAAAATAGCTTCTGTTTCTTCGTGGTTCTCGGAACGCGTTAGACCTCTTGTAACTACTTGACCTATTTCGTTCTGTACAAGAAGCAACATACGCACACTTGAAGCTTGCTCTTTGCTTCCGTCAGATCCGAAAACTTTCAACTTGCTACAGAATTTTTGAGAGTGATCTACTCTGATAACCTTTTCGCATTGTGAGCCGGCCATTTGGGCTTCGAGTAATCTACTACACACTTCCGTTTGTGAGAGCCATACCTTTTGCAGCGCCTCGCTGTCTAGACAAAGATGGTTAGTCATGTACTGCTCGACCGATTGCAAGAGTGGTGGTGCATAAGCAGTATCCGCAGCTTTTCGTTTCTCAATCTCGCAACGTGCACGAGCCAACAAAGCATAATAGCGCTTCTGACGGCGCCGTGTTACGTTGTCTGTAGCCCCCGCCAGTCCCTTGGTTGTAAGCATGCTGTCATACACTAGATCAAATAAATCTAACGAGATTGCGGTCTGGTAAGTCAACAAATTCGGGAATGCAAGGAATACCGCTTTCGATGAAGAAAGGTAAGCATCATCAATTGTAGAGAACGATCGTCCTGTAGAGCACTTGTACCTTGCATAATACAAAATGGTTTTGTGTTCGACATCATGGACAGTTCGCTGCAGATATTCCTTTACCTTCGGCGTGCACTTACATCCTTCTGTGGTACAAACAGGAGATCGACCTGCATTCAACACCTCTGGAACCCACGTGATCGTAGGCAGGTTGAACCAAGCCGATAGCATTGCGTTCCTCTGCTTTTCGGGGTACGCTATTGCAGGAGGAAAGCTCTTCGTTGCGATCGCATCTCGTATTGCAGCACGAGCTGCACTCGCTGCCATCTTTTTTTTTAGTAACTTTTCTTAGATCTATTCCTAGCTGGCGGCGCGGGGCCGCCCTTCGGGTGGCGGCGGCTGGCGGGCCGCAAGGCCCGCCAACCCGGGTCAAGCCCGCATGACAAAATGGCAACTGAACGAGATGGGTACATGTAACTTCAACATGGTGTATAATACATTACATGCAGCAATCTTTTAACTCCATTTACCTTACGTCCACTATTGCATATACTCACTTCAAGGCATTCATACGACTGGTGTCGAATCGAAAAAGGTCCCACAATCAATAATGGCGAATCTCGCGCAGCAGCTCGCGAGGCTGCAGCTCGGCGCCTCGGGGGCGCGCCACCGGCCCTCTCGGCGCCTCAACGACGCGCCTCCCATCAGATCCAACATCTCCTCTGTCTCTCTGCAACGCAGCTCGATCCAGTTCTCGCTCCTCTCGACGCTAAACTGTCCGCCGCAACGCGTCCTGGCGCTCGGAGATGGGCCCGAAGTGCCGATTAACGGCCAAACCACAGGCTTCCTGCCCTCCGGGCCGGCCTTCCAAGTCTCATACGCGTATAACAAGCCTCTATTAGCGGCTGTGGACGAGGAGGGGGCCGTGGGGATCGTGGATGTCGCTGTTGGACGTCGAAAAAGCCGCTGGGTGGGCCATGACAACGCCATCTTCGACGTCATGTGGACGCAGGACGACGCTCAAGTGCTCACGGCAGCTGGGGACCTGCAGGTTCGAGTTTGGGACGTGGAGACGGCCGGAAGCAGCTCTGGGACGGAGGTTACGCCCGTCTCGACGCTGACAGGGCATGATATGAGTGTGAAATGTGTCCGCCAGGCTCCGGATAGTGCTCACGTGTTTGCTTCAGGTGGACGAGATGGGAATGTGTTGCTCTGGGATACGCGCGCGCCGGGTAAACCCGTGTCTGCACTGGAGAACGTGCATGCAGAGCCGACTTCGTCCAGAGCCTCGTCGCCGAATGTGAGCTTCACGTCGCCGATTCAGAAGAGAAGACGGCGTGGTGCTGCTCCGCCGTCGACGTCGTCGCCACGCAGTGTTACGTGTGTGGAGTTTGGAGCTACAGGGAATGAGATCATCACGGCAGGTGCAGTGGATGCAGTGATAAAGTTCTGGGATGTCCGACGTGTTGGGTCGAGCTCTTCAACTGGTGGCCGTGGCAAGAAGAAGGCGGCGGTTAAAGCTCCGGTGCCGACTCGTGAGATCTCGTGCTCGACGCGTGAAGGTTCGCGCCGTGGTATTTCGTCGTTAACCTTCCGTAAGGGTGGGGTAGGAGGTGCGTCTCGCCTTCTTGTTAACGTGCTGAGCGACTCGCTGGCTGTGATTGACATTGGACAAAAGCAACACGACGCTAGAACGGTTCTTCGCTGCACCGGGCACCAAGCCACTTCGTTTTACAACAGAGCAACGTTCAGTCCGGATGGAAATTTCATTGCTGGAGCATCCGCGGACAGTGTCGTGTACCTGTGGGACGCGCGTGTAAGTACTTCGTTTGATGGTTCCCTATCGGCATCGAGGTCCGCTCTCGGCGTCGAGCAACGTGCACCATGCTTCGCGCTAAAGGGCCACCTGAGCGAGGTGAATGGAGTTGCTTGGAGCTCTCACGACTTCACCCAACTAGCGTCTTGCTCGGATGATGGTACAGTGCGCTGTTGGCAGGTTGGTGGAGAACGGGGCCAACGCACAGGACCCCGGCAACGAGAAACCACTGCAGAATCGACGAAGCCGTTTGAGCTCCAGTTGGCCCCAAAGAGTGATTCATCTGAAGCAGCTACGAAGACGGAATGGGCGAACTGGAGTGGGTTTGTTGAGCAGCCAGAAGGTTTTGCCTACCGCGTTCGAGGTAACGAGTCGGCACTAGCACCGCGCCCTTCATCGCCAAGGCGCAGGCGAGTCTCCACAGCGGATACGCAAAAAGGTTCACCTCAGTGCACGCGGCGTAGCACCGAACCGCGACTGCACCCTGTCCACGAGACCCCTGCTGCTCAGCAACAGCCACAACAGGAACCGCAAGACGCACACGAAGATCAACCACAGCAAAAGCGGCGCATCAAACTACACCGCAAGAAGCAGAAGCAGCCTCCAGCACAACCGAAGCGAGCTCAGCGAACCCTGCTGGAACTTTGGGGGCGGTAAAGCTTCGCCTACGTGGTTGCTGGTACCCTGCACAAGAAATTGACAATAGAGTGCACACAGCTAAATAGAATAATTAGAGCCATCGCAAGGCCTCCGCCACCACGTTGCAGTTGTCGTTTTAACGATGCCGAAGACCGCTCCATTTCAGAGTCAAGTTTACAATCTTCTCGACTTTTTCTGTGTGTTATAGCTCGGCTTCAGCGATTTACAGGACGTCCTCCTCGAAGGCCTTCTCGAAGACCTCAAGAAGTTGGTCGATGTCCTTCTCGTCCACAACAAGGGGCGGGCACAGACGGATCGTGCTGCAACAACAACAAAACACCAAAACCCGTTAGAAAATCGTTCACACAACACTCACAAGCCTCTAAATCAAACGTACTTTTCGCCGGCAGAGATGATGAGCACCTGCTTGGACAGCGCGTACTGGATGAGCGGGCCCACGGGCTTGGAGCACTCGAGGGCCACGAACAGGCCGCCCTTGCCGATGGGCTTGCGGACGTCCACGACCTTGTCGGGGAACTTCTGCTGCAGCTTCTCCAGGCGGCTGGCCAGGTAGTTGCCGCGCTTCTGCACGTTGGCCAGGAAGTCCTCGTCCATGATCTTGTGGAGCACCGTGTTGGCCACGGCGCACACGAGCGGGTTGCCGCCGAACGTGGTGCCGTGCTGGCCCGGGGTGATGGCCGACGCCACCTTGTTGGACATGAGCACGGCGCCAATGGGCAGGCCGCCGGCCAGAGGCTTGGCCAGCGTCATGATGTCGGGCGTCACGTCGTACAGCTCGTGGGCGAAGAGCTTGCCCGTACGGCCGAGGCCGCACTGCACCTCGTCCACAATGAGCATGGCGTCGTGCTTGTCGCACAGAGCCCGCAGCTCGCGCATGAACTCCGGGTCGGCCGGGTACAGGCCGCCCTCGCCCTGGATGGGCTCGATGAAGACACCGGCCGTCTTGTCCGAGATGAGCTTCTTGACGCTCTCGATGTCGTTGAACTCGGCGTAGTGCACGCCGGGCACGAGGGGCATGAAGGCCTCACGAATCTTGGGCTTGTGCGTCAGAGTCAGAGCGGCCGCGGTACGGCCGTGGAAACCGTGCTTGAACGAAATGAACTCGATCTTCTTGCCCTCCAGAGGCCTGTATTTTTTAAGGGGAAAAATGTGGTAAGGTTAGTTGAAGTTGCAGGTTAGAGAGACATACACTTGTTGCAATGTTGCAACGTGGTTAGGGACTTTTTGTTGCAGTTGTCACGTACGTTCCCTGCGAGACGCGGTTGGCGTACAGGCGCGCGAACTTGTACGCGCCCTCGTTGGCCTCCGTGCCTGAGTTGCCGAAGAAGACCTTGTCGAAGCACGAGTTGTCCACAAGCGTCTTGGCCAGCTCCAGCGGAGCCTTCGAGTGGAACAGGTTGCTCACGTGTGTCACTTTCTGCAACATTGCAACATACAACACAAAGGTTAAGTGAACTTTAAGCTATTGCTTAAAGTTGTGTCTAAACTCCACACCCACCTTGCCATTCTCCACGAGGCTGTTGTACCAGTCCTCGTCGCCGTGGCCCAGGCCCGAGACAGCAATGCCGGCGTAGAAGTCCAGGAACTCGCGGCCCTGCTCGTCGTACAGCTTGCTGCCCTTGCCGTGCGTGAACACGAGGCCAGGCTCGCCGCGCACGCCGTCCGGGTTGTACGTCTTGGCCAGGTACTTCTGCTCGTACGAGTCCGCGTTAAAGGGCTTGGCGGCGGCGGCAAAGGCACGCGAGGCGCCAGCCGAGGCACGCTGCAACTTCTGGATGGAGCGAAGGGCGGGCAGCATCGTTTAAGTGGTGTTAAACGGGGGTTCGGGGGAAAGAGCTGTTGCGAGTGTTTCCGGTTATGGGAACCTTTGGTCGTGGATCGGTTTTCAACTGCGGTTTGTATGGGGCCCATGGGAATTTACGGGAAATTCATGTGGACCCCATCGGGCCGCTCGTCCAATCACGACTTGGATGTTCGCCGAGGTAATCGGCGGGATGAGCGCTCTCGAGCAATTTGCTGGGTGAGTTGTGTAACATGGCAACTTGTTGCCGAACTCGGCGGCCTGGCAAGGTGAAGGCGCCGGTTGGCAACTTCAACTTATCGTAGGAAGTTGCCGAAGTATTCGAGTTTGCCCCGAATGATTGATTAACTTGTTTCTAAATCGTCTTTGTGCGATAAAATCTCGTTGTTCGGGGCGAAATTAACTTTGGAAAGTCACACCAAAAAAGTTGGGGGTTCCGTGACACACACTCCCATGTACTTGCCTAGATAATTCAAGTTTACGTGTCGAACTGCTGCCTCCTGCGGCAAGTTGGGCACCTTCAGCTTCGAAGCAACCTTCGTCACAGATTCACCGTTGGTCAGCCAGCGTTGCGGCAACTGTTTTGCCTCCTGGCTGTCTTGAATAAACCCTGTGAAATCCATCGCCACCTTCGCATCCGCCCTCAAGAACCGAGTTGCATTCCTGAATTGTGAACTTAAACCTTGTTTTTCTTTCACTTCTCCATCAGCTTTCAAGCCCTCCGTCTGGACGCCGTTGTGGTGTTGCCGACGACGTCGGCGAAAACTGGTACCTGAGAAGCCACCGAACGGCCGTAAAGGGGAGGACGAGGAGCGAGGAGTTGTTGATTTTCTCTCCTGAATAACGAGCTTGGCGAGTTTGCTGGTATCTGAGAACAAAGCCTCGCCGGTTATACGAGACCAGCAATCAATTGACATTAATACACTGTACAACAGGGGAATCGAAGCCACGCCACGTTTGTACTGTACTTCGTAGTACTAACTTAGTAGCGGGTAAGCATCTGCGAAGTGCTTCTACAGTTCCCGAATAATGTTTATCTCGAGCCCTCTCAGCGACTTTCAATAGTTAGGTATACAGCTAGGGCACGTTGCACTGGACGCCTACCAAAAACGAACAAATCACCCAACATATTTAAATTTAAGAAAACTTATATTTACTCAGACGATTTTTACGTCTGAGTAAACGAAGGGTCGCTGCATAGCAGCGTATTAGATTTGACTTGCTTTCAGTATTGACGTCCTTTTTCTAGCAACTAACGCATTTATCAGGCGACCTCTCACATATTTCGACCTCTGCACATTTGATATTTAGAGACAAATTTAGAGATGCATTCTATGTCGAGTTATATCCGTTTTTGGTAGGCACCCACTGCTGTTAGAACACTTGGATAGCACACGTGCAAGGCTTAGCTATCAAATCGTCAATCAGTGTTTACCTAGAGTTTTGCCCTTCGAAATCATCATTGGAGGATACGACTCGAGCTTCCTGATCTCTCTCCTGCCTCGTGCTGAAGATTGCTCGACTCACTTCTCGTTTGCCTTTCAAGCCCCCAAGCAGCACAGTCAACAGTCCAAGTTCCCATGCGCGTGGCCCACGCTATCCTACTCTCTGTGGCTGCATTCTGTATCAGTTGCGGTGGTGCGTTCGGTGCAGACCCGACAAGTCTGGCTTCCCATTCGCAGTCGTACGCAACGCTCGGCTTCTAAGACGCCGCCAGCACGAGGGCTTTTAGATTTTCTTAAGAAACAGAAAGACCTCCTTGATGGGATTAGCGAGAAGAAGCTGGACAAGATGCTCAAAAGCGAGGAAATAGCCGAGAGGAACTTTCTGCGCTGGAACAGCGCCATAAAGAAGGACGGAAAAATGGCGGCCAAGATCGAGCAAGCCATCATTGCGGAAGGCAAGCACTATGGGACTCTGCTAACTCAGTTCCATATCCACAACGAGCGCAACTAAGGAATCCTGAGTGGCTAGGCTACCGCCGATTCATGGTACACGGAAATACTTCTTACCATCAAACACAATACAGCAGTAGGGCCTTGACTAACTGGTATATTTTTTGCAAGAAACTTATCGTCAATAGATAAATATGCGGCTGTACCAAAAGACGATACTTAGTTGTCGATCTTGTCGGCCAGATCGGAAGCTTCCAAACATAACGTCAATGTTGCCGGGATGGCCGCCTCCTAGTCACTCCATAGAGACAGCCCTCGTTATTTTGACAGCAACTCCCCTCCTCGGTGTGTTTGCCCCCCAACTTATCGACGTTAACCATCATATTCCTTTGGTGATCCGCCACCATCACTTCCGGCAGCAAACTGTTGGCCGTATCCCCCGAAATGACCGTCTTCTTGTTCTTGGCGAGCGCTCCGTTCACGTAGCTTAAACTTGCGGTATTTCTCCATCTTTCCCGCGGCTGCACCCTCGGCACGCACGTGTTAATACACCTTCAGCTTAGAAGGAATGTTCGTCCGTTGTTTAGCCAGCGCTGTAGCACCTCTTTCGCCTCCTGGCAGTATGAACAAACTACGAATTGCAAGGTCACGTTCGCATACGCCCTCAAGAACCGAGTTAGATTCCTGGATTGTGAACTAGGCGGCTTGGTTGATAATCGAGGAGATGGTCTCGCCAACGAGATCACCAGAATCCCCCAACAAGTAGAAGAGGCGCATATGCAAAGTGGTCACTGGGAAGAAAATTGCAGAGAGAATGATTCGACCGCCTCCTACTCGTCGTCGGGTTAGGATTCCACGGATTTAGTTTCACTTTAGTTCTTTTGTAGTTAGCAGAACGGTTATCGACAACTAGCTAATCAACGCAATTTCCTTCCTTCCTGCCGCTGATGCCCAGGCAGAATCCTTTATTTCTTTAGATTGCAGTATTGTGCTCGGAAACTTACCGGTGGCAATTAAACAATAAAAATCTGTGCACTTAGAATATTTGGCGCTCCCAGGCTAACTGCTCAACTGAACTTGCTGGGTAACCTGATGAAGCCAGCAATTTGTTTCAAGTTTGATAAGTCAAACTGAGGTCTTGCAGATCTCGATCGCGTGTAGGAGTAGGATACACCGGGTGTTTGTCCTTCGCTTTGACGCTGTTCGCCCGGGCTTCCTCTCGCACAGGAATCCGGTGTGCAGCGACGACGTAGGAGCATCAAAACTCTGTTTGATAAAACAGCAAATATCGGTAACAAGTGTACCACGAAGCTGTCTCGACAAGAACAGGATCAAGTAGTACATAAAACACTGCCAGTAGTAAATGGGCTCGGTGGATCCCTGCGGATCGCAATGTAGCCTCACACGTGGCAAGCATAATATCATCCAAAGTCTTCGAGGTAAAATGCCTGAGCGACTGCAGCAAGCTTTTCGCCTTTTCTCCGGAGAGGACATACCATCAGGTGCAGCTTCTTTTGAGTCTCCGCTAAATGAATTCGTTCGTCACCGTATAGGACTGCACGGTGTTACCGGCGGGTTGAGTTTGCTTTGGATAAAAATGTTGAACGAAAAAAAAAACTATACCATCCATTTTGGATCCCACAACCTTGAAGTAGTTTTTGGCAAAGTTTTAGTGGGATGTTTTATCTAGTCCATAAATATTCATTCCAATGAGTGTGGGGATTCACACAATACCAGCCTGCCGACAATATGACACGGCAAATTCAGATGACCACACGATTTTCAACTATTCTCTCTGAAAACCATGCATGCAGGAAAAAATCGGTGTCTGAAAGAGGAGGGTATAAATTATAATTCAGGACTGAATGGACAGATCGAATCGATAGTTTTAACGCTAATAGAATGGAATGAGTAAGTACCATGTTGAGTGATCTGGAGCAGCATGTAGTATAATATGATGCAGTGATGTAGTAACGGCACCGACTGTGCTCAAGGCCAGCATCAATAACACCGATGCCTCTACTTGTCAAACCATTACTACGACGAATAGCGTACATATTATTCTTCCGACCAATAAAATGTTTGTGATGGAGCTCCACTTCCTCTGTATCTGACATCAACCTTGAAGGAGAAGAAGAAGAAGAAGCTCCTAGTTACCCCAACAAGAGTAATTGTTGAATCAGCGTTGCTAGGATTTTGTCTGTAGTCGGTAAGTGTTGGTAGATACGAAATGTTGTTTGAGGTCTTGCTTAACCGACTGGAAAGTCACCATGACGTACATTTCTCTACATGGTCTTTCTCCTTTCTCTTGAAACCACAATTACCTAGTCTAGCACTTCGAGGTACTGAAGTACATGTAATTAGTATTCAGACGATTCGGGGCGCCGTCTCAGGCCCTACCGTCTTCCCTCGTACTAGACGCCTAGGCGTTGTATTCGAGGTTGGTCAACAATCCCGAATCTGATCGCACCCTCGAATTGAAGCTATAGCAAAATAGAACGCCTACCCAAGCGTAGCACAACTCTTATTATTTAAATTTAAATTTATTGCGGTTTAGTCGGCTAACTACACTCGATACTGCGCGCTGCTGCAGCCTCGCCTACGGATCGCATGTTGAAACAACACGCGCCCGCGGTAGTCGCCCATACATGACAGCACGGATCACACAGTCGCAGAGACTGCGTCACCAGTGCTGTCGAGGTCATATGCATAATATGCAGTAAAGTAAAGAGCTTGATACCAAACACGCCAGGTCGTGCCGTCGGTACCAAGTTGTTGATTACGTTCGTCATGCCAGCGTTCGCCACGCTCACAAATCTGGTCTCTTCGTTCTTGGAGGCGGCGGGACAGTTGACTTTGAGTTCGTTGAGTCCATTGCTGGCGTCTCGTTTTGATTCCCAGGTTCACATCCCTCAAAAGCGTTTGACAATGTCTTTGAGATCGTTCATTAGCGTCGATGGTGCAGCTGTACTCCCAGTATTCTCGGAGGGTAACCCAGGTACCGAAGAAAATCGACTCATGCAACACCTTGGCCTGCCCCATAGTGTAGGATGCTGCCTCTGACCATACTTTGCTTCCTTTCGTCATGGTTGGGTACCGTTGCCATCCTTTGGGGGCTTCGTAGACGGCCAGCTGAAGGCGATCCAACTGCTGTCGAACAGTAGTCCACCACGTGGGTTGTTGAGCATTCACATTATCATGACCATACCAGTCAAAGCAGGGATGACGTTGTTGACTGCCGGCTCGCTCCTCCTCTGATGGCGGGTCAATTATCAATTCGTCACTGCCGAGGGCCTGCTCCCAGTACGACTTCGTACTACTTGAAATGGAGGGTGCATTTCCGTTCAATGTGAAAACACCGATTAGAATCGTGCGTTCATTTGTTTGGAAGACGTCCGCCATGGTGCAGCTACGACGCTGCACAACGAATGCCTCGGTACGCATTGCCAGCTGGCCTGCCGGTATTTTCACAGTCCAAAAACACAACTCTTATTAACGTTAGTAGTTGCCAACAATTCTGCTGCCATTTGGACGAGGTAGCACCACTGTGCCGACTGCCAGCCATACGAGCGGAAGTCGAGCTCTTGTTTTGTCGTATCATTATACAATCGCCCTCCCGCGACACAAAAGCCCACGCCAAGAATGTCAGCCAAGAAAAAGCGTAATAGCTATAGTATCGGATTCTAGCGCAGTGTTGCTGGAGAGTACAAGAAGGGTGTCGACGGCTTTGGGTTTGCCGCCCTTGCCGCAAAACTCAAGATACCCTCGCCGTCGATAGTTCGGAAATGGGTTGAGCAGCTGGGCGCCTTAGAAGCCACTACCAACCTTCAGGGATTTTAGATTTACTTGAATACAACGCCTACCTTTTGCATCCTTCAGAGTTTCGTAGTTTCAATTGAATATAACGCCTAGGCCTTTTATTCAAATAGAACCCCCACTAGGCGTTCTATTTTTTTAGAACGCCTAGGCGTCTACTGTAGTATGAGGGAAGACGGTAGGCTAGATATTCGCTAGCTTTGCTCGCGTATTCTCAACGCTTTTTCGATACTCCTGGAACAGCTTGAACGCTTTGTAATTCTCGTGATTCTTGTACTGACCCTTTGGGAGCTTCGACACCCCCAACTTGCCAGCAACGTAGTCGTCGAATTTGCCTTGCATAGCCCATCGTGTCAGCCACTCCTGTGTCTTCGCCTTGCTGTGGTAACCCGTGCCAAACTTTGCGAAGTGTCTCGCGCGAGCTGACATCCTCGCATACTTGACCAGGGCATTCCAGTTTGGGTGTTGGACTGCTACGTTATGCTGCAAGTTGTACACCCGCAGCTTCGTAGCAACGCTCTCCACGGATTCGTCCTCGTTTAGCCATTGTTGGAGAAACGTTTTTGACTGCGCGCTGTCGTGAAGAAGCCCTTTTAACTCCATGGTCACCTTCGCCTCAGACCTCAAGAGCCGAGTTGGACGTCCATTGTTGTCTTGGATTGATGAGAGCTGGTCGACTTCGTTGGCATCCGGGCAGAAGCTCTCGCTGACGGCAAAGAGGTCTTTGCGACCATCACAAAGCAGGAGAGACGCATATTGGACGTGGTCGGCTGGGAAGAACAGTTGCAGAATGAACCACGCTGGTTCTTACTAAATGGCCGCCGACGGTGTACACCATTTCCCGGTCAAATTGCAAGTTTTACCATCAACTTGACCGGGAAATGGTGTACTGGCGCAAACGCCCTCTACTATTAATAATACATATGTATTCCAAAGCAGTGGAAATGCTCCAATTGGTAAAGTAGTTTTCCAGTAAAACTCATCGTTAATACCCAGGATAGTCCAGAAAGTAGATGAATCTGCGACCGTGTAAAAAAAATGATACTCAATTGTAGATCTTGTCGGCCAGATCGGAAGCCTCCTAACATAACATGAATGTTGCCGGGATGACTGCCTCCTAGTCGCTCGATAGGTCGAGACAGCCCTCGTTGTTATTTTGACAGCAACCTCCGTCCTCCGTGTGCTTCTTCCCCAACTTGTCAGCGTTGAGCATCACATTCCTTTGGCGATCCGCCACCAGCACCTCCGACAGCAAACTGTTGGCTGTATCCCCGAAATGACTGTCTTCTTGTTCTTGGCCAGCGCTCCGATCACGTCCAACTTCTTCATTTCGAGCTTGAACTTGCGGTATTTCTCCATCTTTCCCGCGGCTGCACCCTCGGCACGTGCAATGATCTCCGCAGCTTTGGCCTCGGCAGTGGCGTTGATCTCGTCCGTGATAGCGTCGAGCTTCATCTGCAGCGCAGCCTTCTCCGCGTTAATCAACTGGATCTCCGCGTCGCAGTGGGCGTTGATCTCGGTCGAAATCCGCACAGTCTCCGCTTCAATCTCCGCGATCTTGAGCGCTGCCTCAACGTCGCGATGGTTGCAGACCACAGCAGTCTTCTGGCTAATTTCCCCGTCCGCGAGCTGCGTCTGAGCGTTGATCAAGTCGATTCCCTTGCGGATCTCCGCACACTTGGCCTTGCCAGTCTGATCCTCCTCCATGTACACCATCTTGCGCTTCAGCTTGGTCGTGTCGAGCTCCTCCTTGTACTGCAGCATCTGCATGTCGCTCAGCTGCTTCATCTTCTGCTCCTTGATCGCACTCAAATGCGTCGTGCGGTTCTGCATCTGCGTCTGGAATTCCTCCGGCAAAGTGACGTTGGTGATAGCAACACTGGTAATTTGCACCCCGTAGGTGTTAAACTGCTCATTCAAGCTGCGTTTGATGTCTTCCGTGACGCAATAGAGCACCTTCTTCTCCTTCTCCTTCGGTTCATCTCCTTCCTCTTTCGTTTCGTCGTCCTCCCTTGGAGAGTTAAACTCGTCAATTGCGAGCCGATTCGTGCGGAAGTTCAACGCCCCAGTCTTGAACCTCTCGCGCATCGTACCGTCTCGGAGTTGATACACTTCCGTGTGCTCCACGCTGCGGGCCAGCGCTCGTACGGCCGCGTCTTGAGCGGCTCGGAGCTGGATCTCCAGCCCGTTCGGCTCCAATTCGTACACAAAGCGACGAACAAGCTCCGGGTCTTCACCTTTGGATTCGTCGCCCATAATGCGGAGGATCAGGCACATGTCGATGCCCACAGTCACGTCGTCCGCGGTCTTGCAGCCCTTCACGGGTGTGTCGAACACGATGTACTGCTTGGTCACAAGCTGGGAGACCTGGGTGAACAGCGAGGCGAAGTGCACACCTGGAGGCCACACGGGTGTGCGTGAACCATCGGGCTTCACGTAGTCGACGTCCTGGCCTTGATGCTACACGAGCGCGTAGGTGCCTTCGGGCACGCGGATGTAAGGCTTGACGGGACTTCGACCGGGATTGATGATCACCACCGTGTTGCCATGGCGACAGGCACCGTAGAGGCGGTTGACTCCGTCCACACGCCGTGTACTACGGTACAACAAGCGCGTTTGGTGCTGCCCCGGCAACGGCTCGTCGAGTTTACTGCTCCAACAGCCCATCGAAGACTCTGTCCTTTGTCAGAAATTTCGGGAATGAACTCAAGGAGAAGAATGAAATACAGTTGAAAGAATTTGACCTTGGGAGACTGCAACACTCCCACCGTGGCGAGTCAATATCCATCCATCAGTTAGACCAACCCGTTAGTACACTTTCAGCCTCGAAATTCCTGGCTAACGCAAAGAGATCACGATGGTTGGCCTATCGAGGCCATGAAGCTTTTCAATGCCCAAGCGCAAGACGGCCAGATCTCCATTGTCCTCACGCCTCGTGACCCGACGATCATGACAGTCTTCATGAAAATCCCGTCCGGCCTGTACTTACCAAAAACTGGGGAGGATCCCATGAGTTTTTTACTAACGAGTTAATTATTTTGCAGGTGGGTGCTCAAGCAGAAGTGGAATGCTCACGCTGGAATGATGAAGCCCGGGCTCAAGATGTTTTGGCCGTCGTGGTACTGCGTCTCGCACGTTGTGACTAAACAAGCCGTAACTTTCTCGAATCCGGTGCACGGGTGCCCCACGTCCGACAACGTCATGGTGGACATTGACATCTCCATCAGCTTCCAGATCGGACCAACCGAGAACGACGCGTACACGTTCGTGTACAATTTGGGGGCTCATCGGTTCGACGAGCTGCTGTACAGTCTCACGGAGGAGGCTATCCGCGGTCTTGTGCACTCGGTGCGCCACGATCAAGTCCACGATCTACGCGAGGAGTTCGCGGTGGGGATGAAGACGGACCTCAACGCCAAGTTGAAATCCTACGGCGTCTTCATTCAGAACGTCAAAGTGACCAACGTCTCGCTCCCGAGAGCGTTATCTACGACTCTGGAGGAGACGACGGCGTTTAAGACGCGGATGGAGGAGCAGGAGAAAAACCAGGAGAACCAGATGCGGATCCTGGTGAACCAGGAGACCCAGAAGCTCACGGCGCTGGAGAAGAAGAACGACCGCGCGATCCAGAATCTGCGGGCGGAGAGCGAGCGCGCGGCGATTATTCGCGACCAGAGACGCACGATGGCTGAGGCTAAAGCCCAAGTGATGATCGCCGAGCATGTATCGCTGAATGAGAACAAGGTTAAGGCTGCGGAGGGAGACAAGGCCAATGCTGTTGCTAGTGCAACAGCGCAGACGGTGGAGCGCAAGGCGCTGCCCATCGCGGAGCTGAAAAGCCTCAAAGCAAACTTCGATCGGTTCGTGGATGCAGCGAAAGTTCGCGCTGAAGCGAAGATTCAAGCCGCGGAGAAGGAGGCGGCGAAGATTATGGCGAATGCCGAGGCTGAGATTCTGCGGAGTTTCTGGTGGCTAAGCGTGACTTTGACTACAATGAGAAGAAGCTGGGTGCTGAGGCCTCGCTGCTGGAAGCTGTCCCCATTGTTGTGAGCGGGAAGAATGGCGACCAACTCATTGAAAGGACTGTGCTGCGGGCGATGCAGACTTTGAATTGACTGAAAGATAGCACCTGACGTCCCGAAGTTTACTTTTTTTTTGCAGTTCAGTGAGTGGCAGTTCAAATGGCATTTCGATTCGATTGATGCTTAGGAACAAGCTGCGCTTCCCTGTGGCTACTGTTTTTAGTGTTGCAACATCAAATTCGTGCAAGCATTACTCCGGTGATATGCGGCCAGCGAGAGCGACGGACGCACACACGCGGGAAAAACATCTACTGCGCATGCTCATTTCAATCCAGCTGAGAGGACAGGCAACGAGTACTTCCAGCCAGCTACAACTACTTCACAGCACCACAGAGGAGACCAAGAGGATAGCCCTACATGTAGTCCGAGCTCCTAGCTCTAGTTCCTCCTCATTCTCACTTTTACCTGCTAACCAACAAACAACTTGAGTCTCCTACATCGCCGCGCTCTTCAGTCGACTTCCTAGCCTTCCATCATTTAGGTCCTGCTCATGATCCCTTCTATTGGTGTCGTTGACACAAACAACACTCAGGTGCCGCATGCAACTGCATTCCCCTTGTGGCGGCAGCTACCTTCTTTGCCAGCTGCGGTACTACGTTGGCTGCGGTTCCCACGAACCTGGAAAGAGAGGCGTCCCATTTGCAGCCCGCTGGCGTTGCTACCCAAGTCGGGGGCGAAAACCGGTTTCTAAGAAGCTACCACGCTGCCGCGGCGGAAGATGAAGAACGAATGCTGGACTTCTTGAAAGGCAAAGGCATTCTCGAACGTATCACCGCGACCCACCTTGACGACATGCTCATGAAAGAAAAGGTCGCGGCTAAAACGTTTGCGCGCTGGGATGACGCTATTGCCAAGGAAAGCAAAAAATTGTTGCTGCCGTCAGGGTATTCTTGGAGCGGTGCTTGGGGACGTGAAGGCAAAACGAGAAGTGATGAAGCTTACTGCAGGAAAACATATCGGGCGAAGATTGGGACATTGCACTGGCTCCGAGCAATGAGAATTTGTTAGGCAGAGTAGAGACAACGCGGTTACATGTTTCGCGCGTGGAAGCCACATGGAGCTACTTATGCTCCCTGTCTTCCGATCGGTTTATTAGCCCGATGGATAATCGTTGTACCAGGCGAGGCTTTTCAACTAAAATGAATATTTAGTAGTACCTTTAATCGAGTACACTCAGCAGAAATGTATGAAATCCGCCGGAAACCTATCTGACCTACTATGAATGTTTGTACTTATGCAGTGCTGCAGTGACTCTATAATGACCAGGGTGCCATTTGAACGCACAACCAGCTTCGCTTCATTGTTGTTCATTGTTGTTCAGTTATAACTCAACCCACCCCTGGTGCCGAGGTAATGGTCACACTGCTGATGCCCGAAGGAGTGTGTCGCTCCGGGACGATGAATCGATGCCGAAGGCCACAGGCTGCGCATAAAGCCCGACCTCTTGCATATATCGACCTCTGCACGATTTATATTTAGAGATGAATAGGGGTTTTCAATGCTGGCAGCAATTGTTTTGGGGAAATTGTGTTTCGGGTCCGTTATTTTAAAATATTTCCGAATCGGGTCCGTAATTTTCGAACCGAACATTTTTATGAAAAAAATTCGAATTTTGGAAAAAAACGTACCAAAGTGTACCCTGTTCCAAAAATGTTTCCTCTTCCCTGTTCCAAAGTTGTACCACGAGATATGAAATAATAAGTATATTTCCACTGTAGAGAATGCTGATATTATATAAAATAAGCACTAACAACAGCCGTTTAGGAAAATGAATACGTCAAAGCGTAGGACTACTACTATAATGGTTTCATTAAAAAAATATTCTTGTACACTATTTTTATCAGTCTACATATTCATGTATGAATGCCAAATGCAGTTTTATGGCATGCTTATCCGTAATTCAACGCGTTAATTTACTTGCAGTATAGCGTAAAACAGCAATGCTGAAACTAGTTTTAGCGTTTATAATCAGAAGTAGAGTATGTTGGTAATATTCTCTGAAATATAAAGAAGCTTTTTATCACTAGTTTGTAAGCAGTGGAACCTTATCTTGTGCCTAAACGATTATTGTTTTAGCATTGAACATGAATTTTTTATGTGCATTTAGAAAAAAAGAACCGTAAAATTTGCAATTGGGTACGGATGGCAATAGGGTGTGGAATAGTTACAGGGTGCACTTTGGATACAGGGTACCTTGGCTATGTCAAAAAAACGAAACGAACGTTTGATTTGAAAATTACGGACCCGATTCGGCATTATTTTAAAATAACGGGCCCGAAACACAGTTTCCCCAATTTTTTCTGCCCAAATCGGACAAAAATATTTAAAGCCAATCGCTAAGAGCGGCCATTGACTACCCTGTTTGGCCCGCGCAGCAGTAAGTGAAGATTTTCTGCGCGGGTTGATCGAAATGCCCATGTCCAAGGGCACGGCAAGCCGTCATCGCAGACAGAAGGCACCCTTCGACCTTGGAAGCGAAGGGATCGCTCTACTGGTGTTTTATTTTTAACCTGAGACGCTGGTGAAGGCGACCCTTCACCGCTGCCAGCAGAAAAAAAGTTGTTGCTGCTGCGGGCCGTCATGCGCGAATTTTTGTTCCGTTAGCGAGATTTTTTTCAGCCAATCACAGGCCAGGAAAAAATCAGCCGACTTGCGCAGAAAAAAAAGTGACTTGTTGCTGCCAGCATTGACAACCCCTAATTTAGCGAAACATTTTATGTCGATGAAAAGGTTTTGGAAGGCTCCCACTGTACGAGCTCTTGACGTCACACAGTACCACTTTCGCCACTGATTTCGATCTTTTTCTGGGTTGAAAATGGGCACTCCTAGAAACCTGAATAGCAATCATCCTTTTGTACACAAAGTAACCCCATTTGCCCTTTAATAAAATACGTTGCATGTGTAACGACGTTTGCGTTTGTTTACCTAATTTGTTTTGTAGAGGGATACACTCACCCATGGGATGCAGGGTAGTATTAGCCAATCACAATTGTGTCTTCAGATTGACAGGCCTTGACTTGTTGAGGGATACACCAGTTTCAAGCCAGTAATTTTTGCACTCTCGGCCGCTCAGCGCGCGATCATTTCCGCAACGGCGCGGGCGCCACCAAGTCACCCTCGCCTGCCTGGAGGTCAAGTCAGGTGGAACGACGCGGGCCCTACCATTTTACACTGCTGCAATGAAGAAGGCTATTGTCGAGCACTTGAGACTACACTGCAATGTTTGTTTCACTGTAGATACGTTCTTTCCGGGTCTACCTACAGAAAAGTATCAAGGGAGAAGAGTAGTGGTGTTAAGATGGGCTCGTCGTTTAGCTCTATAGCTGCTGGGGGTGCTTCTGTCGGCGGCAGGAACAAACGCAAAGCTTGCTCTACTGAGCTTCGATCTCAAGTTGGGGTGGTGGCGGCGAACAAACTAATAAGTGGGCCTGTGTCGGCAGCCGCATTGGTGAGATTCGGCCTTGAGAGACTTGAGGTAGAGTGCTCGGTTTAGTAATTTTGATAAATACAACTGGGCGTCCGGTGCCGATTCGTTTTTTTTTTTACAAAATCGGGCGTCTGGTATTTTAGCTCCGGTAGGGTGTATCCCTCTACAAAACAAATTCGGTACTGCAGTTTTCCAACAAACACCATCATGTGGAGTAAACTTCGTTAATTGGCAAGAGTTGCCTCTTGTCCTTGAATTGTTTCTATAACACTTGGCAGTCGTGAACAAGGTGCCCGTGGTGTGGTTCCGCGTTGGAGGTGACCGGCCAGTCACGCGGTTCCGTGACCAAGGCAAATATTACGAGTGGAACGACGTGGACAACAAAATATACGACAAGTGGTCCAGACGATCAGATTGACCGCGTTCGCATGATTGGGGTAACGAATACGAGGGACGCGGAGCTGTATACGCGTTCATCGTGTTGGAGATTGTGTTTTACCTCGATGATGGCGTTCGTACGAAAATAAATGTCGAGGCCTTGATGACTGCGTATTGTTACAGCAAGAAGGACAGGTACGAAGGATCGTGGAGGGGAAAAAAGCACAAAACATCGGTGACATTTTTTTGTCATGGTAAGGGGCGATAACACCATCTGCCACGTACAGTACCGGTTAGCTTCGCTTCGCAACTAGTTTAAAACGCCGTGCTTCCGCAGGTAGGCAGCCGCGAACTGCGTTAGCACTGCTTCGTAGTGTTCGCCGTTGCAGTTCTGTCGCGGTCGTGGAGTGGCGGGTAAAAAGTACTGAAGAAATTGCTAACTGGCTATACTAATCTACTTCTGGCACGAGCTTTCGTTCCCCTACATGTATCGTGTTTTCACTGCGCGCAGCGTTGAAGTGGTTACAAAACCGCCAATTACGACCCAAAATGAATGGCCACAAGAGCGTGACAAGCGTAGCAGACTCCATAAATAATCAATTCGCTCTTCAATTTCCATCGTGAGCGCTGATGCAGTACAGTAAGCGCTCCCGATTCCGGTATCGTGGTCCGACCATTCCCGAAGAGCTGCTATAATTTTAGGGGGGAATCCCGCCTTGTGCCACACACATGCGCGCGAATCTAAAGGCTACAGCTGCCCAAGGAGGCTCGCCCTCCCTGACTTGCTGGTACTAGTAGTGGAGTTACTCCGCAGATAGTAACAACAAGTCTCTGCATCATAGATCTATAGTATACATACCAGCAAGGCATACGTATCCTCAAGAGCCCAGCGTCATAGCAGCGATAGAATCAGACATGCCTCCAGCGCGCTCATCTGGGTGTCTGCGTGTATGCAGCGCACCTGACTGATGACGATGAGGAGCAACCGGTCAAGACGCTCGGACGTGTTGGCCAGAGAATCGGTCGGTCTTCCCTCTGGCAGGTGCTGACGTACGCCATGCTGTGGCGCGTACACATGGTGCTGCTACTTGCCTTGCTCAAACGGGGTCTCGCCGTAGACTCTGTCGACGTCCAACCTTCATGGCGCGCTCTCGTAGAGCTGCTTGTGATCCTCAGTCCCAATTGAGTTATGGCGCACTTCTGGCTCCCCGCAACAGCACTGCCGCAATGACTGGTGTGTGGGGATTCGCGCCAAAACTCCCGCCCCGGTTTTTACCTTCTCAAACCGATTGCATCATATTAAAGGGGATACAATTTTGTACCAATACCGGAAGTAACGCGATTAGTACACCAAGGATACTGCATTCCAACAGGTCAGAAGTCGGCTTGATACAGCTTTCAAAACTTTGTCGTCGAAAACTGTTCAAGGCTGCATTGACAAAGCAAGAGCCCACTTGGTGGATCTGAATGCTCAGATCAAAAGTTATGATAGCCGCAGTGAAAACGAGGATTCGGACAGCTCCGAGAGCGACGAAAGCAGTGCTAGTGATGACTACACTAGCTAATATTTTAGATAGCCATAAGTAAGTCTAGACACTGATTCTAAGAAATATGATCCGATACATTTGTAGCCCTGTACGTCATCTTTCGATCTATCGGTGGAAGAATGAGGATAACGAGCATCCGTCCAGAGTATCATTTCTCTACGATCATGACTCTGCGACTAATCCGCTGCCTTATCATTGGCCGAGAAAAATCATAGGGGTGGTAATGATTGGCCCAAATGCAAGGCATATTTATAATCAGCGCACATATTAAGGGGTGGTTATTATATAAATCAGGGAAAATTGGACTGCTGTTTCTGTGGAAACGACGCCGTGCTAAACAGTGAGACGCACATTTTCGCAATCAGGGAAGCGAGGCGGTTTTTGTGATGCCAAAACATGTAGGGGTTAGAAAAAACCTCTCGATCGGTCGTGGACTGTGAGTACATGTGTACAATCTCACTCAGGATAAGTATACGGTATACAGATGAGATTTTGTCCAATCCCTGCATTTCATTTTCAACCCATTTCAGTCGGTTCAACCCACTTCAGCACTGCAGAGCCGCGCTCTGTCCTCGCTAGCGTCACGTGGAATGGAACTCTGGGCCGTGGAGGGCGTCGCCCACTGCATCCTGCGCTGCTTGGACGTATCAACGATCGATACCGTGTTGCACGTCATCCAAGCGGTTCCAGAGCTGCACGGATATCTGCAGGACGGCGCTCTGTGGACCCAACTCTCTCAACTTCATTTCGGTGGTCGTCGCGACGCACGACTGCAAGTACAAGGGATTCTATCACCCCAAAACCAAGGTCGGCAGTGCAGGGACCAGCCCAGCGCCAATATGCGTCGAGCTTCAACTCTTTCTACAGTCGCGGGGCGACCGACGCCGCTTTCACGAAACCGTGACTGTCGTGGAAGGCGACCTCCAGCACGTTTCCGACATCGACGGCGCTCCGTTGGACGCCATCGTGTTCCCCACCAACCCCCATCTGACCAACCACCACGTGGGGGCGGCTGCCGCCGTGTTCCGGCGAGCGGGTCCTGGTCTTGAGGAGTTCGTGCACGACTCCTTATTTCGAGGCGCTCGGCCGGTCGCCTCAGCTGTGGTCACACCTGCCTTTGATGCGGGCGTGGACAAACTCATCCACTGCGTTGGACCCAGCATCATGATGCAGGAGTGCTACGAGCTGCTGGGCGCCACGTACGAGAATGCTCTTAACGCGGTGCTGCGCGAAAATCTGCACTGCGTTGCCATGGCGTCGGTGTCCACAGGTAGTCTCGGGGTCTCGGCGATGATAGGAGGGCGAGTGGCCCTGCGCACGATCCAGAAGTTCCTGGTGGGAAGCGACTGGCAGGGGAAGATTGCCATTGTGTGCAAGGAGAAGCGCGTCCTGCAGGCTTTCAAGGAGGGGAAGGAGGCAGTGCTAAAGTGCTTCAACGTGCTCCCGCCGCTACCTGGTCGATTGAAGTGTTTTGTACATGTTTTCGAAGAGTAGCTGCAATCTGGAAATTTGTAGAATCAAAAGTGAATTAATGCATCTGTCGTCGTAGCAACAGGAGGATGGATATATCCATACGAGGATTCTAACTGCTACTGATTGCCGTCCCTGGAGTTTCAACGTTTCTCACTGGTAAATGTCGTTATTCTACCCCGACAGTACCACCACCCGTCGCTAGCACGCTGCATTAAGAGCGCTAGAGTGAAGGTCTTGAAGAAGTTGAGCTTTTCGACTGAAAGCAACGCTCACTTCTCAAACACGAGCCTGAAGCACAACCCGTCGCCTCAACAACACCCACATCTCTCCGACAACCGCCACACCAAGGTTCCTTCGCAAGCGCCGACTGGAATGGAAATCTGGGCCGTGGAGGGCATTGTCCACTCCATTCTCCACTTCTTGGACTTAGCCAGCTTCGACGCCGTGCTGAGCTTCCTCCAAGACAAACCAGAGTTCCAAGGCTATTTGCAGGACGCTCTGTTGTGGTCGGAGCTCTCGAAGGTGCACTTCGGCGGCCAACGAGACATGGAGACGAACGCTGACGCCGACTCGGATCATGGTCGGACCTGGGACTGGACTAGCCGTGAGCGCGCATGTGCCGAATTGCAGGCGTTTCTGCAGTCTATGGACGATCTGGCGCGCTTTGAAGAAGCGGTGACTATCGTGGAAGGCGATATCCAGCACATTGACAATATCGACGGAAAACCACTCGACGGCATCGCATTTCCGACCAACTCGGGGCTAGTAAATCCCCATACCGCGTCTGCTGGCGCAGTCTTCCGTCGTGCTGGCCGTGGCCTCGACGAGTTTGTAGGCGACCAAGCCTTTCGCGATGGACTCGCCAATGGGTCCAGATGGCTTCCAGTGGGGTCTGCTGTTGTCACTCCAGCCTTTGAAGCTGGCGTGAGCAAACTCATTCACTGTGTGGGTCCCGGTGTCGGCACGGCGGATTGCTACGAGCTGCTCCGTCAAACGTACGAGAACGCCATGAATCGAGTGGTGAGCGAAAACCTCCAGTGTGTCGCGATGGTGTCCATTTCCACGGGCAACCTCGGCGTTCCCTGTGTGAAAGGGGCTCAGGTAGCGCTGCGTACGATTCAGAAGTTCTTGGCGAAACGAACCTGGCAGGGAAAACTGGCAGTGGTTTGCAACGATGAGCGTGTTTTGAGAGCGTTCACGGACGAGAAGGCGACCGTAATGCAGAGCTTCAACGTTATCCCGCCACTCCCCAAAGCCGACGCGGCAGCTGTTTGGTTCTCGTTGTGATTTTTCATGGGAATCAAGCGAGTTCGCTTGCTGATAAGGTGGCGGAAGATTGTTGCTGGTACAGGTATATTAACCTCGATAGCCGTGAATCCTACATACACAAAAATATACGTTAAGTCATTGGCTTCCATACTAGTTTCCAGACAAGAAAGCTGTGGTGCAGCTTTCGATTTGTTATTGGACTTGGAGTGACAATGTAGCGATGCAGCGTTCGTGTTCGGTGTGTGTGGACGCCTTGACTCGAGAATATGAGCTAGAACATCGCAGCAGAAGCTACTCAAGACATATCAAAAAGTTAAGGAATATTACCGTGTAGTTACGAAGCTTCGATCGCTGTAGAAGCTTGAGTCTAGAACGGCCAGCGAGGTAAATTGCCCTGGACAGCGGATGGTAATTCCAGCGGCTCATTGAACTGCTCAAGGAGCGCCTGCTTCTGCTTCGTGAAAGCCTTCAGCACAGCCTCATCATAGCACACGATCCCGATCTTCCCCTCCCAATGATTGGCACGCAGGAACTTCTGGATTGTGCGTAGAGCCACCTGAGCTCCTTCATCACAGGGCACGCCCATACTCCCCGTCGAAATCGACGCAATTGTGACACACGTCAACTCCTCATGCAGCACCGCACTCATGGCATTCTCGTACGTCGTCGCCAACAGTTCAAAGCAGTTGGGCATCGTGATCCTCGGTCCGACACAGTGGATCAGCTTCTTCACCCCAGCGTCAAATGCCGGCGTCGACACAGCGGAGCCCGTGGGGCGTCGTCCTCGGAACGACGGATCGTTCACATGGTCGTTCAGACCCTGGCCCGCTCGGCGAAACACAGCTTGGGCTGCACCCACATAGTGATTGGTTAAGTGGGAGTTGGTCGGGAATGCAATGCCGTCTATCGGTTGCCCGTCGATGTCGTGGATGTATCCGATGTCTCCTTCCAGGATCTTGACCGCCTCATGGAACTGCGTCCGCTCGTCCTTGGACTGCAGGAACTCCTGCAGCTCCACACAAGTGCGTTGTCTGTCCGTCCAGTTCCAGCCTCGATCGCGAGTGGGCAGCGCTAGGAAGCGCAGTTCCAGGTCGCGGGGGGCCTTGAAGTGGAGAACCGACAATTCCGACCATAGAGAGCTGTCCTGTAGATATCCCTGTAGCTCTGGGGACGCTTGGAGGAAGTGTAGAGCGGCGTCGAACGCCGAGAGGTCTAGGCAGCGCAGGATGCAGTGCGCGACGCCCTCCACGGCCCAGACTTCCATCCCGCGCGACGCAGTCTGCGGCGGCAGCTGAAGCGCCATTTTGGCGTTGCTGCTCTTCGAGTTGATCTAAGATCAAAGCGGGTTGAACGAATAAAACACACAGGGATTGGACAAAATGAAGTGTATACGGTGGTTGATGCATACAGTGTATACTTTGGTATCAGCTGTAGATCAGATTCTGTAGACGAATGGTCTGCAACTACCTGCACGTACAGCGCGTCACTCGGGCCGCAATGAAGCAGCTAGTGCAGCAGGGAGCCAACAATGACCAGCACCACCGCAGCCATTGCACTCGCGGACTGTGAGCTAGCGCCGGAAGTTGTGGCGACTTCGGAGGCCGGGGTGTCAGCGGCGCCGGCACTGGCACTGGCGTTTGTGTTGGTGCTGGCACTGGAATCGTTGTCGGTGGAGTCCTTGTTGTCCGTGCTGGTCGTGGTGCTGGGGGCCGTTGTCGTCGTCGATGTTGCCGACTCCGTACTGTTGTTGTTGCTGCTGTTAGTGTTGACGCTTGGCGCAGCAGTCGTCGAGCTGGGCGTCGCTGTTGAGTCAGCGGGCGCGGCGGTGGTGGAGCTCGTCGCTGCGGTTAAGTCCGAGCCAGCGGGCACTGCTCCGTTGCATGTTGCCACCATGCCCTCGACGACTTGCTTGTAGTTCTGGCCGTACGGACCGCCGAACGTGCAGTCGGGCAGCGTATCCACGAGGTTGGTGACGGCATCACGGCACGTGGAGTCGCACGTCCAGACGCCTCCGCTGGCGAGGTAGGCAGCCCAGCCGGCGCAGTTTGAGTGGAGCGTCTGCACGGCGGCGGCGACCTTGGAGTAGTTGTCGGCGTCGCATGGGGCAGCATCGGCGTGACCTTGCAGAGCGAGGGCGGAGGTCGCGGCGACGAGGAGGGCGGAGAAGCGGATAGGGACCATGTTTGTCTGGTGAGGGGGTGGTTGGGAGTGTTTGCTGTTGAGTTGGTACTGACAAGGCAAATTGAGTTGTGAGTTTTTGATCGGACCGAAGGTATGGTGGGGGTTACTGAAAGAGGCACGACATCACTATTATATAATATCACTGTGGATACGTGCTGACGTGGTAAAATCAACTACCGTAGGGGTCCGAGTGAACATCGGAGGGCAATCCAAGTAGATGCGGGCGTTTTAGGTTTGTTCTAGGTACACGTGTTGTGCATGAATCAGGAATTTTTGTTGAGGATGATGGCGGAAGGCAATGAGATATCCTTCCAGGATGCTGTTCACAACGACGCCATCTCTTTTCTGAAGCATTCTAGTGGCGTAGACGAGTAGAGGATCGCACGTGGCCACACATAGAGTATCCATTTGCAAGTACAAACTCGTTTGTGAATCATCGGTGAGCATAATCCTTCGCTCCAACACGAGACGAAACAGGTGCCTTCAACTCTAAAAACATGTGCTAACGTGTCTGGAGTCAAATCCCAGTGATTCAATACTCCAACTTGAGCATCAACAACGAATGAACCTTGAATGGCAGATGAGTACACGACGCAATATACGCACATGAACATGAAGGTCGGACGACTCCTTGCTAAGCCACCAAGGAATAAATCAACAAAAAATCGGCTAGCGCCACGATTTGAAAGCGAGGTGTACCTAAAAGCAACGAACAGTGCTTGTTGCTGATAGAAGAAGGCTAACAGCTAATGTCGCAGCGCATTGTTCGAACACAGCCAAGCATCCGAGACGAGTCTGGATCGCCCTCCGACGTAAACTTGAGCTCCTAGTTGATTTTACCACGTCAGCACGTATCCACAGTGATATTATATAATAGTGATGTCGTGCCTCTTTCAGTAACCCCCACCATACCTTCGGTCCGATCAAAAACTCACAACTCAATTTGCCTTGTCAGTACCAACTCAACAGCAAACACTCCCAACCACCCCCTCACCAGACAAACATGGTCCCTATCCGCTTCTCCGCCCTCCTCGTCGCCGCGACCTCCGCCCTCGCTCTGCAAGGTCACGCCGATGCTGCCCCATGCGACGCCGACAACTACTCCAAGGTCGCCGCCGCCGTGCAGACGCTCCACTCAAACTGCGCCGGCTGGGCTGCCTACCTCGCCAGCGGAGGCGTCTGGACGTGCGACTCCACGTGCCGTGATGCCGTCACCAACCTCGTGGATACGCTGCCCGACTGCACGTTCGGCGGTCCGTACGGCCAGAACTACAAGCAAGTCGTCGAGGGCATGGTGGCAACATGCAACGGAGCAGTGCCCGCTGGCTCGGACTTAACCGCAGCGACGAGCTCCACCACCGCCGCGCCCGCTGACTCAACAGCGACGCCCAGCTCGACGACTGCTGCGCCAAGCGTCAACACTAACAGCAGCAACAACAACAGTACGGAGTCGGCAACATCGACGACGACAACGGCCCCCAGCACCACGACCAGCACGGACAACAAGGACTCCACCGACAACGATTCCAGTGCCAGCACCAACACAAACGCCAGTGCCAGTGCCGGCGCCGCTGACACCCCGGCCTCCGAAGTCGCCACAACTTCCGGCGCTAGCTCACAGTCCGCGAGTGCAATGGCTGCGGTGGTGCTGGTCATTGTTGGCTCCCTGCTGCACTAGCTGCTTCATTGCGGCCCGAGTGACGCGCTGTACGTGCAGGTAGTTGCAGACCATTCGTCTACAGAATCTGATCTACAGCTGATACCAAAGTATACACTGTATGCATCAACCACCGTATACACTTCATTTTGTCCAATCCCTGTGTGTTTTATTCTTTCAACCCACCTTGATCTGCCCTTAGTTCACGTTCCTGAACGTCGACATTAGCGAAACGTATTCACAACAGCTTAACCAAAAACGTAGCCACTTACTTCTTCGTAATAAGTATCATGTTAGTAGCATAAGAAAAAAAGTATCGGGTGCTATCGACCACTTCGTATCGTGGTCCGATTACACGAGCATGCTAGCCGCCACCAGCACGATTGTCGTCATGGATGCCACAACGCCCACCGTTGCCGTACTGGCGCTCGAGCTCTCAGATGAGGTGGAGGCCGAAGTGTCGCTGTCCGTCGCGCTGGCACTAGCGCTAGTGCTGCTGCTCGTCGTTTCGCTGGTAGATGCCGAGCTTGAAGTCTCAGCCGGTATGGTCACCGTCGGCTCCGTGTTGTTGGAGCTACTCCCGCTGTTATCGGTTGACGTGATGGTCACAGTGGCCTCACTGGCGCTTGATGCCGTCAATCCAGCGCTCGGAGTGGACGTCGCGCTCGTGCTGGCACTAGACGCCGTTGTCGTCACGTTCGAGCTGGTGCTGGATGTAGTGGGGGCCGTGGTGACTGCACTACCAGTGGAAGCCGAAGTAGCAGCTGCGCTCGCGCTGGATGCCGTCGAGGTCGTGCTCGTGCTTGCGGACGAGTCGCTCGACAGCGCCGCGCACTTGGCGGAGAAGCCGTTCACCATTTCGTACACGTTGATCACCAGGCCGCTCGTCGGTACGGTCAGTGCGCAGTCAGGAGGGTCCAGCTCGATGATCGACGAGATGAGCGACTGACAGTTGGTCGACGCGCACATCTTCTCGTATTCTGCATCCGGGCATCGAAGACGAGTACATGAGGTTGAAGCCCGAGTCGTCCGAGCAGCCGTCGAACGAGCTCAGAGTAATGACGCTGGCAAGGGTCGAGTAGGCAGTCGTCTGCTGCGACGAAGAGCACGTTGCCGAGCTGGACGATCCCGAAGCGGCAGCCGAACCGACATCTGCGGCGGCGGCAATGGCGAATACGGTCTTCGTGTTCATGGTACCAGGTTTTCTAGGTGGTTGGTAGACTGAGAGGCAGACTTGAGGGTCACAACGCAAGTTGTAGAGTGAGGCACTCCCGTGAACGAGGAAGCGGACGCGGTATGAATCTTGGGCAACTTGTCACTGGCAGACACCACTCGGTACGCCACAGTTTTACTTGGCGGCCAGGTTGCAGTGGCCATGCACCGGTTCGAGCACCGCATGTGTAAGATCCTTGCAGAACTTCACCGTGGTGTCTGCTTTTGGGCGTTGGCTAGAATATGTATCGATGCCCTTAATCGGTGTGCTTGGGGTGTGACATGGTCTGGTCTGGTCTAGCGTAAGGGTGCACAGAGCAGCAGTTTATACAGGTACACCGCGTTTTGTTCGGAGATCGGATTCAAGTTTCACCACAACCACCGCCTATGCACGCTTCCGACAGACTTCAGTGTCGGTTTGCGTGCAATGGGTCTACAGCAAGTTGCATGTCTCGGGGATCACGAACGTTACCAGCCGTTGAAACTGGTCTTGTGGCGTTGAGTACATTTTTTTAGAGCCTCACGTAAAGCAGTATTGACGTCGACACTGCTTTCCAGACTGCGATTGTTGCTACTGTTTCTACTACAGCGCACAGTCAATGGACTTATCCACTAGGAACGCTAGACGCTGCGGCCCTGACTCAGGGCCTGAGGGGCGTGTGTACCTATTAGGGCATCGATCGCCCGAGGGAGACTGGCTGATGATGCTCGGAAATCCTCCGATTTGACTCACCAACACTTGAGCACTTGAGTTGAAGCTTTTGAACAGGACTTTGGGATGATTATGGCTCGGTGTTGTCGTCGAACAGCACGAGGCGCAGCAAATAATTAGTTATTGATTCATGTTCTTGGTGCAGCTGGCAAGCAAGCTACTTTAGGTACATTAGCACCACCGTTCAATACACGCGCACTACTGGGAAGGCTAGTCGGAAAATGATGTCAAATCCACGAACGATCTCGGAGTAGGAGCAGCAACGGATGCAGGTAGCCAAACCCAACTACAGCACAACCACAGTCCCACAACTCCAATTGCCTCCACAGTGACAACTCAACTGCAAGCACTTCCAACCTTTCACCAGACACGCATGGTCTTCATCGGCTCCTCCATCCTCCTCGTCGCCGCGAGGACCGCATTTGCACTTCTTGGCCACGTCGACGCTGCCCCATGCGATGCCGACAACCACTCCAAGGTCGCCGCCGCTGTGCAGACACTTCACATCAATTGCGCCAGCTGGTCCGCCTACCTCGCCAGCGGAGGCGTCTGGAATTGTGACTCCACGTGTCACGACGCTGTCATCAATCATGCGCACACCCCGCCGGATTGCACGTTCGGCGGTCCGTATGGCCAGAATTGCAGACAAGTGGTAGAAGGCATGGCGAAAACGTGCGGTAAACTGTCAGACTCGGAGGATACGACTTCCAGCGGAGCATTGAGAACCACTTCAAGCTCCAGCACGCAGTCGACAAGTGGCTTCGCTATCCTTGCGGCGAGAGTACACTGCTCCTTGCCGGTGCGCTGCAGCTGTAGGGGGAAGCTAGTTGGCGAACCTCGTACTGGTACCTACCATCCGTGCAATAACACCGCTTTAGGTCGATAACTTCAAACATGCCACTGTATTCACGTGAAGATGTTCAGACAAACTAAGTTATGATGGCGAGTTTCACCTGGGTATGCTTTGTTGTGAGAACGCCATGTTACGCTCGCATTACGCTTCACGATTTGCTGAGGATCTTTTGACAAACTGAAGTTGAAGTTATTATGGATACATTTTCGGCCAATCAAGTTCGCGCTTAATTTTTGGGAAGCGATGCTTGTTAACAAGGTGCAAGGTGCAATGTACACGATTCAATTTGCCCCGTAAGCAATGCTCTCCCCGCTGAACACTTATACTGATTTGAATTGGTGTCGGCAGTTCAGTCCGCAGTGCTGAGCTAGTGGCGCCTGCAACCACGCGATCCCGCCTTGCCACGTCAGTGGCGCAGTCCGACTTTTCGCCTATAGAGTGGGATCTCATGGAGAGTGGGAATGAGAAAAAAACTTTAGATGCAGATTGAATAGCTGAATAAAACACTTCCACAATCTGCTACAGCATTTCATCTTATCCGCCAATCATCTCCCTCTTCTATCTCAATATTCTCGTTTCGATTGCTCTCGAATGTTGCGTAACGCAACCCCCCTCAGAATCGAAGCCCACATCTTGCTTGTCGCCCCGGTGGCCCAGTTGCCTCTCGTTCCTCGCCTTCCTCACGCCCTCTCGACGCGCGGCGCAGACTGCAACCAGCGCCCGCAGCTTCGTCTCCGTCTCCTGTTCGTCCGCACGCAAGTTGCTTCTCTTAACGACCAGCGGTTCGCGCGCAATCCCCGTCTAACGCCAGCCTACAAGCGAGGACTCTTTGAGCGATGCCCGACCACGGCGCGGCACGCAAGGGCACGCCGCTGCCCATCTACGTGGGCGGGGCCAGCGGGCGCCACGCGCCGCGCAAGAAGTTCGCCAAGCGCGGCAGCCGCGGACGCGACGAGGAGTCCCCCGGCAAGAAGAAGAGTACTGGCGTGCTGCTGAGCGAGCGGCGCACGTGGAACCTGCTGTGGGCGCTGTTCATCGTCGCCTTTGTGATCTGCATGGTGTGCCTCGTGACGCTCGGGCGCATGGTGCAGGACGGCAGCATCTCGAACAATGCCGTGAGCGGCGGCGACGGCAAGCGCGGGCTCTTCACCGTGTGGAAGGAGAACCAGATGCTGGCCAAGCTCAAGCGGCTCTCGCACATGTTCACGTCCGTGGACGACTCCAAGGTGAAGAGCCATGTGACGCGCCAGGAGCTGAGCAACCTCGGCGACTACGAGTGCGTGGGCTGGCGGCAGACCAAGAACTGCACGCCCAGCGGCGAGCGCGAGTTCGAGAACGACAAGAACTGCAGTGAGCTGATCAGTAATGGGGTTTCAGGCTACTGCGAGGTGCGCAACACGCGCACGGGCGAGCTGAACCAGGTGCTGGCCATGCACTGCGACTCGCTGCGGCCCGGCGTGCAGTTCAAGTGCGATATGTTCCAGAGTCTGCTGAGCTACAGCATCATGTCCAAGGACTACGAGCACGACGCCAACTTCTCGTACGAACACAACCAGAATGTGTTCCGAGCGACCAACAAGATATCGGACACGCCGGTGCCGCTGGGGGATGATGGACTAAAGAACGAGAGTGTGGGCCAGTTGGAGCTTTCCTTTGACCGCGGGATTGTGTTCGTCATCTATGAGAAGCTGCTCCTGGGCGCGTATGTGAGTGTGCGCTCGCTGCGCGCCTTGGGCTGCACGCTGCCCATTGAGATGTGGTACAAGACGTCGGAGACGAACGTGGAACACCCGCTGCTGCGGCTCATGGTGGAGGAGTACGGCGTGTACCTGCGCGTGATCGAGGACCCGCTGGCCACGCACTTCTACACGAAGCTGTACGCGATTTTTTACAGCGCGTTCGACAATGTGCTGCTGCTGGATGCCGACAACTTCGCGGTGCGCGACCCCAACTATTTATTCGACACGCAGGAGTTCATGGAGACGGGCGCCATCTTCTGGCCCGACTTCTGGAAGCCGGGCAACACCATTTTCAACATCCACGAGAACAGCTACGTATGGGACTTCTTTGGCCTAGACTACGTGGACATGTTCGAGCAGGAAAGCGGCCAGGTGATGATCAACCGACGGATGCACTACAAGGCGCTGAACGTGCTCATGTACTACGGCTTCTCGCTGCCTCGAGCACACGAGGAGCTGCGGCTGGTGTGGGGTGACAAGGATCTGTTCCGGTTTGCGTGGCTCAAGTCGAAGAGCTCCTTCCACATGACTCCGCGGCCACCGGGCTCTGCGGGCACGAAGCACCCGGACTACGACCTGTTCTGCGGCGTGACCATGGTACAGCACGACCCGAGCGGACGCGTGATCTTCCTGCATCGTAACACGGAGAAGCTCACGTACGCGAACAACCGGATCCTGTGGACTCACATCCAGCAGTACAAGCGCACGTCCGAGCTTTCGGACTATTACGTGCGTGGCGCCAACGGCGGCAAGGTCTTCCCGCAGTTCAAGCGGTGTTTCGGCAAGGACGTGCACTACGAAAAGCTGTTCACGCTCAAGCCTATGAGCGCCTTCCCGTTCGAGAACCTGGAGGACGACCTGCTGCGGTTCGCTGCTGCCGGTGCCGAGGTGCTTCGGCTGGCCGGCTATGAAGAGAAGGAGGAGGACGAGCAGCAGCAGCAGCCAGGAGATGAAGAAAAGAAGCAGGAGTGAGCGCCGTAATAGGCGAGCCATAGAAGAATGACCGTCCGTCGAGTAGGTAGGAAATCTGTAGTGCACCATTACTCGTGTGTGGGTGACCGACGACGAGATAAATAGCATAAACGCTTTATTAGGGACTTGCATTGAGAGCAGGCTCGACAGATTCTTCAGCGCAAAATGACACCATTGGTACTTGCACCAAGGAGCTGAACTAAAGACTTCATGGATTTGGACGTCAAAATGACGGGCCCGCTTGGATGACAGCGCCAAAGAGTCCCGCGTGACTTGTCCTCATTGCTCGTACAACTTGCCGGAATCAAACAAACACTGGAACTTCTCCGTGATAGTGATGCCACACAAGTGGTAGTTCTTGCCTGATCCAGGACTGCGTAACGAAAATGAACCGCTTCTTGGAGTTTTCGTCCGGCCGTCCGTAGACGTGAGCTCATTTCGTAATAACTACAGTACATGAACAAGAGAACTGTAGTTCTGGAGCGATTTGAGGGCGGTTGAAATTCTCAAGCACACACAAAATTTCCTTCCCCCAACTTGGGCCGGTAAATCTAATGATGGCTTCGTTTCTTCACCGCTCGACAATCGCCAGTATTCCAAACCATACCACTAACCAGCACGCAACCTCTGTGCTTTAACTTCCTCTTGCAGATAGTCAATTCAGTTCAGCGTCGAAGTCATCCTTTTGAAGATAGCCTTGAGGAAGCTCCACCAGAGCGGATCAAACTGCCGCGGTAGGTTGGAAAGTGGACCATATTGTCGATTTTGACAGTACGAACTTATACTACCGCGATGCTGAAAACTCGTCAACTCACCGTCAAGTACCATACCGCTACCACCAGGAGAACTTGGCTCGATCCATCATTTCACTTTTGAATTTGCGCTGTACGATTAGTCACTGTTCCGAAGACTACTAGAGGTAGCTCGGGGCTGCAAGTAACATCATCTCCCATATGATCGATCTTCTTCGTTCCAAAGCCGCCACGATCCCATCACTTGAACTGTGAGGGGTCCAAAACAAGCACTAAGTCTCCTTCTGGTTGTCAGCTCTTCCTCCACACACACACATCCCGTTACGATCTCGGCTGCCACCGGGACGACCGACGGTGCTTTTCCCCGTAATAGCCGTCCTCTCGGCCATAATCGCGCGAGTGAGACCGGTGACGGTCCTCCGAAGGGGAACGCCGGTATTGCAGCTCCCGCGAATGCGAGTGTCTGCGATCAGGCGAGGGGGAACGGCGGCGGTACTCTTTCGTCGGGTAGTCCTTTGAGGGGTACTTCTTCGGGTAGCTCTCCACGTACTCCTTCGGGTAATCCTTCGCGTATTCCTTCGGGTAGCTCTTCGAATACTCCTTCGAGTATTCCTTCGGATACTCCCTCGGGGAGTGCTCCTTCTGGTACTTCGGCGGGTAGTCCCTCGGGCGTTCACTGGAGTGAGAGCGGCGGCGCGACGAGTGGCGGTGCGAAGACTTGGACTGACTAAGATCAGACGAACGTCGACGATAGCGCTTGGTCGGTGGCGACGCAGACGGCGAGCGCGATCTTGAGCTGCTGCGAGAGCGCGCGCGTTGCTTGCGTGAGTAGGCCTTCTTTGACTCCACCTTTCTGCCTTCGTAGTCGCGGCGACGGTCGGCGTAGTCTCGGCTGCTGCGACGGCGCGAGTGACTATGAGGCGACGGCGATCGAGACCGCGACGGGGAAACCGAGTACGACCTCGACCGCGAACGCGACGACGACCGAGAATAGGATCGGCGCCGTGAGCGACTTCCTCCACGCCGCGGAGAACGTGAGTGCGAGCGCTGTCGCTTCGCTTCGTAGTAGTGTTCTTTTTCTTGGCGGGTCGGCGGCCCCTCCACCGGGTATTGCTCGCGCGGAGATTTCTGAGGCCGCTGATAACTTCCATATCGGCGCTCGTCTCTCACCTCCGCTGGAATCTCGTAATTTCGACCAGCATTTTCTCGTGGGGAGATTTGAGACCGCTGGTAACCATAACGGCGCTCCTCTCTCCCCTCCCTGGGGACATCATAGTGCCGCTCAGGCGCAGATTCCCGAGGAGACTTCTGCGGCTGCTGAGGGCCGTATCCACGATCCTCTCTGATCTCCGGTGGATAGTGTCGACCTTGAGTCTCGCGCGGAGATTTCTGGGGCCGCTGATAGCTAAATGCCTGCTCCACTCTCGTCTCCATCGGGGCATCGTATTGCCGCCCGGGTCCAGCACCGTACCGTTGTTCAAAATTACCACTGCGCTGTGGCGGGGGTGGCGGTGCCTGTGGGGGTACAACGTGGCTTCCATTGGGCGGAAACCCGGGCGGCGGGGGCGGAACCGCACCATTCGGGGGAAATCGTCCTGCTGGAGGTGGAGGGGGAGGAGGGCGCGGATGTCCATACGGCCCAGGACGCTGTACCGATAGAGGCATGCCAGGTGGGGGAGGCGGGGGAGGCACTGGTGCGCCATGGCTTGAGCCGTGGTCCCATCGGTTCCCGGGAGGCCCCGGCGGCATCATGGATGGAGGCTGACGGGGTGGCATTGGTACTGAGGGCGCAGAAGGACGCGCGTTTGCGTGAGCTTGAGCAACACTGGCAGCAGCGTGGTCATGACGTCTCGCTTCGACGTCCTCACTGTCAGACACCTCCATAGAACTCTCCGACTTCACAGGCCGCTTCACGCCATTCTGCAGTTCTGGTGTTCCCTCCCGACTAGCGATCCCGCGCACAATCTCGCTAGACCCTTGGGTAGGAGCTGCCATTGCCATTCGTTGCTCATTCTGAAGCTCCAAAGACTGGCGCACTTGAAAATCACGCTCGCGTCGCTTCCGTAGTGCATCCGAACGCATCTTCTGCTCGGATTGGCGGCGTTTAACAAAACTCTGAATGGGCGGAGGAGCGAGAAAGCTTGACTTCGCGCGCGACTTCTTTTCAATGCGATACACAGCGCCCTGGACCCACACTCGTTCATTGAATGACAGTCCTTCGGTGTCGAAGAAGGTGTTGTATCGCTTGGCAATCGTCAATAGCAAGTCTGACGCTCCGTCACTGTTCTTCTGTTCTTCAGCTTTACCAGCCCATACCAGTGCTCGCTCACGCTCCGAGTCAATAGCACTCCAATCCACTTCAGACACAGCAGCGACCGCTTGCGCTTCCTTCCTGTCAGCGCTTGATTCCTCGTCGCCGCTGTCACTATTCTCCGAAACCAGTGAACTCTCCCCAACTGCTTGAAGCTGCTTGCGAATCTTGGCGTAGTCCGGGAAGTCCTCGTACTTCAGCGACTGCAGATAGTCCATCATCTCCAGCAACTGAGTGGCTCCAGGGAGACCCTCCACCAACAAGCCCGGGTTCTTTTCCGTGAAGTGTTCTTTCAGACTCAGCACAGTCTGACGGTTCTTCTGCTGCGCATCATTTGCCCAAGGGAGTTCGCCGCGCAGAAAGTCCAAGACGAGATAGAACCACGACCACAGATCGTCCTTCGGACCCAGCTCCTGTCGACGATGCGAGCTCAGCGACGCATACATCGATGTGCCTCGAAACTCAGCCACCGGACGCGCAGGCAGCACCTGCCGGTCCTCTCCAATGTGCTGTCTTGACAGTCCAAAGTCGATGATGTAGTACCGCGCCTGCTTCATTGGGTTTCGCTCCGGAATCGCGCTCAGCGCGAAGTTCGAAGCCTTAATGTCCCTGTGCACGTAGCCGTGTCGGTGGAACGCCTCGATGCAGTCCAGCATCTCCAGCCCCACCGACACCGCCTTGGCCAGGGGCACTCCGTGCATCGAGTCCGGCGATATGCGGAGCATCGACATGCTGTCCCCCAGCAGCTCCATCACCAGCACCGTGCTGTCTCCATGCTTGCCGTGGTAGTAGTACCTGCACACATAGGGGCAGTCCTGCAGACTCTTGAGGATCAAGCTCTCCCACTCCAGCACGGGCTTGAGCGAGCTCGGGGCTTCGACTTTCACCGCCACTTTGTCCCGACTCTCGATCGAGTACGCCGAGTAGATCTGGCTGAACGTGCCCTGCAGCAGATAAAATTTAATTAAATTTAGTGAAAATGAATCATAACAAAGAATAAAAACTAAGAACCATTCACGCACCTCTCCGATCTTCTCCCCAATCTTCCACTTCTCGGCAATCACCTCTCCAGCCTGGAATAATCACAACAACAATAAATAAATAAAATATCAGTTTCCAGCCATTTCTCTCTAGCTCCCTGGTATCTTTCTTCATATTCCACCACTGCTTTACCAGAAGTATATTCTTGTTGAGAGGTTCCATCGGCGACGACGCGGCCCGCATCATGGCTCACTCCCTCTGTGTTGGAATAATCCACCACGACTGCCGAAATCCTCTCGGTCCGCTCGCTCTGCCGGCGCCTACGACGCGATCTGCGCGGCCCTGAAAAGACGACGGGGGCTCTGAGACCTGCTGCTTGCTGGTGCGCTTGGGGCCAGAGCCTACGGCGGTCTGTGGGGCTCGGGAGGGCGGCGGGCGGAGGCTGCGCAGGGTGCGGCCAGCCACTCGGAGGAAAATGTGTCGAACAATTGGAGGTACACCATGATTGGCGCAACATTCTTGCAACATTGTCATACTATTTGAAAATTGTATGGGGGCAGTTTACTTTATCCAAGTGAAAAGTAGCATGTTGCTTGAGTGTGCTCTCGTTTGGGTAACATGTGGTATTGTGTCTTTCGGTCATTTTGCCGAGTCCTGCGTAGGACTTTGGAGGTCAGTTAATCTGAGGTTGGCGGTCTCTAAATCTGAGATGCAAATCTCGGACGAGTCCGATGAGCGGTCTCCCGGAGTCTTCCGTTCAATGGACTCCGGTTGGAGTCCAAGCCAAGCAAGCTTTGTTTAGGGAAGCAAGCAATGCCGGAACCCACGAAGGCGAAGGGCGAAGACTGGAGTGTTTAACGTATCGACTGCATCGTGTTTCCCTAAGTTTATTCTGCGTTTGACATACGCCGTATTAGAGTCAGCTCGTATGAAAGTCCTGCCACAAGACTTGGCAGGAGTCCTTCGTAAGACCTCAAACCCCGAATGCCGTGAAAATGGGCGACATTCGGGCTTTCGACTGTTTGTAGGACCTGCGCAAGTGCTTCCATCGGACTAGCAATTCTTGGTCCTAATTCCCTACGACGGACCTGCTAATCTGCTCCGATAACCTAGCCCCATCTTAGTAGGTAGCTGTTTTACACGTCCGATTCGCCAAAACAACTGAAAAGCACAATACATTGTACCTTGTTACCATTTGATGCTACCATTTGATGCTACCATTTGTCCGCACGAACTGAAGTTCTGTGTGGCGCTCCTGCGGGGGCCTGCTGCGCGTAGGTTTGGTAAGACAGAGTTTCGAGAAATGTGGCCACCGCAACTGCTATCAAAATTCTTTAAGAATGTTGTGGGGAACAACCAAGTGTAATTCGTGTGTTGGTGGAGCTTCCGCAAGATTGAACTGCCGCTGACGATTCTCAAAAGGAGGGCGAACAAAAGCGGTCGGTTGCCCGACAGCGGTGAATTCTTGGAGATGTTGACGTGGAATGACGACGATGTGAAGGACATCCGAGCAGTTGGAGATGCCGTAGATTTTGTGTGTGCTGGATAATTTCAAGATTTTCTTACGAGAGGAACTGAGCACCACTGACCTAAACTTCAAGAAGTAGTTCGTTTTTGTGGGTAGTCCGGGAACAGGCAAGAGCTCTATCGTGGCCCTGATTTGTTTCTACGTTGCAATTAAAGAGAAGGTGTCGGTTGTGTGGCATCGCTATCATGAAACTGGGGATGAAGTTCTTGTGACGTGTCTGTTTGACCAAGGCAAATACTACGAGTGGTTCGACAGGTATGGCGTTATCTATGAATCGTTCTGCTACCCTGGCATCGGGATCGGTTATGAGCGTTGCTGGTTTTGCATCGACGGCACGGATCAGGGTGGTATTGCACGAAGACGCTGGACTAACACTTTTACGCTGCTGGCAACTTCTAGGAAGTTTGTGACGAAGGGCGAAGGTGGCGGTAAGCAGGAGGTCCGCACTGGAGGCGAGACGACTTAAAAGATCTGGCTGGAAAGCTCGGCAAGAGCGACGTTACAATCGGTATTTTGTTTCAGGTGGGAATCTTCGTGATTTTTGCGAGGCCAGCGAGCTTATAGGCGCGATATTGCGTGATGCCACTTCTGAGAGCGCAAACGAGCTGCTCTCTAGGCATGGGCGTCGCCCAGATTAGCAGCTGAACCGCATTCGCACGATCAGGGTCGCAGATACTTCAGACGCGGAACTATATACATGTATCTGCCCGCTTTTCTGGAGATCGTGTCTTACGTCGGAGATGGCTATGCAGAACCTGGTGCGTATAGTGGAACCCAACTTTTTCCTAAAGCTCGTCGTGACTGCGAAAAAGCTGAAGGACCCTTATCTCCAAGGTGTTGCAGTCAAATATTTTTCCACTCGATTGTACGCTATCAACGTTCCGTTGGCTTATTCTACTTAAATACGACAACCTGAATCGGGCGGAGCACAACGACCACGTAAACACCATGCATGGCGAGCTTGTATTTAGCGGGCAAATTGTGTTGGACGATCACTCACCAGTGAAGCGTGAAGGTGAAATAATGGAGGACTACTTGGAGGTGATAAATAGGTGGGCCGCACACCCCGACGAGATGAACTACTGGGTTCCTCCCTCCAGTATGTGTGAAGCCATTGATGCTATTGCAAAGCGGAGGCTTACGAGCGATGCAGAGGCGTCATCCACTGCTGGATCTTCTCCAGTGGAGCAATTTTGCATTTTGCAGGTTACATCAGATGCTACAGTCAAGTGCGATAAAAACATTTTGGACAGTGCTACTGCCCATGTTTAGTGTCCAGGTTGAGCCCATGTTTTGGTTTTTCTATGGACCTCGGCCCATGTATTGCCCACTCCAAATGGGACGACTCCTCTCATCTGCGCTTCTAGGAAAGGGTTGGTGGATATCGTTCGACTCATTGCTACACCTTTCTTCCAAGCTGACAGCAGTGTAAAGCAAAACGACCTCAACTTGTACTTGGCTTGTCATTTCCTACTTTCAAGTATACGTGTACTGTACCTTCAAGAAAGAGTATTTTGCCGCACTCACTAACAATCTCTTTGTCTTTCAGTTCCTACGCAGCTGCCACCTGTCTACCTACTCCTCTTTTCGCTCTAATTGAGTGGCCGATCGACTTCACCTTCGCCAATGCTTGCACACTCTCCATCGTCATCTTTGGCAGCTTTGCAGGCTCCTTCACACCAACACCAATGTCACTCAAATCGTCCGCGATCTCCTCCTTCATCTCCTGCAGCCGCTCCTGGAACCGCTCCTCCTCCGCGAAGCCTCTGATCACCTCGATCGCGTCCGCAAACTTCATGCGCTCAGACGGCTCAAACGCGCACAAACGGAGTACCAATTCCCACTGCGCGTCGCTCTCGAACGTCTTCGGACGAGGCATGAACTTCTTCCGCGTCACATGGAACTTCACCACCGGGTCAGACACTTGCTGCCCCCACGGCACGTCACAAGTCACGGCCTCCACCACGCACATGCCGAACGAGTACACGTCCGACTGCGCGTTGGGCGCCACGGGTTTGTCCTTGCGGATGACCTCGGGCGCCTTCCAGCGGATGGCTCCGACCGTCTCCTCGTCTCCGCTCTGCTCCGTGGCCAGGAAGCTCAGGCCGAAGTCCGTCAGCATGGTCACGCCGTCCTTGCTCACGAGGATCTGGTTGCACTTGAGGTCGCTGTGCACGATGTGTCTCTCGTGCAGGAAGTGCAGGCCGAGAGCGGCGTCCAGCAACTTCCGCCACACCAACGATCGACCTTCTTCTCTTGCGTGGTATAGATAATCAAGCAGCTTGCCGTTCTTGGCCTCCTCGCACACGAAGAAGTACGTCGAGCCTTCGTCACAGGCGCCGAAGAACGGCACGATGTTCGGATGCCTCGCTTTCTGCCAGATACGCGCTTCTCGGTGGAAGGTGCGGCTCTCCTTTTCGTTGGCGACGGTGACGGTCTTGACTACGACTCGAGTACTGAGCCACCAACCTCTGTAGACTTGACCGAAGGATCCGGCGGAGAAGGGCTGTTGGTCTTTGCGGACTTCTCGACTGGGAATGAACCAGTCCGGTTTCTCCCGCTTCAGAGTGACGACATTGCCTCGGTCATTGCCAGGCGGAACAGCCCGTTCCGCCTGGTGACGTTGTAGGATCCGCATTACCTTGTTTCTGCAGTTGAAGCGAGCGATACCGGTAGCAGTGCGGCCAGAAGTGTCCTTAAGATAAACGTCGGTATCGTTGTCTAAGAGAATCTCGACAATTTCGTCGTGACCTCGGTAGGCGGCCTTCATCAACGGGGTTTGGTTCTCTGAATCCACAATATTTACAGCTGCACCTTTATCCAAGAGAGCACGAACGATGTCAAGATGCCCCTCTTCCGCCGCAAGGAACAGCCCCGTGCGTCCGTCACTCGTCTTCGAGTCAACCGCGGCACCCTTTTCCAGCAAGAAGTTAGAGATCTCCACGCGTCCTCGTTGAGCCGCTCCAACGAGAGGCGTCCACCCAACGCCATTTTCAGCGTTGATATCGGCTCCATGGTCCAGTAGAAAGCGCGTTCCCTCGCGTTTGTCTTGGTAAATGGTCTCATGGAGTGCAGTGTCTCCGTCATTATCCCGAAGGTTTACGTCCGCACCTCGGGAGATCAAAAGTTTGGCCATCTCGATGTTACCGGCCCCCACAGCAATCTGGACAGCTGAACAATTGTTGTTTCCTGGCATGTTGACGGCTGCTCCATTGTCCAGAAGCAACGATGCACACTCTGTGTTCTTCTGTCTCGCCGCGAAGTGGAGCGCGGCGGCACCATCTTCCGCCTGAGCATTAACATCGGCGCCAGCTTTTAGAAGCTGGTTGATGATACCCACCGCCTCGCTCTTAGCTGCCAGTATCAACGGGGTCTGCCCGTACGAGTCTGGTATGTTCACATTGGCGCCGTGTTCGATGAGAGCGAGGGCTGCATCGTTATGCCCGAACGTTATCGCGATCACGAGAGGGGTCGATCCATCCGTTGGTGTAGCGTCGATGTTCACTCCACTCTCCAGTAGAGAGGTTACGACTGCAGTGTGGCCATTCTCCGCCGCACAACCTAGAGCAGTGAAGCCGATATTGTCCATTTTACTGCTGTCAGCCCCCTTTTCCAGCAAAAGGTTCACGATATCAATATAACCGAACAACGACGCTCGCATCAGAGGGGTACACCCTTCGTTCGTAGTGCGGTTGATGTCCGCGCCGCTCTTCTTCGTCGGCCTTGTTCAAGTCGGCGCCTCTCTTAATCAGGAGTCGAGCGACGTCGAGGTGGTCGTGCTCAGCAGCGAAATGCAGCGGAGACCTGCGAGCTTCATCGGTGACGTTCACGTTAACGTCCCTCTGCAGCAAAAGCGTCTTCAAGACGTCGAGATCTCCGTCTCTTGCAGCTGCAAAGAGAGATTCCTCTGCGTTCTGCTCGCTCATGCTTGTCGTGGCAAGGTGGTGTCTTCCGAAATGAGAGAGGCTCGAGCCATTCCATTCCCACAATAATGGATACCTTCGCGCGTGTCTTTTGTGGTCTTCAATGAATGGCTACAACGAGTGACCGGAGGTCATTGGAAGATTTTTAAATGGGTCTTATGCAGAACAGGTCTTGGTTTTGATCATAGCGTACTTTTTCTATGATCTCGTGATTGGATCACATTCGCCATGTTTTGACGACAAAAGCCACTTCACCGTAGACTACGAACGCCCTCGAGCTCACCGCAGTGGCTGCAATGGCGCTGGTGGGTACCGGTATCACCAAGTTGCGAGCAGCTAGGTGATGCGGGGTCTTCCAGCCCTGATCGTCCAACCCGCTATGGACCGAGCCTCCTCTCCACCCAGGCTGGCAGAGCGAGCTGCTGGACATGGAGCTGGAAGATACAGCAGCAGGCCACGGCACGCCGGCGTAAGGCGCCCGCGGCTCCCTCGAGCTCGTCGCTGATCAAGTCGCCGCTTGCACGAGACAACTCCTCCGCTCCAAGAAGAAGGTGGGCGTGGGTGCGCTCGTCGTGTGAAGCGCGGCACGCCCCTCGTGATCGAGAGCCGCCGCGGCGGAGCCCGTCTCGATGCTTTCGATGTCGCCCGAGCCCGTGGATGTCCATCCTGCAGAAGGAGAATCGCAGGTCTGTGGAGCTCACCGTGGGCACCGCGGCGCTCAGGTCCTGCTACGGCAAATGACACCCGTCTGAATTTCGCTGCGCTGGCGACGACTTCGGCGTGTGTTGCGCCCTAGGCCCGTGTTCCCGTACGACGGTCAGAGGTGGCAGCTACTGCTTCCCCGCTCACGAGCTCTTCGGACGGAGACAAGGCGTTACGAGTCGTAGCCTACGACGCCGTCTACGGCGACGATAGACGCGGACAAGATGAATGGAGCATGAGGACACCAAGTCCATGACGGCGGTCGGCCGGCCCGCCCACGCCCGCCATCGCCGCAGCATTGACCTCGAGTATTCCACGACAACTACAGACTCAAGTTCGCCCACGCTTCGTGCAGCTCGACATACTGTGCTGTCCAAGCTCTACGACGAGGATTCGGAGTGGTGGGGAAGACGCAGTTCGCCTCGTTGATGAGTTGTAGGTCAAGTCTCGCCGCACTCCCAAGCTCTACATCCAGGCCAGCACGTTTTAGGGGCACCCGTGCGCCACTCCGCGCACCCGCTACAAGAAGGAGAAGGATAATTCGTGGCACCCAAGCCCGTGACTGCGTATAAGCTTCGCCAAGCACTTCTCGTCGGTTGTCATATTCGCTACGGAGGGGATAAGCTGCAACGCGAGGTTCGTGCAGGCGAATTCTTCACCCTGCAGAGCGCTGGCATCGCATGGGAGCGCGAAGCATGTCAAGCGGCGTGAACACTGAGGGTTGGCTGCCATACTGCTCGAAGGCGCTCGCAGGAGCGACTAGACCGTGCTGCCTTACACGGTAGCGTATAAGTCATTGCTACGTCCAATGCATAGTTTACATATCGAATCGAATACAGTTGCCTCACTATATAAGAGAGCCCATCATGTAAGGTTACCGTCTATGCATCTTGCTGCGACTACCAGCTCGATAAAGCAGCAGAATACTGCAAATTGAGGTGCAGGCTTTAAGAAATGACTAAAGACGTGATTGTAAGGCATCGGGGCCTTGCTACTGCATAATGTCTGCTCATTCAACGTAGACCACCTTCATCTACAAGAAGTCCTGCCATTACTTGGCAGGGCAGAACGTTGAACGGAGCATGGAGAAGAATTGTCGTGTCATGTTCCACTTCTGTGGGTGTTTGGTTCAGGTCTACCGATTCGGTCTCATAATCAGCATGTTCAAATCCCAGACCTGATCTGCATAAGAACCAAAATAAAGGCAACCAGGTCATTGACTGTAGCCATGTTGTCGGGAGCTGCATGTGCACCGAGGACTATGTACTACAGCTTTGTCCCAATGTATCCATTTCAAACGGGACGTCGAGCAAAGTGCGATTTGCTGGCAGTCGCTGACTTCGCCTCACCTCACTCTGACTCTCCGCGTTAACCCCCCCCCCCTCCATGTCGCTCGATCTCGTGGAAGACTCGGAGGCCTTCGAGGCCGCTCTGCACTTCGTGGACGAGTACGTCGAGGCTGAGCAGCAACACGACGACGACGACGACGACGCAGCTCTCACGCTCGCTCTGGACGGTCTCCCGTCTCCCAATGAGTTGGCGCTCGTCGACGCCCAGCCAGACGCCTCAGCGTCTCTGCCAACACCCAAACGACAGCCAAAGAAGACCACGAAGAGCCCCAAAGCCACTGCGTCGAAGCCCAAGCGACCGCTGAACTACAACCCGAACCGGGCTCGAGACGAGCAGCGCAAGGAGCTGCTGTATCTCCGGGAGAAGGTCGTGGAGATGGAGCAGGAGCTCAAGGCGCTGCAGAGCACCCGTCGGCCCAAGCCTCTAGATGAGGTGGAGGGTGATAATGATAGTGAGGAAGGCAGAGGTGAAGTGTCCACCTCATCAGGCTTCCGAGCCCCCGACGTGTGGAAGGACATGGCCAGTCACCAATTGGAGCAGAGACTCAAGTCTGAGAGGGAGAATCGTCGGCTGAAGGCGGTGCTGGAAGGCCAGATCAAGATCGGCAAGAGTCTGGCAAAGCTGCTCGAGGCCACGTCCACCACAGAGGCACAAAGATTCTCCTGTCTGTATATTTGTTTTCATCATTTCCTAACTTTTTTATTTATTTTTTGCAGCCGATGGAGTCGTGTCTGCATGGAGTTCAACGTACGCGACGTATGCACGCCTCCGCTCCAGACCGCACTGGACCAGGAACCTTCGCCGAGCTCATGGCTGGAGTGGACGACTCGTACCGCGAGGTGGACGACGTGTTCCGAGCCAATAGACTCGGAGAGATGGAGTCGTCCTTCAGCGACGCCAAGATGCGCGTGGGACCAGACGGCGTCTACATGGAGATCTTCGCCAACAAGGTGCTGCCGTTCGACGTGGCGTCGACTGGCACCGCTGCCTGGAAATACTTTGCCAAGTCCATGGAGCACATGCCCTTCCGCTTCTTCTACCAGAAAGACCCGCAGGTAAATTTTACGTTTGTTAGCGGCAAAATGGGAGTGTGTGTTTATGGATGCTGTGCCTTCTACAACGGCAGAACTTGGAAACCACGGACGACACGATCGTCGAGAGCTTCGGTATGGAGTTACACGCGAACGGGACGCAAGCCGATTTCCGCGTCAAGCAGATTCTACGTCGATACGTGGAGGAAGACCGCGTGGTGATCGTGTGGCGGTCGTTCATTGACCCCGTCGAGTTCTCGGGCGCCCCACTGCGCGGAGCCGAATTCCGAGAGAAAGGCTACATTGTCGTCCGCCGTCCGCGAGGCATGGCCGAGAACTTCGCGTTGCTGCAGACGTGCTACCTCATCCACCCGGAGACGCCCGTGCACTCGCTGTCCGACGACGGCGCCATCACTGGCGCTCTGACCGATTTCGTCCTGAGCGGAACGGCCGCCAACATTGCTGCGGGACACCAAATGATCGAGAACATCCTGTTCAACGAGAGTATGAAGACGCACAGCCGCGTCTGAGTTGTGCTCGTTGTGAACGTTCAAGCTTCTCTATTGCTTCGCAGATATGCAATATCGTTAATGAATGTAGGTGTATGCATGATATTGACCAGACATTTCGAGATGTGTGATACAGATTGATGTGTAGGGAGGGACCTGGAGATCTTCAAAACCATTTTTCTTTTGGTCGTGACGATGGAACCAGCAGTGCTAAACGCCACTCTGCCGATTAAGGTGTTCTGCGGAGTCTTTCGCGCAGCGAGGGTGCTATCGGTGGAGACAGAGTTCAACGCGGACGTGGGGAATGTGCGAGATGCGCTTGGTGACAAATTGGATATTCGTCCTCGCGAGTTGAATTTGTACTTGGCGAAGAAGAATGGTCAGTGGGTGAAGGCTGACGAGAAGTTGGAGGATTTCTTACTGCGCGGCAAGTCTGGTGACTTGGAGCTTCAGAGAGTTTGGCCACGACTAAAATTGTCGACGTTCTTTGAGCCAAAATCTGGAGGGATTCACCTGCTGGTGGAACCTCCGCAACACCACACGTACATAAGGAAACACCCGAGCTTGCATAAACTATCGCTGCCGGATTTCAAGAAAAGCTGCAATAAAAGCGGATTATTGCCGCAAACAGGGGACTTTTTGAAGTTATTTGAGTGGGACGACAGTGATTGCGGAGACGTGAAGGACATTCGAGCGATCGGAGAGATCTTGGGTTTTACTGGTTCCCAGTTCTACATTCGCAAGGAGATTCTTTGTGTGTTGGCGAGTTTCAAGAAGATTTTTTACAAGAAGCTGACGGACACGAATACAAAGCTTGGAGAACAGTTCATTTTAATGGGAAGTCCTGGAACGGGCAAGAGCTGCATCGTGGCGTTGATCTGTTTCTATTTCGCAATTGAAAAGAACGCGCCAGTTGTATGGCACCGCAAGAGCGACACTATGAACGGCGGCCTAGCTGTTACGCGTTTGTTTGACCAAGGCAACTACTACGAGTGGATCGACTTAGCTGGACACGCGTATTACACCCTTGTGTACGACTCCCACAGAGGGGACGATCACCATCGTCGGTGGGTTTGCCTCGACGGCTTTACCCAGAGGGAAGTTAAACGTAGAGACTGGGGCACATGCTATTCGCTATTAGCGGTCTCTGGACAGTTCGACTACGATCCCTTTGTGCAACAAATGGGTCTGTTGCCATACGGGAGGCGAGACGAATTGGAGGATTTGGCTAAAAAGCTCGAGGGTCTAGACGAGAGCGAATTTGCCAGTCGGTATTTCGTGTCAGGTGGAAACCTTCGCGACTTTTTGCTGCCGGTTGCTGAATCCCGCCAACTTGTAGAAGCGTCGATGTGTCGTCTTACTTGTGAGGACGCGAACGCACTGCTTTCCGAGTATAAATCCAGCTTGAACGAAGAGTTTGATCGCATTCGCATGATGGGGGTGCCGGATACTACAAACGTGGAGCAGTATATTGATCCTTTTTGCGGATTGATGACTACGTCGCGGTGATGAAGAGGTGGGCTGCAAACCCTGCTGAGATGGATTACTGGGTCCCTGCGACCAGGGTAAGCGGGGCAATTGATGCTGTGGCGAAGTGGGAATTGTTGAGCGATGCAGTGAAGAATTCCAGTGGTGGACCCCCCATGGAGGTGTTTTGCTTGCTGCAGGTGATGGCAGACGCTAAGCACAAGTGCGACGAAATAATTTTGTGGGATTTAGCGAAACCATTTCTGGACGCGAAGATGCAAGTTTGCTACATGGCGCTGCAGTGCGATAGTGACTTTGGCAAGAAACGGAGATTCCGACTGAATCCTGACGAGATCAAGATGGATGAAGTGGCGAGGGATCACATCCCGCTGTACACCGCGACGTACGATCGGCCCAAAAGGCCCGAGTTTGTGGAATCGTTCGTTAACTAAACGACAGTTCGAAAGTCATTTTTAAGTGGACATTTAGTGCGGTAGCTAATCCACACATAACTCGTCTAACTTGGCTGAACAATAAGTAATACATGTTTTTATACTGGGATAGGAAGCGACGAAGTGCTGATAGCCCAGCCCACACAGCGCTGCCCCCCCCCCCCCCAATCGACACCGGTGATGAACCGGTAACATGTCTTAGGTCAATTTACAGTAAGTGACCGAGTGTTTTAGACTTCTCAAGAATGATGGAGGCTGGTCCAGTTTGCCAATTCGTCGAGTTGAGATTCGTTTTATTGATTTTGCTCTAAAATCGGTTGTACGTCGTGACCACAGTGGCGATACATTGTCGGGCAGATTCTGCGGCTGCGAAGCAGGCGCAGGAGATGCCCGTGCAGCGTGCGGATTGAGTTTATCAATGGCGGTCAAAGGCGAGTGAACCAATCCTATCCCAGCCTTCGCGAAGGCCCTAGTTTCGATTTCCAAGTTCTCAAGGCAAGAGAGCCTACCTTATGCAGTCCTGATGGAGATTCGTAGCGCACGAAAGCAAAACTACGCAAAGCATATCCAAATGGGTACACTTCCTCTAGCAAGGTTAGCACAATACGCGGATTGAAGGTGTTCACCAAAATGAAAATTGACCATGAGTCCAGAAGCACAGTGCCGTACAGTCAGTAGAAGGATGCAAGTTTGGAGTTTACACTTCCGATCGGTTGGAGACTGTCGCCTGGCGTTCGTGCGCGCGTGCCAAAATTATGGCTGGCGCAGTAACTCGCGTCGAGTTGTCGGTCACTCGTAATATCCAGGCGGCGAGTCTGTCGCCATGGACCGTCATGCCGTCGCCGCTAGCACTTGACCGCGGCTTCTCCAGTCGTGCGGGCCTATAGAGCCTATAGAGCATGGCGGGCAGGTCGATTTGCAAGGGTATCTATCTATCCCATCTATCTACGTGCGTGGAATGTAGGGGCACTCAACACTGCTCCACAGCTGAGCTGAGCGGAGGGGGATCCTTCATCAATCCTGTTGGCAACGACAATATTCGCGGCCGTGGCGGTCCGGATGGTTCAGCTCGATGGCGGCCCGTTGCTGTCGTGCGAGCGGTGGCACTCGGTTGACACCCGGCAGACGATCGTCACCCCAGGCGGTGTCAGCTACACGTGACTCCGCCCACAAGATTCGCTCGCTTTTCGCTTCGTCTCCAAAGGTTCGAGCGATCGCGCGACAGAGCGGCTCCGATTTGCGCGCTGATGGCCAGGCCGCCGCTGAAACAGCGTGTTGGCTCGGAACGGCGCGAAAAGGCCCACAACGAGACCAACGTGCTGTCGCCACGTGCGGCGAAAGGCATGAGACGCGAGCTCTCGAGCCCGAACCCAGCTGGCGGCTCGCTAGCCGGAGGACTGAACTGGGACGGCGCCACAAGTGGCTGGTTCCGGCATCGCACCGCCCGTTCTGGTCCACGCGACCAGAACGCGCCCGAAACGAGATACATACCACAACTAATAACTCGGCAACCTATTTGCAGGAGGGCTATGCATGCTAACTCGGTGCAAATAGGACACGGCGACATGAACAGCGGTGGCAGCGTGTGACAGGGGCACGCTTTGATAAGGGTGCGTCGATGGCCAATGTTAAAGCCGCGCATTTCGAACCAAGCAGCCCACATCCAGATCATAAACCAGCTGGGGGCCGAAAACTGAAGCTGGCCGCGCGCGATTGGCCGCTGGGTAAACTTTGGCGCTTGGGGATTGGCTGAAAACGCGCCCGCCTTGACGCACCCTGAAACGACAGGACAGAGATAGGGCGGGCGGAAATTCCACCTTGGGTCTTGCCGCTGGCTCGCGCGCGAGCCGATGATCGCTGTCATCACTCGTCGTTTCTTGCCGCAGGACCCAAGTGAAGTGAGGAGGATTCACCCGGAACTGGGTTGGTTAGCACCACTTAAAGGGTTAGCACCACTTAAACTGCGTCCTAGAGTCCGGCGATGCAGAAAGCGGATCCACCTCGAGTCGCTCCGCTGTCCAAGGCCGCCGTCCACCACCACGATGCCGCCAGCAAGGACAGGGACGCCAAGGCGCTCTGCGGCCAGCACAACAAGATGTTCGCCTTCTTCTTCCTCATCGTCATGAGCTGCGCGCTGGGGCTCATCTGCGTGGCGTCGCTCATCCAGCAGCGCGACCTGCAGCTGCAGCGGCTGGCCGTCCACAGCCTCCACAGCGACCACGACGGGGGCAGCACGGGCCTGCGCGGCCAAATGACAGAGCTCATGCAACAGCCCGCGGACGAGGAGGAAGTTGCAACAACGGCAACAACGGCAACAGTTGCAGCAGACACGGATTGGAGCAACTACGAGTGTGTTGGGTGGAAAGCTCAACGCGACTGCTCCCCGGACGGCGGAGCGGACCCGCACAACGACAGAGCGTGCAACGTCACGGTGCACAACGGGGAGAGCGGATTCTGCCAAGTTAGACACAAAACCACGGGCGAGTTGCAGCAGGTTATGAAAATGCACTGCGACTCGCTGCGTCCGGATGTTGCGTTCCGGTGCGACGAGTTTGCCACCTTCTTGCAGTTCGGACAGAAGGCAACGGAGTACGAGCACGACCCAAGCTTCTCGATGGAAAACTGCCGCCAAAAGTTGATCGACGACCAGGTACGTGCCATTTCCGCGGGGCAAGAGAAGGAGAAGGAGACCCCGCGAGAGAACGATGATTGGGTGGATAAAATCCGACGAGGAGTCGAGGTGAAGCGGACGATTACCCCGCCACAAGCGGATCTGGAGAAGTTAGTGCAACCACCGAGTTCGTACAAGCGGGGCATTGTCATCGTGGTGTATGAGAAGATGTTGCAGAGTGTGTACGCGTCGGTGAAGTCCATGAGGCTCATGGGGTGCACTCTGCCGGTCGAGTTGTGGTACAAACGCTCGGAGACGGACCCTTCTCATCCGCTGCTTCGAGAGCTCACGGAGAAGTATGGGGCGTACATGCGCGAGATCAACGACCCGAGAGCCACCAAGTTCTACACCAAGACGTACGCCGTGTTCTACAGTGCGTTCGACCAGGTTCTGCTGCTGGACGCAGACAACTTTGCAGTGCGAGACCCGACGTATCTCTTCGACACGCCGCAGTTCCAGGAACACGGGGCCATCTTCTGGCCCGACTTCTGGCGCCCCAAGAAGACCATCTTCAACATCCAGCCCACGAGTTTCGTCTGGGAGGTCTTCGCTCTGGAGCCCGTGGATATGTTCGAGCAGGAGTCGGGTCAGGTTCTGATCGACAGGAGCAAGCAGATGAAGGCGCTTAATGTACTGCTGTACTACGCCTTCAACCCGAGCATCTTCGAGCGGCTGCGGCTGGCGTGGGGCGACAAGGATCTGTTCCGGTTCGCGTGGCTCAAGACGGGCAGCTCCTTCCACATGATCGAGACGCCGCCCGGCTCCGCTGGACTCAAGCTGCCGGACCAGAACATTTTCTGCGGCGTGACCATGGTGCAGCACGACCCACAGCGCGGGATCGTGTTCCTGCACCGCAACCAGGAGAAGCTGTCGAGCGAGAACCAAGCGAAGGTCTGGGCACACATCCAGGACTTCCGCATGGACGAGGTCTCGCTCGACGACTACGACGTCCGCGGCGCCAACGGCGGACGCTACTTCCCGCAGTTCAAGCGCTGCTACGGCAAGGATATTTATTACGAGAACGCGTTCACGGTCAAGTCCATCAAAGAGCTGCCGTTCGCCGGACTCGAGCAGCGGCTGCTGAGCTTCGTGCAGGAGGCGGCGCGTATCGACGGCACACTCGAGGAACAGCGGAATGGCAACGAAGGGGAGACTGTCGTCGACGTAGCCGACCCGGCGGAGCAGTAAGACACACACGACCTGCTGCTGAGGGCAGGTCTTCATATACTACAAGCTTGTATAGTAAGCGAGGAAGCGAGTGCGCTTCACCGGCAGCCCGGAAGAGTGAGAGAGATGAAAAAATTAATCGTATGCGGCGAAATGCCAGGTGACAACATTTTATCTCGCGTGCTGTATCCTCCAAGTTGAAGTGAGTGTAGCCATATCTATTGTACGCGCGCGTCGGTGCATCCAGCAAGAGAGCGTCGAGACATCGATGCACTCCTTGTCAATACCGCCCTAAAGCGTCCGTTTCCAAACACCGTCACCAAGCGCGAAACGGACAGGGACTGGCATGGGATGCGGAGACTTTGGCTCTCAATGCGGATGGCTCCAACGGCTTGAGAGTCTACAGGTCACCGGATCCTTGTGAAACGACTGAAGCTTCAGCCAACTAGAGGACGCAGTCTAACAATCTCGGTTCGACACAGAAGTCCCTGCCAACATGCTCGGGCACGCTCGCGGTGAGGCCCGTGGCGTGCGACGGTCGCAGCCTCGGATTGTCGGATGGATGACGGTACTGCTCCTGCTCACCTTGTCAGCTTCCTGCGGCTGGTACAGCCAGCAGGTCATCACCTTTTCGTATGAGAGTGAACACGAGATCAACAGCGTGGTGCACGAGGTTATCGTCCGTCGCCAGCAACTTCTGGCCAAGCTCACGGCTCAAGCTGGCGGCTCTGGGTCGTCTGCACCGTCGAAAATGATGCTGGAGCCGCTCGATTCGTCGTCCGATGCGTCTCAAGATCAAGACAACGACTTCATCATCAACCCCATGCAAGAAATCCCCGAGGATACACCAGAGCCGACTGAAAAGAGGACCGAAGCACCTACCAAGCCACCGACACCTGCTCCGACACCTGTTTCAACGCCGAATCCAACACCCCTACCGAGTTCTGAGCTGCCTTCTCCGTCCATTCAGGCACCAACGAAGGCGCGGGCACCGAAGGAGACGCCAAAGCCAACGCCGGACCTGAATTTGGAGAAGCTCTGGGCTCCAGTCAAGACCCTCGCTGAACTGGACGAGTACGAGTGTGTGGCCTGGCGCCAGACGGCAAATTGCTCTCCTCGTGGCGATCTCAAGTCACAGAGAGATGCCGGATGCGACAAGGTGATCCTGCCATCGGACTCGGGCTTCTGTGAGTACCGTCACCGCAAGACCGGAGAGCTACGACGCATCATCGCCGCGAAGTGCAAGTCCCGTGCGAGTCAAATGGAATATTCTTGCGCGAATGCAACGATGTTGGTGCGCTACAATCTCATGGCCGATGACTACAAGCCGGAATACCCTCTCTCGTTCGCGAACAACCAGCGCGACTTCCTACAGGAGAATGGTCTCGCCAAAGACAATTCGAGCAAAGCTGTGGTGGTGAGTGGACAGAAGATGGAGCCGCCTTCGTCGTTCTCTCGGGGTATCGCCTACGTGGTGTACGAGCAGTTGTTCCTCAGTGTGTACGCCGCTATCCGGGCTCTGCGTTCAACGGGGTGCACGCTCCCTATCGAGCTCTGGTACCGAGAAGAGGAGACGAACACCTCGCACCCTCTTCTTCAGGAACTTACGACGAAATACGGCGCGTACCTGCGTATCATCAAGGACCCGAGAGCTGTGAAGTTCTACACCAAGCTGTACGCAGTCTTCTACAGCGCATTCGACAACCTACTGCTGCTGGATGCCGACAATTTTGCAGCGCGTGATCCATCACATTTATTCACCACGGAGGTCTACAACGAGACTGGTGCAGTCTTCTGGCCGGACTACTGGATGCCCAACCGCACCATCTTCAAGACCAAGAAGAACAGCGACCTGTGGGATCTCATGGGTGTCCCCTTCGTCGACATGTTCGAGCAGGAGAGCGGCCAGGTGCTGGTGAACCGAGCTAAGCATACGAAGGCATTGCACACGTTGCTGCACTATGGACTCACTGAGCCGCACTTACCTGCGGAATTCGACATGCTTTGGGGCGATAAGGATTTGTTCCGCTTCGCTTGGATGCGTACCAACTCCAGTTTCCACATGATCAAGCGACCCGCAGGTAGTGCCGGACTGAAGGCCCCACATCTCAACATTTTCTGCGGCAACACCATGGCACAGCACGATCCTAACGGGGAGATTGCATTCCTGCATCGGAATATTGTCAAGTTTTTACCGGAAGGGAACAACACGCAGAAGCTCTGGCAGTATGTGCAGCAGTACAACATGAACCAAGACTTGCGCTTCTACGAAGTCCGTGGCGACGTGGATCACCGATGGTTCCCGAGCATTCGAAAGTGTTACGGCAGACGCATCAATTATCTCCGGGCGTACTCACTCAAACCTATCACGGACTTCCCATTTGCAGGACTCGAGGATGAAGTCATCGGTCACGTTCAAGAAGGTGTCGAGATCGTCAAGAAGTCTGGGTATGTGAGTACGCCCGAGCCTCCTGCTACACCAGCTCCGAAAAGGACCAAGAGACGCAGGAAGGTCAGGAAAGACAAGAAGAACAAGAAGAATTAACTCGAATCGAATCCATTTTTTGCTTAGTTGGGTTAGTTTGCAGGCAGGTAGTGCAGTCTATCAGACAACAGCCTAAAGTGAAGCTGGAGCGGAGCAAATACGGTTAGTTTATTCTCTATCATGGAGACGGGTCTAGCTAGAGTTCCTCAGAGAGATCGGTCAGGTGCAGCGGCGCGCCGATGATCTCTTGGTACTTGTGGTAGGGGTGGCGCTCGATGTACTTTTGCACGATGTAGCCAAACGCCAGCGCGATCACGTTGAGCGAGAAGCTGGTCCAGGACTTGGTCAGCTCGTTGATCATGATGAACACGCCCAGCGTGAAAGGCAGCAGCATGGCTACAACCAACGAGCGGTCCGACAGGTTCACGCGGTATGGTCGTTCGATCTCGGGGTGCGAGAAGCGCATACGCACAGCAGCACTCATCTCCACGAGCGACGACAGCGCCGACAGGAAGTTGTCGACCCCCAGAATCGTGTCAAAGTCGAACATGCCCATGAACACGATGATGAAGAACGCCAGCAGGATTGCTCGTCGCGGGACACCAGTGTCCGGGTGACGTCTGCGTACAGAATAGATAAATATGAGCTGAAGAGTTTAGTCGGTACAATTCCCGCATCAATTCAGACACGTACTGGGCGAAGTAGGGTGGAGCCAAGCCTGAGTCAGCCATACCAGCAAGCTGGAAGCCGTCCTTTGCCATCTCCGCGACGTAAAGCCCCAGGTTGCCAAACACCGACGAGATCAGCACCCAGATGCAGAGCCACGTGCCGCCAATCTGCTGCGCGATCACCGAGTACGAGCCGTCGTCCCAAGTCGTGTAGTGCGGCATGTCCGCCCCCGAAATGGCAATGAACGGGATGATATACCTAGCAAAACCAACAATGATAACATGCAATTAATTTCTCTCCCTCTTCCCCACAAAAATAATAAACCCGCACGTACGTGAATGCAATCATCACCACCGTCAGCACCATCGCCCTCGGGTACGTCGTCTTGGGCGACTGGATCTCCCCCGCGTAGGCCCCCGCAGCATCAAAACCACTGTAGTTCCAGTACAACGCACTCATCAACCTTCCCCAATCGCGCTAAAACCACACAACAACAGCAAAAACTCATTAGCCTCCTCAGATTTTCCAGCAACAGTGACAAAAACGCACTTACGTCCTTGCGGATGACAAACCAATTGGCTGGTTGAATCAGCGGCGTGGCGTAAGTCACCAGCACTGCAAACGGCAGGAAGATCATGACCCCCATGACCAGCAGCGTCTGTCCCACAACCTTGATGCTGGTGAGCGTGGGTAGCATGAACAGCACGGCGAACGCCGCGCGCATGGCGAAGACGCTCCAGGCGACGCCGTCCGCGCCGTCCGCCGCGTCCTTGTCGCCCTGCAGCAGCGCCAGCAGCGTGTCCACGATGAGGCACGGGTAGATGGCGTTGTCGATGACGCCCGAGGTCCAGGACCAGTAGCCGACCTGGAAGCCCATGGGTCGGCCGAACGCCACGCCCACCCACTTGCAGAAGCTGCCGTCGGTCGGGAACGCCGTGAACAGCTCGGCGAACGTGAGCGCCAGCGGCAGGCACCACACCCACGGGAACAGCATCACGGCCAGGATGCCCACGAAGGGCCCGCAGGCTGCCAGCACGGGCTCGCTGCCCCACGGGCCGCCGCTGACGTTGAAGTAAGTGATGAGCGCCACGGACAGGATGCCCATCTGGCGGTGCGAGTGAGAGCCCGGCATCGCGAGGAGGAGCTAGAGCAGGAGGACGGCCTTGCTTGGTCTCAGCAGCTGCGCATCCTTTGGCGACTGACTGTGGTGACGGGAGCGACCTAGGGTAGCCATGTTGGAAATGACTGGGCGTGAGTATGGGAATCAGATGGGACCAATTTTGAACGCTTGAGTAAGGTGGGGCTAATTTTTGGTACGAATGGATGGCGTGGACCACAGGGTTCGGTTCAGTTTGTGTGCGGATTGTGTGCACGTTAGCGTTCTTGAAGCCATTGCACGACGTGCCAGTGCTCGGACTGCCTTGCCAGTGCAATTATCTCCTCGATGTCGTTCGCGGCCTCTGGAAATGCTTGCAGCGAGTATTGCAGCACGTCTAAATGGCCGTTGGAGGCCGCGCGGAATACAGCGAGGCGGCGACTGCCCTCGAGTCGATTCTCGACCAGAAATTTCACGACAGACAAATGTCCGCAGTCTGCAGCGTACGGCAGAGCCTTGCCTGAACATCCTTCTGAGCGGTGCCTGTGCAGCCATTGTACGACGTCGAGGTGGCCTCTCCACGCTGCGCAGTCCATTGCGTTCGTGGTGCAGCCTTCCTCGCGATGCTCATGCAACCACTGACCAACTGGCAAGTATCCGTTCGCAGCAGCACCGTCCATCGCCGTTTGTGCGCATCCTTCCTTCCGGTTAATATGCAGCCATTCCACAACGTCGAGGTGTCCGTTCGCAGCCGCCCCGTTCATTGCTCTCGTTGTACACTTGGCCTTCTGTCGATGCAGAAACTCGACGACCTCCAAGTATCCGCCTCTCGCTGCAGCGTCCAATATACGAGGCGAATACTCAAAGTAAAACAGCTCTTCCAGCCACTGTAGCATGGCCAGATCACCGCGCTCCGCTGCGTAAAGGGCACCTTGCTGCGAGCAGCTCAAGCTCCGAGGCGCGGCGTGATCCACCAGCCACTGTGCCATCTTCAAGTCCCCTGAAGCCGCCGCTTGATCCAAGACCCGCGTCGAAAGCCTCGCACCAGGTCTGTACCCAAATAACCATTGCAGCACCAGCAGATCGCGGTTCTTCACGGCCACAAGCACCGCCGCCTCAAACTCGCGCACCGCAACACTTCGCGACGCCAAAAACTCCAACAGGTGCACGGATCCTCGCCCCGCCGCTTTGCTGAAGCTCCGGCAGGCCCCCGAGTAGTTGATGAAGCAGGAAACGAGCAGCAACAGAGCCTCGCAGTCGCCCAGAGCCTCGTGCGCAGCCAGCGCCACAGACGTCAGCACGGGACTCATTCGCTTGAATCTTCAATAGCCTTATTATCAGATCTGACTATCCAATCACAATCCGCCCTTTCGCCTCTTTTTCCGTCCAATCGCGTCGCTTCAAGACTATCCTTCTCTTCATTCTTCAATATTCAAGTCCTCAAAGCCATGGCGTCGCCGACCGACGAGAACGTTCCCGTTCAGCTGAACCACGTGGCCCCAGCACCTGTCGACGGCGTCACGACCAAGCGCCAGTGTCTGCGAGAGTCTGCGGCCTCCTCCAATGCCATCGGCCGCGTCCTGGACGTCGAGATGCTGCTGCGCAGCCTGCTGACGCTGCTGGACTTGGCGTCGCTCGCCAGTTTTCTGGAGGTTCTGGCCGTCGACGAGTCCTGGCGCGGGATTTTAACCAACCAGGAGCTCTGGGGGCAGCTGCAGAAGACGCACTTCGGAGGGAAGTTGCCTGCAGTGGAGCAGTTTAGTGACGATCAAGAAGAAGAAGATGGTGAAGAGGAAGAAGACGAGATTGAAGAGGAAGAAGAAGAAGATCAGCCGATGGATCGAGACGATGAAGAAGAACCGGACCTTATTGAGCTATTGGAGGGAGATATGGAGGTGGAGGAGGACGCTGATTCCATGGTTGGAGACGATGTGGAGAATGAAGACGAAGAAGATGATGACGAAGCATTCGTGATGGTTCCTCCTCCAAGACCTAGAGCTGGCCGCAGTGCTCGCCAAGTGGCTGCAGTGGCCGCTGAGGCAGAAGCTGAAGCTGCTCGGGAGGTGAGTCAGGAGCTGAGTGTGAGCTGGGTCGAGGGCGTCCCCAGTCAGAAGGTGCTGAATCTGGCTGGCTCGCAGTTGAAAGACTTCCTGCGCTCGGTGGAGGAATTGCTGCAGTTTAACGCCCGTGTGCAGATTATTCGAGGAGATATCGGGCGCATTGAGGCGGTGGGGGAGCAACGAATTGATGGACTGGCCTTCCCCACGGGGTCACTTTTGGCCAACCCGCACACCGGGGCGGCGGCGGTGATTTACGGCCGTGCGGGACGCGGACTGAGCGCCCACGTGGGCGCGCTACATGCCTACTTGCGTCTTGGGGAAGCATACGTGACCCCGGGGTTTAACGCGGGAGTGGACAAGCTTATCCACTGCTCTGGGCCAGCGCAACTTACGCCGCACCCCATGAAAGAGCTGCAACGGACGTACAGGAACGTGCTGCGCTGTATCCGACGCGAGAATCTCAGCTGTGTGGCCATGACGTCCATCTCCACGGGCAACAATTCCCTGCCTGTGGATACTGCGTCGTGGTTTGCGCTGTGTGCTATCCAACGCTTCATGCGCTCCACGCCCAACTGGACGGCGACGATTGGCATCGTTTGCTACGAGGCGGATGCGTACGCGGCGTTCTCTAAAAACAAGTCCAAGCTCCTGGCCCAGTTCAACGCCGACTCCATCCGCGCGAATCCTCCGGTTCGGCTGTGGTAAGTCGGCGGCACGTGAGCCGTGTGATATGGCGAGGACCTGCTTGATTCATATTTTATTTAGGTCGAACCTCGTGGAAGTCGTGTTTGGTGGGGAGAGTGCTGGAAGAAGAAGAAGGTGTAAGCGGCGTAGCAAGATGCGTGTACGAAGGTGAGATGTTTCCCATGTGATATGCATGAAATATATGGAGATCCTATTTACTGCACTAGGATACTACCAGTTCGACAAAACCCAGATTGGTTCCCAGGTCCAAGTGATGTACTACGTAGTATGATATCGTCAGTGGAGGTTTGGTATTCCAGGCAAAGCTCTAAAATGTTGCAGGGCCCGATGTCCACTCCAAGCTGCACTGACGAACGAGCCCGTCCGTCCAGTCAAGTGAGCTCAAGTCGATTGGACCAAGTAAGCCGAGCGCTTCATTGTGCGTTTAGCTATCGCCTCCACAAGACTGCTTTGAACCACTCAACCACTGCATCATGGCTTCTCTGGTGAAAGGACTTGCCGGTGATCTCCTGGGCTCTGGAGACGTGTGCAAGATTGTCTCCGACTTCTCCAAGTGCCAGGCGTCGGCCCAACGAAACCATCGCGTTCTCAATGGTTTTCGCCAAGGAGGAGTTCACGTTCACCAACATGGCGTTGATCAAGCTCATCGGTGAAAACTCGACCACCACACGCAAACTCGTGGAGCGCCTCGATTACAAGGACAACACGATCAGACACGTCCAGTTCGAGAGCGCTGGTATCGCGGACCGAGACTGTGAGATCAAGCTGCACATCGGCACGACGGAGGTCTCGATCGACATCGCCAGGGGTGAAGTCACTGCAGCTCAAGGCATTTACAAGGTGCTGGAGCTCATCAGCCGCGCGCAACGATCGAAAGAGCGTCTGTGGGAGATCAGCACTCTGGGCATGAAACATGCCAGTGAGACCTTGCGTCTTGGCGAGAAGAGTGGCCAGGCGCTCACGAAGCAGTCCGACGAAGCTACGGGATGGCTGTATGAAGCGTACAAGCGCACCCACCCGCACTGCTACCGCGAGGTCATCCCGACCGCCTTCTCGGACCTTCACCTAGTCAACAAGTTCGCTAACTAAGCAGGCTGTTTGCAGGGGAGACAGAGATGGCTGCATCGACGGTAAGTGTACGGAGGACCCGAAAGCAGCTTCGAAGATTGCATATCCGTACGATTGAGTAGCGACACATGCAGCAGAGTAGCAAGTTGTGGCATCAATCGGTTAATTTGTTTTACGTGCAGCTCGTCTCGCACACCTAATTTGTCTTTGATCGCTTGCTCTGGTATCATGTAAGTAGCGCTACCATAGTGGATTTTGTTTCGACACACATGAGCGGTAAGCTCGAACAGCGTAGTAAACTTCAAAACGAGCTGGATTTTTTTTCTAAAAGTGTATCCATGTTGATCAGTAAAATCGATACCCAAAAGGCAAGTGCCGTCCGTTCGACCAAGACGCGATCCTTCATTCGGATATTCACCTCCTCTTCGACATCACCGCACTACTTTAAACGCATCATGGCTTCACTGGTAAAGGGCCTTGCGGGCGACATCACCGGATCTGCGGACGTCTGCAAGATCGTGGCGGACTTCTCCAAGTGCCAAGCATCAGAGTACCTTCTCCCAAATGAGACCGTCGCCTTCTCCCTCGTCTCCTGCAAGGAGGAGTTCACGTTCACCAACATGGCTCTCATCAAGCTCGAAGGCGAGAATGCCACCACCACTCGCAAACTTGTAGAGCGCTACGAGTACAAGGACGACAAGATCACCCACGTAAAGTTCGAGAGTGCGGGTCACGTCGACCGCGACTGTGAGATCAAGTTCCACATCGGCGGCAAGGGGATCTCCATCGACATTGCCAAGGCTGAACAGACGTCGGCTCAAGGGATCTACAAGGTGCTGGAGCTCATTGGTCGGGCTCAGGTGGCGAACGATCGACTCTGGGAGGTCAGCACTCTGGGCATCAAACACGCCAGTGAAGCTCTCCGTCTTACGGAGAACAGCGGCCAGACGCTCACCAAGCAGTCGGACGAAGCTACTGCGTGGCTCCTTGAAGCCTACAAGCGCTCGCACCCGCACTGCTACCGGGACGTCATTCAAGCTGCCTTCTCGGACCTCCGACTCGTGGACAAGATGGGGCAGTAGAAGGCTCTCTCCTTTGGTTTGCTTGGTCGTTGCGACCAAGTGATAAAATAATAATGTTACGGACATACCCAGCACGTTGTCCCTGCCTACTTGTTGCTGTGCGCCTTCATCGCCTCGTTGAACAGAATGTTCTCTATCATCTGGTGGCACGAGGCCACATTGGCTTCTGTGCCGCTGAGCACAAAGTCCGTGAGCTCGCCTGTGACTGCGCGTTCGTCCGAGAGCGAGCGAATGGGCAGAGCGGGTGAGATCAGGTAGCACGTTTGCAGCAGTGCAAACCGCGGAGACATGGCTCGAGGACGACGCACCACGAGGTACCCCTTCTCCTGGAACTCCGCGCCACGGACTGGGTTGCCGGCGAAACTCACTGGGTCGATGTAGGATCGCCATACGATCACGACACGGGACTCCTCGATATATCGGCGGACAATCTGCTTCACGCGGTAGTCGGCCTGCGTGCCCTTCGCGTGTAACTCCATGCCGAAGCTCTCGATGATCGTGTCCTCTGTCGTCTCCATGTTCTGCATTAACACAACCAGTCAGTCACTGGTGGTTAACCTGACAACGAAATCTAATGACGCTCTTACCTGAAGGTCCTTGTGATACAGGAATCGGAACGGCATGTGCTCCAGCGACCGCTTGAAGTATCGCCACGCCGCTGTACCCGTGGACGCCACATCAAATGGTAGCACCTTGCTCGCGAAGATCTTCATGTACACGCCGTCTGTTCCTTCGTGCATCTCGGCATCACTGAACGACGACTCCTTCGTGTCCAGACCGTTGTCGTGGAACACCGTGTCCACCTCTTTGTACGCCGCATCGATTCCGTCCATCAACTCGTTGAAGATACTCGCGTCGGAGCGATCGGGCTTGGACATGTGCATCCTCTTCAACCTCTGACCGTCCCCCAAACAGCTCTCAATCGCCTAAAAAGCACAACAACAGCAAAAACATCAATAGAGGCCCCCCTCTTCCCCTCCCCTCCACCCCCTCACTTACATTCGTCGTAGCGCGCGCCTGCAGCAGCTTCTCCAGGCTCTTGGCAATCTTGATCTGTCCCTCGAGCACGACCTTGAGCTGTCGGTTCTCCCTCTCCGACTTGAGTCTCTGCTCCAGCTGATGACTCGCCATCTCCTTCCACACCGCAGGAGCCTCCTCATCCTCCATCTCCTGTTGCTGGTTCTCTCTCTTAGGCTGCTTGATCTCCTGCTTCCCCGACGTGAGCGCCGGCACGCGCGTCTTCTGCAGCGCCTGCAGCTTCTGCTGCATGTCCGCCACCTTCTCCCTCAGGTACAGCAGCTCCCGGCGCTCCTGGTCGCGCACCCGGTTGCGCGTGCTGCTGCGCGACGTCTTGCAGGCCTTGGCCCCGCTCTTGTCCGCGCCCTTGTCCTCGCCCTTGCGCTTCTTGGGCGGCAGCTTGGGCGGCTTAGCGTCCACTCGAGCTAACGTTGCGCTGGCGTCCGTGGGGGACGAGCCCGGCAGCCCCTCAAGCGCCAGAGAGAGAGCGGCCTCGTCCGTGCCCGCCGTCATGAACTCGTCCACGAAGCACAGCGCGGCCGTGAAGGCGTCGTCCTCGTCCTCGAGGCGGAGGGCGGCCATGACTTGACGCCTTTGATTGATTGACAGTTATTTAATACAGATTGGAATGACAGGCGAGTCTTGAGCCATCCCCTAGTTTGCACTTGGTTTTTGTAAGAGTGAATTTGTGACACGTTTTTTTGTTGGATGACATTTTTACGGCGTGACGACGTATTTCGCCAGTTGAGCCCCACAGGAACCAATCGCGCCCCGTTCCTTTATTTATCAGAAAGAATTCTGATGAGCTACATCAAGCGAAGGGCGCTATGGATCTGAGAGATATTCTCACGAGCATATTGACAACCGTCGTGAGAGCGTGAGCTTTAGCTACCAGCGCTAAAGTTATGAGTATCACGCCAACTATGAAAGACCCGACCATTTCAGTTACGGAGGCCACAACGGACACCAAGTGACTCTGGACTACAACGACTGGGGCGACTCTGGAGGATCTGACGGTTACGATGAGAATTACGACCCCGAAGAGTTTATTTGTAACGTTGGTGATTGTCATCGCTCTGGAGAGATGCTGCTCTTCTGTGCATTCGTCGGAGAGAAGTACGCCCCGTTTTACATCGAAATCGACGGAAACAGCTCTTCGTCGGGAAGACACTCAGCGGTGAGTGGATGAATCTTGAAGAAGCGTACGACGTTGCGCTTGGTACGGATGGGCGCCCACGAGGTCTTCTGGCCATGGGCCCCTTAATACAGATCAAGGACGCTGTTATCTTCGGGAGCGGCTGCGAGTTTGGCGAATGTCAAATTCACGTGCTGGTGGGTTTGTCTCCGAGGGGCCTGAATAGGCTAAGAGAAGGCGACAACGAACTGCACCATTCCAATATGATCTGTATTCAGACCTTGCTGAAGAATTGTGATGTTTCTGGCGACTTGCTGCAACCTGGAAAACTGGTGAACTTGTTCGAGTGGGATGACAGCGATTGCGGAAAAGTGAAGGGCATCGAAGCGGTTGGGAACGTTATGGAGTTTACCGGCCCCAGCTTTTACGTGCGCAAAGAAATCCGGTGTGTGTTGGAGAATTTCAAGAATTTCTTGCAGCAGAAGGATACGAGCGTCAACTCGAAGAAGCAGTTCATTTTCGTGGGGAGCCCAGAAACAGGCAAGAGCTGCATCTTGGCCTTGATCTGTTGCTACTTGGCAACTGTGGAGAAGGTGTCGGTTGTATTGCACTGCTGTGTGAATACTAGAGGCGACACCCTTGCCACGACGCGTTTGCTTGACGAAGGCAAGTACTACGAGTGGATCGACGTGGATGGCGAGGTGTACAAGTCGCTCCGTTTGAATGGGAGGACGATTTTCCCCGGCTGCTGGTATTGTCTTGACGGTTTGGATCAGAAACAGCTCGGCGCTAGAAACTGGTCCAACCTTTATACGGTGCTAGCAACCTCTAGGCAGTTTGAGAAGAAGGGCCAAGGTGGGTCTAAACAGGTGAACTGCTTGGTGCCGTACTGGAGGCATGACGACTTGCAGCGTATGGCCGCAGAATTTCCGAGTCCGGACGAGCGAGATGTAGCGGCTCGGTATTTTGTGTCTGGCGGAAATGTTCGTGACTTCTGCCTGCCACCATCGGATGAAAATGATCTCGCTGACGCGTTGCACGAGTTGAACTCTATGAACTACGACTCACTGCTTAGTACAAGCGGATGCAATTCACAGGCGATTGACCGCATTCGTATGATGGGGGTAACGGATACAGCAAACACGCAACACTATATCCACTCGTGTTTCTGGAGACCGTGTGTGACTTCGGCGATGGTTATGCGGCACCTGATAGGAAACGTGGGACCCAGCTTTTTCCCAAAAGCTCGTCGTAACGGCGAAAGAGATGAACGATGGGCATCTTCAAGGTGTCGCGCTCCAGTATTTGTTCCACTCTTATGCGCGCTGCCCGCGCGATGCGAGTATATCCTACTTGAAGTATTGTGAATTCCGGCCAAATTTGCCGAATCGTGTCGGTTTTGGGCAACCGACCAATACAAACATCAAGTCATTTGCCGAATCGCCGGCCAACAAACATATTGTTCTGTGCCCACATGTCAAGCCCAATCCGTACTTAGTAGGGTGTCAAGGGGGCATAGCCGGGCGGCCATAGTCAACCCAAGTCGCCACGGTCGATTCAATCCGCCCCGCTCGGAAAATTAGAGTAGAACTCACAATATGACAATGTGAATCGGGCGCAGTGCACGAACTATGCGGACATCATGCGCGAGGACACGGGTGCGATAACATTCGACTCGAGCGAACGACTACAAGTCAAACGTGAAGGTACCACCAGCATAGATGAGCACGTAGCGGTGATGAAAAGATGGGCTGCGGACCCCACCGAGATGGACTACTGGATCCCTGAATCCAGCGTGTGCGAAGCAATTGATGCTGCAGCGAAGTGGAAACTATTGAGCGATTCAGTGGAAAGAGCCAAGGTCGGGTCTATCGTGGAGCGAATTTGCTTTCTTCAGGTGACGACCGACACGAAATGCAAGTGCGACGAAGAGGTCCTTTGGGAGTTTGCGAAACCCTTTCTAGACGCAAACAAGCAGGTGTGTTACATGGTGCTTCTGTGCGATAGTGGATTTGGCATGGGCACGGACAGCAAAGAAGATAAAAAGTGGAGATTCCGACTGGAGCCTGAAGAAATTAAAATGGATAAAATCAAGGAGCACACCCCTGTGTATGTTGCACATGCTTAAGACCATGAGCTTTGCGAGCACTACTTGCTGTATCGGCTAATGAATACTACTTTCTATCTTCAGTCTACGAGGCAGTCGGAGGATGATAGGATATTTGTACTTTGGCCCTCAACACCTCCTTAGGCCCCCTACCATGGCGGAGCCTTTAATAAAGGAATTGGAGCCAAGTTGAGAAGGTTGTGACATAGTCACACCTTATATATTTCTTCGCAAGAGAGAGCTACACTTTCTGCGAGCTTGCTAACCAAAGTTGTGCTTACATGGATGACGCAATATCTGCCATACCGCTGTCGCATTCTTGTCGACGGCAAGAGTGGACGAACATCTACAGCTCATCTACATGCTCTTCAAAAACCCGTCTCAGATAACCGACTTATATGTCGCGACATACGGCAGCACTTGCTCCTTGACTGTATCATCGTGATCTTCTCAGGATCCAGTCGGAACCTCCACTGCTTATCTTCTGCACTACCGCTGATGTTGTCTTCGCTAAAAAGAAGCATCATGTAGCACACGTGCTTCTTCGCATCTAGAAATGGCTTCACAAACTCCCACAACACCTTTTCATCAAATTTCTGTGTGGTTGCCTTTATTTTGGTTCTTATGCAGATCAGGTCTGGGATTTGAACATGCTGATTATGAGACCGAATCGGTAGACCTGAACCAAACACCCACAGAAGTGGAACATGACACGACAATTCTTCTCCATGCTCCGTTCAACGTTCTGCCCTGCCAAGTAATGGCAGGACTTCTTGTAGATGAAGGTGGTCTACGTTGAATGAGCAGACATTATGCAGTAGCAAGGCCCCGATGCCTTACAATCACGTCTTTAGTCATTTCTTAAAGCCTGCACCTCAATTTGCAGTATTTTGCTGCTTTATCGAGCTGGTAGTCGCAGCAAGATGCATAGACGGTAACCTTACATGATGGGCTCTCTTATATAGTGAGGCAACTGTATTCGATTCGATATGTAAACTATGCATTGGACGTAGCAATGACTTATACGCTACCGTGTAAGGCAGCACGGTCTAGTCGCTCCTGCGAGCGCCTTCGAGCAGTATGGCAGCCAACCCTCAGTGTTCACGCCGCTTGACATGCTTCGCGCTCCCATGCGATGCCAGCGCTCTGCAGGGTGAAGAATTCGCCTGCACGAACCTCGCGTTGCAGCTTATCCCCTCCGTAGCGAATATGACAACCGACGAGAAGTGCTTGGCGAAGCTTATACGCAGTCACGGGCTTGGGTGCCACGAATTATCCTTCTCCTTCTTGTAGCGGGTGCGCGGAGTGGCGCACGGGTGCCCCTAAAACGTGCTGGCCTTGATGTAGAGCTTGGGAGTGCGGCGAGACTTGACCTACAACTCATCAACGAGGCGAACTGCGTCTTCCCCACCACTCCGAATCCTCGTCGTAGAGCTTGGACAGCACAGTATGTCGAGCTGCACGAAGCGTGGGCGAACTTGAGTCTGTAGTTGTCGTGGAATACTCGAGGTCAATGCTGCGGCGATGGCGGGCGTGGGCGGGCCGGCCGACCGCCGTCATGGACTTGGTGTCCTCATGCTCCATTCATCTTGTCCGCGTCTATCGTCGCCGTAGACGGCGTCGTAGGCTACGACTCGTAACGCCTTGTCTCCGTCCGAAGAGCTCGTGAGCGGGGAAGCAGTAGCTGCCACCTCTGACCGTCGTACGGGAACACGGGCCTAGGGCGCAACACACGCCGAAGTCGTCGCCAGCGCAGCGAAATTCAGACGGGTGTCATTTGCCGTAGCAGGACCTGAGCGCCGCGGTGCCCACGGTGAGCTCCACAGACCTGCGATTCTCCTTCTGCAGGATGGACATCCACGGGCTCGGGCGACATCGAAAGCATCGAGACGGGCTCCGCCGCGGCGGCTCTCGATCACGAGGGGCGTGCCGCGCTTCACACGACGAGCGCACCCACGCCCACCTTCTTCTTGGAGCGGAGGAGTTGTCTCGTGCAAGCGGCGACTTGATCAGCGACGAGCTCGAGGGAGCCGCGGGCGCCTTACGCCGGCGTGCCGTGGCCTGCTGCTGTATCTTCCAGCTCCATGTCCAGCAGCTCGCTCTGCCAGCCTGGGTGGAGAGGAGGCTCGGTCCATAGCGGGTTGGACGATCAGGGCTGGAAGACCCCGCATCACCTAGCTGCTCGCAACTTGGTGATACCGGTACCCACCAGCGCCATTGCAGCCACTGCGGTGAGCTCGAGGGCGTTCGTAGTCTACGGTGAAGTGGCTTTTGTCGTCAAAACATGGCGAATGTGATCCAATCGCGAGATCATAGAAAAAGTACGCTATGATCAAAACCAAGACCTGTTCTGCATAAGACCCATTTAAAAATCTTCCTTCTGTGTAGAACCATCCGCCAACTGCACTAAGCAAAACCACTCGACGACACTGGGCTTCTCCTCTGGATCATAATTCGTTAGCTCACATTTCGCAACCGCATCAATAATTTCACACGAGCTCGTCGCGGGAACCCAGTAGTCCACCTCGGTAGGGTTTGTAGCCCATTTCTTCATCACGGCTACGTATTCCTCCATCGTTTCACCTCGGCACTTGATGAAGTGTTCATCTGACCCAACCAACTGGTCGAATGTTATCGTACGTGTCTCCTAACGCAAGATATCTGCATAGTGCCTGGACTGTGGGCGAGTTTCATTGTGGTACTTCGACTGCTGTTTGGGGGCTGTTTGAGGCGCTGAGGTGGGCTGAACAGCGTCCGACTGCGTGTTCGATAGTGCCAACTCATTGGGAGACGGGAGACCGTCCAGCGCGATGTTGAGGGCGGTAGAGTCGACACCCTCCTCCACGGTCTCGACGTATTCGTCCACGAAGTGCAGAGCGGCCTCGAAGGCCTCGCAGTCGTCCACCAGGTCGAGGTCGAGCGGCATATTATAGTGTAAGTTGGGAGGCGAATGTCGAAGTGGCGGGGCGATTTGCTGAGTACGAACTGCATCGCTTCTACCGCGCAGGTAAACAATTTCAGTTTGAATTAAAATTGTTGAATTGACATTGAAAAAAAACTGCGGATTAAAAAGAAATATTGCTGGTGTCGGCGCTTCGAAGGATTTTTACGCACTAACTTAGACTTGCATGGTAATGCTGTAAGACCCCAGATTTTTTATCCAACCTACCCGTTATAATTACTGTAATATTTGAAAATTAGATAATAGCCGTATAATATATTTAACTGTTATTATATTTTGATCAACTATTGTGGTAATAATTATTATTAGCGGATTTTACCGAATACAAGCCCTGTATTTATTAAAAGCCCGATGGTGAAAATGACTTTGCAGTCTAGAAGTAGAAGCCCTGAATATATATAAGCCCGGATTATTAAATAATTTAGTACAAACCCGGGCTACTAACTAGAAAAACGCTAACAAAAACTTACGAAGGAAATACCTCTTGTTCTAAGAATATGTGAAAATACTCGCGAAGTTCATAAAGATAGTCCCTTGAGAACAACAAAAACAGATTTTGCTCAACGCTAGTAAGTAAAACAATATTCCCCAATTGCAACGGTTTTATTTTCTTATCTCCATTCACTATGTAACCATCAGTACTGGATTGAGCAAAAATGGGACTAAACAAATTCAACGGACTCAGGTGGGTTGTTTACCTCGGCGACCTAGCAGCTATTTTACGCTTACCAACACATAAATTAGATTCCATGCACCTGTGATTTAGAGTCAAGAATCGCAAAGGTTGGATAGTTAGTATTTCTTTCAACCTTTGTTTTTACGGATATTGGGATTTACCTAGTCCTGACAATCAGACTAATACTAGCAATGCAAAACAATGTTCATTTTAGTGGTAGAGGAGAGTAACAATTACTTGCACCGTTCTACTAAACTAAAACCAGCAACAAAAGACACTCCGTTTAATCTATTGATGAATTTAACTGCCGCCTGTATTAAAACAAGCGTGCCAAATACCTTTGCACACCTATGATATCGTTTATCGGTTAGTCCATAAAATAGAAGCCCTTACCCAAATAGAAACCCCCTCGTTAAAGCCGATCATTTTTCGAGGGCTCTAATAAATAGTAGTCCGGGTATTATTCGGTAAAATCCGTTATAACTGTCCGCAAATATATTATGTGCTTCAATATAACCCCTCCGGGTCGCCGCAAAAAAAATGTATGGCCCTGCCGCCCCGATAGCACGTACACGTTCGCATATTGGTGGCCGACTGCGCGAAGATGACCTAGTTACGACATTTTTCGCGAAAATATTTGAAGTCGAACTCAGATGCCGCCGCGCGCGGCAACAATAAAAAGGGGTTTATACGAAAATCCCCCTATCAGTTGTTCTTACTAGCCGCGGGTATCTTCTGCAGCCGAACCATCGGCCAGGTAATTCGCCACAAAAGTGTAAATGCAGGATATGAGCCAGCAATGCTTATACAAAATAATCTTGCTTGGGATCAGTTTGCAGCTTGTAGAAAATGTAAGCGCTTACCTTGCCCCTGTGTTATTGAGCAATAGTCCATCCGCCTCAATCGTTCTCTTCACTTGACATGAAATGGAATTAGCGGTTATGTCGGCTGACTACGCGCCCAAATTAGTTCTCTTTACTTCACTTCATCACAGCGTACCAAATTCGATATTTATGTTACTGGTTCTGGACTTCCGTTTCCTGGAAGTAGATTAGCCTTTAATGCCCGACTCCACTGGAGTCCCTGGAGTCACTCCAGGGTACCCAAAGCGCTCGACGGGGACATGCAAAAAGAAATGTTCGACGGTGACAACGCAGACCAGCGGCACCGGGTTCGTACCGGTTTCCTAGGAGATGAACCAGTTCGAAAGTCAAGATGGTGTACCACGGAGATAGCACTAATAACGTTGCTTCCTGTCTTCTTTTACAGTAATGTACGGGCGACACCCGAGGGGGTATCGATTTTAATACGACCACAACTCGGCAATCGCTGCAACTTCGATTCAATGAAGAAGCGCGCTGAGCTATCGGATGATATTGGTCTTGATTTCGTTATGCGTTTCTGTTCTAACTCAAATTAGCTTATCGGGAAGCTCAATTCTTTTTAGGTGTATGCGTAGAGGCACAGCCTTTTAGAAAGAGATTTTCCTGTGTGCCTCCATATTGAAGCTGAAGGTACACATGTCGGCTCTGATTGCTGCTTACATACGCTGATTGCGTCTGCGATGGGTCTCACTCTCGTTGTGTGCTTGTACCGTACGAGTCGTGCGAGTACGGTACAGCGAAATCAGAAACTGGTACCGCGGAAACACACACACTGTAAATCCTTATCGAGCGCCCGCCGGTGTATGCTTACCGCGACGACGTGGCGAGACTTCAATGTGAATCATACAGAATTAGCGTGCAAGTTGTGAAAAGTAGTCTCCTAGGCACTAAGATGCGTGAAGACCCAGCAGTATAATTGCGTGCATAGCCGCTGATAACATACGCTGGAGCAGAACTACAAAAGGGTCTGTGCACTTCACTCGACAGGATCGCTTGCATTTCTACTGTATTATACCTGTATTAATATAATAATACACGGTGAGCGCAACGCGTGCAAGGCTTTCAACAATACCCACCCCACGCACTCGTATTATTAAAATTCTGCATGCTCTCATTGCAGTATTGAAGAAATAGAGAAGTAGGACACATGAGAGGTGTCGTTATAGCGAACATTTTGCCGTGCAGGACTTCCTAAACATGCCAGCAGCAAGTACACATCGCACGCTATTGGCCAACATCTGCTCGGGTTTGCACGAGCAACCGTTCTTCAAAGAGCTGGAACACGTTCGAGATAACGGTTGACAAGAACCAGAAAATACCGCAAGCGCTTACCCAACATGCCAAACGAGGTTCCTCAAACTACCTGTACGTGCGGCGCAGCTCTATCAAGAGGGGTATGTACATGTACGGTAAGGGGTCATTCCGATATGTACGCCATCAACGTCAAATTGAGAATCTGAACGGTGAAATACATGTATGCAAAGTACATGTAAGTTGTACCGCACCAGTAAAGGAAGCCTGCTGGGATTGGACTCCCACCCCAAAAAGCTAACGACCCTGGTGTTATCGCTCAGTAGAGTTTTTGCTCCCAAGACCCAAGGCGAAGATAAAAAAGCAGCCACCATGCGTCTAGCCTTCCTCGTCGTTTTCGTCGCAGTCATTCTGTTTGCAAGCACCGAAGCTGGTCCTGTCAACGCTGCGGCCGTTGCCAAGCTTACGAAGAGCTCCTCGCAGAAGTACAACACCGTGTGGAACAATGTGCTCGCGAAGGTTTTCAGGTCTCTGACCCACAAGAAGTACAGAACGTCCCAGGCAGACATGGGCGCCCACACCGCTCGCTTCCGTCCGTTACGCCTAACCTTAAAGGCTGGGTGATACTCTCTGCACTTACTGCATGCCTTTGTGGACTCTTGATGAGCTCAAGAAGGCGGTGGCCCTGCTTAGGATTGATATCAGCGACAATGTCATCGGTGAGCGGTTCAAATGTTTTGGCTGAGATCTCTGGTATTCGGTCGGCAGGAGATGGAACTCTGGAAACGGACGGCTGCCTTGAACTGCACCTTGTTGCGCGCGTCTTGATTGCTCCGCCATCACGTTCGGAAGATCGGCACGGTGACGAGCGCACCGCGCCAAACGTACTGCACGTGGCAAATGTACTGTCCGACGTGCAATCCGTTGATCGCTGGAAAGCGTGGTCCTGGGCAGCAGATCGCGCTGAGCAAAGCGGTGACTGCGAGTCTCGCGTGGCGGACGTTGGTCATAGCCGCTGGGCCCGACAGAGGCCCAACACGACCCGCTGGAATGCCATCCGCGAAGTGGTTGATGATGCTGGTGGCTTCGAACTGGAGGGCAATGCCGAGCTCACGATGTGGGCACCTGCCGGTGCCTCGTATCGCCGCTGGCGGCGAAGAGTGGGCGATCACCAACGGGTTCGGCAAGCGAGGAAGCCCAGACCTCGTACACGTTCCACGCCTCCGTGTGCACACCGTCAACGCGCAGGATCCGCACGTCCTCTCCGTCGAGTTCCTCCTTTACGGCGCCTCCAGTCACCATTGCCGCGATCACGTTCGCGTGGACGCGGCTCCGAGGCACAACTGGCACCGGGTGCTCGCGCGCAGTCACGCACCGGTCATCAGCTCGAGCTGGCGCCATCTGCGTCGACTTGCTCCACTTGCCCATGCTCATCGTCGCTGACTTGCTCATCGTCGCTGACTTGCTTGCTCTCTTCTCTCTTGCTCGTCGACCTTTCCTCGGCTTGGATTGTTCGCGAATGAGAGAGATCCGTCGGCTTCACTCTCCGGGGCCAATTCGGTCAGTTCGGGCCAATCAAGCACCCATGGGTTTCGCCACTACATAGTAGTACTGCAGCCACTTTCGGTCCGACGGCGGGAAGAGGTCAAGCCTTGACCGGCGGCAAGGTGAAGGACGGCTTCAAGGAGACATCCCTCAAGCCGTCGCACACCGCGCACCGCAGTGGAAGGTGCGCTAGATGATCTCAACCCCCCCCCCCCCCCACCGCCTGACGCAGGACGCCTGCCAGGACGCCAACATCCCGATCGCAAGCTTTCACCGCACCACCAAGTGGGCTTTCAGCTCATCATACGCTGCGAGATGCGTCGCTCACATACCGGTACGCGCGGCGTGTGCTGGAAGTGGGCGCCATGACCCGCAGCCTCAAGCTCGCAGGTAAGATCCAAGGTGCTCGTGCAAACATCGTCGACGGTAAAGCTGAGGACGAGGGAAACACGAGGGAAGCAAAACAAGTCTTGAAAACTCGACTCATGCTGAATAATCGACTACTGTACTTCAAAACTAGACGCTTACTGCTGCGAGGCTCGAAGTTAACTCGCGAGTTCTGAGTTGCTGATGTCGCCGGTTTCTTGACGTGTTGTTGCGCGAGATGGATGTATTCGGGTGTCTTGCTCTGATGGCTTGCGCTGCACTTGGTTACCGGTACGCTTCAACAGCTCCGTCATTCCATTCGGAAGATTGGCACGACCACAGTTGCAGTCGTCCACATGAAATGCACGTGACAAATGTATTGTCCGGTGTGCAATCCGTTGATCACTGGGAAATCCGTCCAGGGGAGCGGATCGCACCAAGCAGCACTGTGACTGCCACTTGTGCATGGTGGGCGCTCACCGGGGCTGGCGGGGCAGCGAGAGGTGCAGCAGCTGCGAGCAGCGCTGGAATGCCATCTTCAAAGTCCTCGATGTGGAGGGGTGCAAAGTGGTACACGATGCTGTTGGCTTCGTCCTGGATGGCAGTGCCGAGCACCAGCGGAGGGCACACGGGCGTGCGTTGCATCGCGGGTGGCGGCAAGAAGTGCGCCTGGACCATGGGGTCGATCTTGCCAAGCGAAGAGGCCCAGCCTTCGTACATGCTCCACGCCTCCGACTGCACACTGTCAACCTGCAGCACGCGCAAGTCCTGTCCGTCGACTCTCTTCTCCTTGGCCTCCTTGGCACCGGCGGCCACCATTGCCGCGATCACTTCCGTGGGGATGTTGCCTGAAGACACAGCTTGCTCGGGATGCTCGCACGCAGCTAGGTCCGCCACGCACCGGTCATCCGCTCGTGCCACCGTCGTCTTCGCCGTCTTGCTCACCTTGACTTTGCCTTGCGCTCGTCCTTTCCGTACTGCCCACCGTGGCACCACTCCACCTTTGATCCACCTTGCTTTAGCAGACACGTGCAGAACGAACCGAACGCCGGCGTTGTGGGCGGCCGGCTTCATTCCTTCACGCAGTGCAGCTGCAAATCGATGGCCAACTTTAAAGTCTGCGTCGCTCAACAATGCCCCCTTCAGCTCGACGCCTCCCGATCCAGTAGCCAGGGCGCCTTAACCCGATCGTCTAAAAACCGAGGCTGAGGCCTCCAGTGTACGCCCGACCTTGAGGCCAACGTCGCCGAGGCGGAAGATGCCGATCGTCAACTGGGAACGATCTACATGTGGGGGAACTCGCGCTTCTCGATGTCTCTGGCCTGATTACAGAATCGACAATTCACGGCGCGACGCAGCTCGGAGGCATTGACACGGAACTGACGCCACAATCGATCCAGTGATGGGCTCGTCAGCATTGATGAAGCTGGTACCTCCCAGTCGCTTCTTCATGAATCCACGCGAGCTGTGCCATCGTTCGAGTATGCGGCGGCATCCTGCGCTTCTTCTCTCCGCGCCCAGACCCCAGTCATGCAGGAGTCGAGGAAGAGGTCTCCGTCGACGGGGTCCCGCGGCCGCGACGCTGGTGGCGGACGCGCCGTAGGGGTCTTCAAAGGTGAGGAAAACCTCAACCAGTTGTACGTGAAGACTGCCGAGCTGCTGCGACTCGCCAAGACGTCATCGGAGGAGAGCGCCAAGCTCAGCAACACCAAACGTCTTCCCGAGGAGGCGGAGGCGGAGGCGCTGACGATTGACTTTCGAAGTACTGGACGACAGCGACGACTACGGTGGACCAGAGCCCCAGACCGATGCCAAACTTCCGCCGACCAAACAGCCAAATCTTCACGCGTTCACGATCAGGTAGAGCCTCCTGCACTCGTGGATCCGTCGCTGAGGATCCCCCATTCAACGAGGTAACGATACCGTCCACCCGTGTATGCGGCCGCCCAAGCACGGGTGTCGAGTGGCCGAAGAACGCCTTCCAACGAGACAGAAAGGAATCACCAGCGTCGTCACGACCGAAGCGTATTGGGGGTAGTGTCGTCGAAGATGGCGGGTTACTGCTTCAGCAGAAAAGATTGCGGGCGAGCAAGGAGTCGATCAGTGGCATGATGAGGCGCGCGTGGAGAGAGGCTGAGGGGGCCACCCAGGACGGATCTCACACGAGCACCTACACCGCAAAGTCGCTCAGCGCTGCTGAGTTATGCCTTCCTCCGGTGCTGTGTGTGTCGGGAGGCACTAGGCAGCTTCCGTGCAGCTGCGAGCCAGCACACCACAGCTGCAAAGTGGTACACTAATGGTACAGTAGGGAACTATGACAAAAACTACGACGACAAGGACTACTATGGCAAGGACTACTACGGCCGTGGCAAGGACTACTACGGCCGTGGCGACGACTACTACGGCAAGGACGTCTACAGCTACAGCTACGGCAAGGACGACTACGACTACGGCTACGGCTACTACCCCGACTACTCGTTCGGAGGCGGCTATGGATACGGATACTACCCGGACTACTACTCGTCCTACGGCGGCGACTACAGCTTCGGCTACGGCTACGGATTCCCCGGCAACTACGGCTACGCTGGCTATGGCTACGGCTATGGGTACCCTGGTTTTGGCTTCGGCTTTGAGTCCGCACCGACGGGTGGCGACGCTGGGCAGCAGGAGACTGGAGGTGCGAGTCCTGTCACCACCACGGAAGACGTTGCCTCCAAGTCGGCGGAGAAGGACAGCAAGACGCCGTCCAAGGGATCCGCCAAGTCCGGCGCTGCGGACAAGTCCAAGGGCAAGGGCAAGTAAAGTAAAGTAACGTAACGTAAACCAGCGTAAGAGGCGCGTGCGTCCGTGCGAAGGCAAGAAGTCGAAGTACCGTAGACGATGGGCGAGGATGTAGCCCACGGCAAGTGTACTGTCGTGTACACCATGTAGCGTTGATAAAAACTGGCAGTGGTAGTACTAGTAGTAAGTAGTAGTAATACGCCGCCAATGGATGTCATCTTTCTTTTTGCGAACGTTTATTTATGTGTGAGGTTAGTGGTGTTAGAGCACTCTTCTAACCGCATGTTACTTAGTCGGTGAAACAAGCGCTGGACACAGTATATAGCCCACCTTTGATTCGCATTGGGCAGATTGAAGACGACTAAAATAACATTTAGAGCAGTTCAGATGAGTAGTTGGAGCTGTTAGACGTTTAGAACAGTACAGATAAGTACTAGTAGTATAGTATCTCTGAAACGAAACCAGGCAGGTAGATAAGCTGTGGCACGTTGATGCGTTGGTTGCATTGTATTTTTTGGTAGCACTGACGTGAAACTACGCAGTGATACTACACATCCTCTTGTATCGAACCATCTTCTTGATAGGTTTTCATTTCTAGTTGATGGTGGTTTCAGATCCTGAAACCGTGATTGGATTGATGGTGCGCTCGCTCGCTGCCTCTCAACCTTGTGAGAGACTACTGAGTGGTAATGGCTTCGTCCATCATCCAGCCTCCGCGCTGCCCCAACTCTCTCACTTTCCAATTCGCCACCCCACAACACTCCACCACTAAACCGACCGAGCCCACACCCGAGCTGGCCTCCGCCTTCAACATGCACTCCAAGCTCCTCGCCGTGCTCAGCCTGTGCGTCGCCGCCTCCGTGCTGCAGGCGACCGACGCTGGTGCCGCCGCTCCTGCAGGCCTCTCGCCGCACCGCCACCTCGGCGCCAAGCAGGAAGACTACGGACACCACCCGCGCCACCACGACCACGACCACGACCACGATCACCGCAAGAAGCACCGCCACCACGATCACGACAAGTACTACCGTCGCCGTCTCGAAGACGCCAAGAAGGCCACCGAGTCCTCGGACTACGACTACGGCAAGGACAACTACGGCAAGGACCGCAAGGACGACTACAGCTACGGCAAGGACGACTACGGCAAGGATGACTACAGCTACGGCAAGGACGACTACGGCAAGGACCGCAAGGACGACTACAGCTACGGCAAGGACGACTACGGCAAGGATGACTACGGCCACCACCACAAGGACGTCTACGAGTACAAGGGCTACGACGACTACGGCTACGGTCACGGCAAGGATTACTACGGGAAGGTCTACTATGGCAAGGATTACTACGGCAAGGCCTACTATGGCCAGAGCTACTACGGGAAGAACGACTACGGCAAGGACTACTATGGAAAAGACTACTACGGCAAGAACTACTACTATGACAAAAACTACGACGACAAGGACTACTATGGCAAGGACTACTACGGCCGTGGCAAGGACTACTACGGCCGTGGCGACGACTACTACGGCAAGGACGTCTACAGCTACGGCAAGGACGACTACGACTACGGCTACGGCTACTACCCCGACTACTCGTTCGGAGGCGGCTATGGATACGGATACTACCCGGACTACTACTCGTCCTACGGCGGCGACTACAGCTTCGGCTACGGCTACGGATTCCCCGGCAACTACGGCTACGCTGGCTATGGCTACGGCTATGGGTACCCTGGTTTTGGCTTCGGCTTTGAGTCCGCACCGACGGGTGGCGACGCTGGGCAGCAGGAGACTGGAGGTGCGAGTCCTGTCACCACCACGGAAGACGTTGCCTCCAAGTCGGCGGAGAAGGACAGCAAGACGCCGTCCAAGGGATCCGCCAAGTCCGGCGCTGCGGACAAGTCCAAGGGCAAGGGCAAGTAAAGTAAAGTAACGTAACGTAAACCAGCGTAAGAGGCGCGTGCGTCCGTGCGAAGGCAAGAAGTCGAAGTACCGTAGACGATGGGCGAGGATGTAGCCCACGGCAAGTGTACTGTCGTGTACACCATGTAGCGTTGATAAAAACTGGCAGTGGTAGTACTAGTAGTAAGTAGTAGTAATACGCCGCCAATGGATGTCATCTTTCTTTTTGCGAACGTTTATTTATGTGTGAGGTTAGTGGTGTTAGAGCACTCTTCTAACCGCATGTTACTTAGTCGGTGAAACAAGCGCTGGACACAGTATATAGCCCACCTTTGATTCGCATTGGGCAGATTGAAGACGACTAAAATAACATTTAGAGCAGTTCAGATGAGTAGTTGGAGCTGTTAGACGTTTAGAACAGTACAGATAAGTACTAGTAGTATAGTATCTCTGAAACGAAACCAGGCAGGTAGATAAGCTGTGGCACGTTGATGCGTTGGTTGCATTGTATTTTTTGGTAGCACTGACGTGAAACTACGCAGTGATACTACACATCCTCTTGTATCGAACCATCTTCTTGATAGGTTTTCATTTCTAGTTGATGGTGGTTTCAGATCCTGAAACCGTGATTGGATTGATGGTGCGCTCGCTCGCTGCCTCTCAACCTTGTGAGAGACTACTGAGTGGTAATGGCTTCGACCATCATCCAGCCTCCGAGCGGCCCCAACTCTCTCACTTTCCAATTCGCCACCCCACAACACTCCACCACTAAACCGACCGAGCCCACACCCGAGCTGGCCTCCGCCATCAACATGCACTCCAAGCTCCTCGCCGTGCTCAGCCTGTGCGTCGCCGCCTCCGTGCTGCAGGCGACCGACGCTGGTGCCGCCGCTCCTGCAGGCCTCTCGCCGCACCGCCACCTCGGCGCCAAGCAGGAAGACTACGGACACCACCCGCGCCACCACGACCACGACCACGACCACGATCACCGCAAGAAGCACCGCCACCACGATCACGACAAGTACTACCGTCGCCGTCTCGAAGACGCCAAGAAGGCCACCGAGTCCTCGGACTACGACTACGGCAAGGACAACTACGGCAAGGATGACTACGGCCACCACCACAAGGACGTCTACGAGTACAAGGGCTACGACGACTACGGCTACGGTCACGGCAAGGATTACTACGGGAAGGTCTACTATGGCAAGGATTACTACGGCAAGGCCTACTATGGCCAGAGCTACTACGGGAAGAACGACTACGGCAAGGACTACTATGGAAAAGACTACTACGGCAAGAACTACTACTATGACAAAAACTACGACGACAAGGACTACTACGGCCGTGGCGACGACTACTACGGCAAGGACGTCTACAGCTACGGCAAGGACGACTACGACTACGGCTACGGCTACTACCCCGACTACTCGTTCGGAGGCGGCTATGGATACGGATACTACCCGGACTACTACTCGTCCTACGGCGGCGACTACAGCTTCGGCTACGGCTACGGATTCCCCGGCAACTACGGCTACGCTGGCTATGGCTACGGCTATGGGTACCCTGGTTTTGGCTTCGGCTTTGAGTCCGCACCGACGGGTGGCGACGCTGGGCAGCAGGAGACTGGAGGTGCGAGTCCTGTCACCACCACGGAAGACGTTGCCTCCAAGTCGGCGGAGAAGGACAGCAAGACGCCGTCCAAGGGATCCGCCAAGTCCGGCGCTGCGGACAAGTCCAAGGGCAAGGGCAAGTAAAGTAAAGTAACGTAACGTAAACCAGCGTAAGAGGCGCGTGCGTCCGTGCGAAGGCAAGAAGTCGAAGTACCGTAGACGATGGGCGAGGATGTAGCCCACGGCAAGTGTACTGTCGTGTACACCATGTAGCGTTGATAAAAACTGGCAGTGGTAGTACTAGTAGTAAGTAGTAGTAATACGCCGCCAATGGATGTCATCTTTCTTTTTGCGAACGTTTATTTATGTGTGAGGTTAGTGGTGTTAGAGCACTCTTCTAACCGCATGTTACTTGGCAGCGGTTTGTTGAGTTGAATCAGCCACTCATACGAGGTGTCTAGCGAGTCGGCATAGTCCTGATCTCCCTCCGCAGTCCACTGCAAGAGAAGTTCGCCATGTTGTACGCCATTGAAATGATGCTTGTCGTGGTAGAGGATGAGAAATGTTGGCACCGTGTGTAGCATCCCACACTCCTCAAGGTATGCTTTCGCAGCTCTATCGTTAAGCACCTTGCTATATCCGGATTCGTGATCAGATCCGCTTGATGTACGATACGTTTTGTACATGTATATATGTACGTGTGCATCCCCATGTTCGTCCACATCCAGCACAAGCAGTGGTTCACGCATATACTGAGCCATTGCACGGAGCTCGTGAGTTCCCGCCCAAAAGCTTGATGGTACTGTTGCCGAAACACAGCGATCTCTCTCCTGGATATAGTGGTTGAACAGACTAGCGGTGGCACTGGCAATACCGTCGCCGTGCTGGCGATTAGGATACAGCCGTCGGATCTCAGACACTGGGTCGACGAGACCTAGCTCCACATCTTTGTGAAGATTCGCCAACATGATAGTGTAGACAAATCGTTTCAATTTGTTGGCGCCTCTCGTTACCTTCGACGTTTTGGGCAACAATTGTCCATCATAATTTGTTGTCGTAGCGTGCAGCGCAAGGATGGCGCACTGTCCGTTGGCAGCCACATCCACGGGGTTTCCCTGAAAATCCTTGAGCCAAAGCGGCAAAGGAATTGGTAGATCACTATCTCCAACCTCAGTACCCGCATGCGGGGCTCCCATGGTGAACTCCTCGTCAGAGGCTGGGCTCGGCGGAAGGATCTCCGTCGAGGCCGCGGTGACAATCTCGGCCTCACTGTCAATGATAGCTTGGCTGGTGTGCACATAGTCTGCCATTGACCGCTGCACAAGTTCCGTCGACGCGATTGCAACAGCATCTGGATTAGCAGCAGCCGCAACCGTGGGTACGTCTCTGCGAGCTTTTTTCTTTACCACAACCCGTTCTTGATCATCATCGCGCTGACGTTCTTCATGGGCAGTAGCGACCCCAGCATCCTCCGGTGAATCGCCAGGAAAGTTAGTATCTACCTCCATATCGGTAGCGTGGCGTTCCCCCGTCGAATCCGCATACGCGTATGGGGCCTCGTCGTCGTCATGATGGTGCACTTCAGAATCCGATATATCCATGTCGTCGTCTACACTGTCGTCCTCATCACTATCATCATCGGCTAATGGACCATATTGACCGAGCGCCTCCGCACGTTGAAAAGCCGCAAATCCGGTAGCTTGCTTCGTGCGTGATTTGGCCTTCGCACTTGGCTTTTGTTTTGTGCTGGATTTGGAGGTCTTAGCTCCGACCGCTGCCGAGGTCTTAGCGTTCTTAGCCGCAGACTGCGTCGAGTGAGACGTCTGCTCCGTCTTCTTTACTGCGCGTTGATCCTTCTTCGACCTCTTTACAGCGAAGCCATCGTCGCGAGCAGTGAGCGATGAAGCTGCATCCAGTCGCACGTCAGCTGGTGTAGTCAACGCTGGACTGGAGGCACTGGGCGCGATAGAACTAGTGTCGTTCGCCGTTGTCACTACCTCCGTACGTTCCAATAAGGCCGAGCCATTTTGCGCCAACTCGTCTTGCTGTGCCGTGAAAAGAGCGAGAAGCTCCGTAACTGAGTTCACCCGGTACGCCGAGTCTCCTGCCGGTGTAACCTTAGTCACCTCACCCTTGTATACTCGCGAAAACCGAGCTTGCGTCTTGGCGAGTAGACGACCAGGGACCTTGCACATTTTAGCACTGTGTCTTGCATTGAAGCATCGCGTGCACGGAAATCGTAAATTGGCTTGGAAGTGATGGAGAGTTATCATCGTTCCGTTTAAGTCAACCCGTGTGACCCCCATCAGAGCGTCAGGACACTTGGCTTGAGCAAACTTGACTTTGTGGAATCTGTTGTCATAGATATCCGTTTTCTGCGACCGTGGATATTCAACATCGAGGACTTTAGCTCCTGCAAACTGCGACATCGCTCGTGCCAGTGCGGCAAGACCCAGCGCTCCAGCTCCATGGACATATAGTGCATACTGCAACTCCAGCTGTGCCGGCGAAACCTACCCGTTCCTTCATCTTGGGGTCGGCGCACCGTGTCATGGAGTGAAATCACGGCACGCTGGAAGCGTAAGGCTTTCTTCACCCAGCTTTGAGCTGCACGCTTGGAGTAGAAACCAAAGCTGAGCGTGTGGCTGCCGTCGTAAATTAATCGCTTCACGTCGTTGAGGAGGCCGCGTAACACCGGAAGCCCAATGCCAGTCGCGGGGTCTACGTTAGCCTTGTGTAGCTCTTCTAAGATGGCTACATGCGGCGCGTTCCTGGGTAGGTTAACGTAGGGTGGGAGGTTGGCCGTCAGCGTATAATTCATGTGTGCCTCATGAAAGTCTTCCAGCAGAGCACGATGTTCGCTGACCAGAATCTCCTTGATGAAGTTTGGAGGATGAGGAAATTCCAACATACCGCTTGTATAAGCAAGTAAAGTCCCTTCTTCTGCCTCTGACCACGCTCGAATACTTTCGTCGGAGCCCGTTTATACTCCGTCCGTCTTTTCCCTACCGGGTGATTTGGAGAGTTGTCGTAGTCGTCCTTGCCGTAGCTTTAGTCGTCCTTGCGGTCCTTGCCGTAGTTGTCCTTGCCGTAGTCGTAGTCCGAGGACTCGGTGGCCTTCTTGGCGTCTTCGAGACGGCGACGGTAGTACTTGTCGTGATCGTGGTGGCGCGGGTGGTGTCCGTAGTCTTCCTGCTTGGCGCCGAGGTGGCGGTGCGGCGAGAGGCCTGCAGGAGCGGCGGCACCAGCGTCGGTCGCCTGCAGCACGGAGGCGGCGACGCACAGGCTGAGCACGGCGAGGAGCTTGGAGTGCATGTTGATGGCGGAGGCCAGCTCGGGTGTGGGCTCGGTCGGTTTAGTGGTGGAGTGTTGTGGGGTGGCGAATTGGAAAGTGAGAGAGTTGGGGCCGCGCGGAGGCTGGATGATGGTCGAAGCCATTACCACTCAGTAGTCTCTCACAAGGTTGAGAGGCAGCGAGCGAGCGCACCATCAATCCAATCACGGTTTCAGGATCTGAAACCACCATCAACTAGAAATGAAAACCTATCGAGAAGATGGTTCGATACAAGAGGATGCGTAGTATCACTGCGTAGTTTCACGTCAGTGCTACCAAAAATACAATGCAACCAACGCATCAACGTGCCACAGCTTATCTACCTGCCTGGTTTCGTTTCAGAGATACTATACTACTTGTTCATGAGTCTTCGGGAGCGCCGCCAATAGATGCACATGGACGAGGAGCACGTGTGGACACACCCGCCGATGACTCGGAGGATCCGACGGCAACAGGAGAGCCGGCGGCAGCCGGGCTCTGGGTACACCAATGACTGGTCAGGGAGACCCATATATACTGAGATCAAGTCAAGCGGAAACCGGGAGTAATCCGTCTGATGAGAGGCACCAACGAGCACAAGGAGAACAAGAAGGAAAGCAGGAGGGGAAGACTAGAGAGTAGTTTGAGAGACGATAACATTTAATCTCACTTCGGAATTTGCCCCCTCAACCACAAGCTACAAACCAACACTACTAGTACTTATCTGTACTGTTCTAAACGTCTAACAGCTCCAACTACTCATCTGAACTGCTCTAAATGTTATTTAGTCGTCTTCAACCTGCCCAATGCGAATCAAAGGTGTGTGTCCAGCGCTTGTTTCACCGACTAGGATATGGAGATGCACTTGAAGAGCTAGATGTGCTGTCAAGGAATGCGAATGTGAACGCGATGCTTCTTCGTAACATGAACATGCGAGATAGACTGGATATTGTGCTTGCCCGACTCGGGTTTCCCACGCTGTCGACAGCTGAGCTAGATGAGTGCGAGCTGGAAGCAACAATGACAACTGAAGAAATGATTATTCATGAAGCCTACGGAGTGGATGGTTACGCAAGCGGCTCTCAATCGTCTAGCGCAAAGGTAGAAGGTGCCACGCAGCTCCCGTCTCGGAGCCCGCGGATCGCCTCGGGCAAAGTAGTTGAAGATGTGTACATTCGCTTACTACGCGTGATCAGCACAGATGCTATTCGAGAGGAAGACCGCCCTCAGTGCGAGTTAATGCAGGCTGCGAATCAGGAGGCGTTTAGTAGATGGGTGTCGCTTTATCGAGAGTCGTTGGGAATCCCGATGATGAAGCGAACTGAGACAAAGGTGGATTTTCTCCGTTCTTGGCTCCTGAACAACTGCAACGTGCTCAGGCATTTGTTTGCTTTCTTGCCGTATCCTGAATTAGAGGTGAAAACATGGTCAATTCAAGATTTGCTCTCCTGGGGATCTGCCGAAGTTTACTTTGAGCAAACAACTGCAATTGCTCGTATTCTTCACGATGAGAACACTTCACCTGCAGTTCGGGTTTTCTGTTCTGACTGGCATCCCCGCTGTGTCTCGAGTGACAACGTGGCCAGCATGCACCGGCATGCGGAGGCACCGGAAGAATGGCGGCGTCTTAAGCAGTGGTTACCAGCAGAGCTGTGCAGAGACAACTACGTTGAATTACCTGATGACGAGTGGAAGCTTCTCCATGTGCTGCCATACGTTCTCACGATGTGGGGAGCTACACCGATGGGAAGGACTCCTCACTGTGCTCGTCTTGTTCGGCACCATGAGTACCCCTTCCTCGACACGCTATGCAAAAGTGTTATTTCAAGTGCTGACTACTCCACGCTCCATCGGGGCTAACCTGGGCAGAGTGCGATGCGGTTGGGCTGCAACGCATGGACTGCTCCCAAGCGCACTAGTGGGCCACCCGGCCCAGCACGGGTCTTCGGCGGATGTCTCGCCGCCGCAGACCCGACAGTCGTCTGCCGCACGATTAGTGCAGACGACATTACGAGACACGTTCCTGCCTCAGTCTCCCCAAGCCGCTAACAAAAGCCGTCGAAAGGAGTTCCAGCGGCTGAAACGCAAGCTAGCCAAAGCTCGCAAGAGAGAAGAGAAAGCTTTAGCCTCTGCAAGGTTGAACAATGACCGCGGTATGCTCGCGTCTGACAGAACGTTTGGCCTCATCACTCAAAACGTGAGAGGTTTTGGTGCGACGCCAGCCGCGCACAGTGCTTGGCTGAATTCTCTAGGGCGCACAACATCTCACGGGTACCAAGATATCGCAGTACTGCAAGAGACACATGTGCACACGTCAGAGATCGAGGAAGCGCGGCGTGAACACGCTGCGCGTTGGGGGTTTCGTGTCGGTGAAGGTTGTCCTGTTTACTCTTACTGGGGTGCAGCGGAAGATGGAAAAGGAGGTGTGGGCATACTGATCAACCCCTTCGGAGCCTACCAAAATGTTCGACCGTATTGGCAACATGCTTGGTCTCCTCACTTTGTCGCGATTGTGGGTCAATTAGACGGTTTGGATATTGTGGTTGCAAATGTTTATGCCCCTATAGATCAAGACCCGAGGGAACAGCTTTTCAGCAGTTTACTAGAGTTGGAGCGACCAGAGCATGGCAGAATCCTGCTCGGGGGAGATTTCAACTGCACACTCGATAGGGTACTTGATCGTACGTACACTTCTCGCTCTAACTCGCACGACTCGCCCGCGCTTAGATATCTTCTCGCAACATGGAGCGCCTGTGACTGCTTAGCATTGTTCACACCGGCGGGTGACGATTACGCACGAGTGAGGATGCTTCAGCAGAAATACCACACTTACACGTACAAGGTGGACAGAGAACCTGAAACGTGTAGACTGGATCGCTGGTATGGCACTGCGTCTGTTAGTCCGTGGGTGGCCGCAGTTGAAGTCGTTGCTCCAGCAGCTAACGCTGATCATGATGGTGTACAACTCCATCTGCGCTCTCCCAGGAACCCGCTCCGAGTCAAGCGACCCAAGCGTACGTATCCGGTCCCTAGCTATGCCAAAAGTACGGCTGATGCCTGTATACATGGGATTCTCGATGGACTATACGATCGACTACGAGATGAGCAACCGAATGCTGACGAAGCTGTTATTCTTTGGGAAGCCATGAAACAAAGGGCCTATACTGGACTGCGACGGTGTGTCCGTCAAGCACGACGGCACTTATCGGCAGAAGCTGGCACGACTATTACGCCAGCAACGCGCTGCGCTTGCAGCTGACACTCCCCGTGAGGATGCAATTGACGACATCACCGCACGACTAGATGCGATATCCATCCGGGACGCTGCCAGCACCTCTCGACTGGAAAAAATTCGTCAGGCAATATCGGAGCTCCAGGCTGAGCGCGGTAAGCAGAGGATGAAGCGGCGTATGCGCGACCACGCTTGGTACGACGGCAAGACTACGCACACGCTTTTTCGTTCTACATCTACAAAGTTCACGGATAATTCTGTCCCAACTTTGGTCCCGGATACTAGTGCGCCAGCTCGTGACATTCATGACAAAGCGAATATTTTCGCAGATGCCTGGTCCCCCATTTTCAACCAGACACCCGCTGATCCTTCCGCTATCGACGATCCGCTGCGGTGGACGGCTGACAACAGCTTTACTGACGAAATTCAACGCGCCGTTGCGGCGGATATTTCTGAAGCTGAAGTAGCTGCTGCAATTGACGAATGCGCCGCTGGAAAGGCATGCGGTCCTGACACACTTGGCAATGATTGGTACATCGATTTCCGCGCCAAGTTAGTTCCCGTACTCACTATTTTGTTCAACTTGTGGTACACAGCCGGTGTTCTCCCTCCTTCATTTTCGGAGGCGGACATCTTTTGTCTTAAGAAGAGCGGAGATCAGTCGAACCCGCTTAACTACAGACCGCTCGCGCTTCTCAACTCCGACTACAAGATTTTCACGCGCATCCTAGCAACTCGAGTTTGTAAAACACTTCCTGATAGGATTCATGGGAATCAAAATAGTTTTGTCCCCGGTCGACAATTACACGATACAATTGACCTATTTGCAGCGGCTCAAGTGATGGCAAAGACGGATAACACGCAAAGAGAAGCCCTCGTCCTTCTGCTGGACTTCCAAAAGGCGTACGACTCGTTGGGGCGTGAATACCTTCTCCGTGCTCTTGCTGCTCATAGATATCCTCGGCAATTTGTGGACGCGGTAGCCTCGTTACACCAGCACACCCGAGTCCGTTTCTTAGTGAACGGTGAACGATCAAGGTGGGTTACGGTATCTACAGGCATTCAGCAGGGATGTCCCCTGGCACCTCTCCTTTTTATTTGAGCGCTGGACCCGTACTATCGTGCTCTTGAACGCTCACCACTGCTTCGTGGAGTTGTGTTGAGGTCGGCGGACCGGCAAATGGAATTGCGAGTTGGTGGATATGCGGACGACACGGCTACATATTTAGCATCGACCAAGGAAGTACCTGCACTTTTGAATTTGACTGCAGAATTTAGCAGGGCAAGTGGGCTTCATGTTAACGAGCACAAAACGGTGGTCATTGCCTTACACTCAGACGGCCCCAGAAAATCGATGCAGTTACCAGGACGATTGCAATTTCAGGGGAAGGACATGTTCGGCCGTTACTTGGGCGCGCAAGTCGGTAGTCAGACTGCGACGGAGCACGCTTGGACCAAAACAATAGCCCAGCTCACCACCACCTTGCGATTGGCCTCACTGAAAACGATGACTGAAGATCAACGGGTTACAATAGCCGCTGCGGTTATTATCCCCAAGTTTACTTTCGTTGCTAGTCATATTTGGCCCAGTTCAGCCTGGGTCAAAACTCTCCAACGCTACGTACATAATTTCGTATGGCACGATCAGTTTACGGATAAGGCACTATTCAAGAGAGCGTGGATTTCACCTAAGATTGCAGCGCTTCCCAGGGAAGATGGCGGATTGGCGCTACCTGATGTCAGACTGGAACTACTGGCGATGGCTGGAACTGAACTCGCTCGTTGGGCGTTATCAAGTGATGCGACTATGTTGCTTGTTGGCTTCGTCATCGGAAGCCAGCATCTTGATCCCAGCGGCTACATTACGGTGGGGGTGGGAGAATCAGATCCGACCCGCGGTTCATTTCCGCCTTCATTATAGCATGCAGGCTATCGGTTGCTGACTATGGTAGGACTCCCTTCACCTCGAGCACCCGACAAGGCTCTAACAGCAACACTTCAACGAACCCTAGTGGATATCATTCCTAGTGAAGATGATTGGACGACTGGCACATGCCTTGTGGATGTACGAACGCTTAAAGGCGAGAACTATGTCAACTTTCGTAAATGGCAGCGAGAGAAGTATGGTGATTTCTGTGCGGAATGGTTACCCAGCATGGAAATTCGACATCTGCTTTTCTTCACGGCTAATGGCGACCGCGTACTACCTGACATATGCTCTTCTAGTCTGACGGGGAACCACTCACGGCAAGTAAACGAAAGCAACCAGGGTGCGCGTGCGTGCGTGCGAAGGCAAGAAGTCGAAGTATCGTAGACGATGGGCGAGGATGTAGCCCACGGCAAGTGTACTGTCGTGTACACCATGTAGCGTTGATAGAAACTGGCAGTGGTAGTACTAGTTGGGGCGAAGCCCCCCTATAATGAAATCGCTCTGTTTTATCGCTCTGATTTACTTTCTTTCGATGAATTTATGGATAGGGCTAGGGAAAGGTTTAATGGTTGCCTCTCCCAGGGGCAAAAATGCTGCATTTTACCTCCATATAAGATCCTTTCAGGCCAACGGTTCCGAGTGACTGTTCATAGAAGATCAGGGATTTAGCCTCCTTAAACTGAGGCCCGTCTTTTAGGAGGCCTCTTCCAAATAGAGCATATATGGTCTGTGGGCCTTCTAAAGTGGATTTGGCTTAAAACTGCGTTATTTTAGCTAAATGGGTACTCTGATTTGATGAACTATTGACCCTATTTTAGCGTCGTATTGCACATAAATCGGGGTAAGTGCGCTTGTTGAAGGTCTGCTTAGAATAGCTCTGCTGCTTAGCTATTGCTACTGCATGCCGCAGGTTGCTTGCCGTCACCTCACGCATTCGGCACGCCTCTTCCAGGACCGCCCTAGGATGCGGCCAGGTCGGTTGGTACACTGGGAGCAGGACACACGAGCACGGAGTAAGAGGCACCGGCGACGGCGTGGATTTGGGCGGGCGCCTGACTCACGCTTAGGACGAGCACGCTCCTGAAACGCTCTGGGTAGATCGCCCTCCCGCGCAGCCATGCGCGGCAGCCGCAGCGCCTCTGGCTACCGCGGGTTGCAAATTATTAACTGGTCAGATTTACATTTTTAACTAGTTACTTTTTGAACTGCATTCTCAGGCTAGTCACTTCTGCATTCTTTTCTAGTTACTTGTGACTAGCCGACAATGCATAAGTGACAAGCGATAATGTAAATTAGGGATAAAATTGCATTTTCAACCAGTTACTTTTACATTGTTCTTCTACTGCGCAGTCTCTGGGCCTGGGTTTACACCCGCGTGCTCCGCACACGGTCCGTAAACCACAGGAGGCGTTCCACATTGGCCTTGGCCTGGGTTTAAGCCCGCGTGCTTCGCACACGGCCCTTAAACCTCAGGAGGCGTTCGACTCCGGGATTTGCCTGGGTTTAAGCCCGTGTGCTACGCACACGGATCCTAAACCACAGGAACAGCGTTCTACACCAGCATTTGCCTGGGTTTACGCCCGCGCGCTACGCACGCGGCTCATAAACCGCAGGTGGCGTTCCTGCTTGGTATATCCCTCCTTAACATTTATTCTACACCCTGATCCCTAAAGCCCCCTTACCCTCAGTGCACAAAACCCTAGACCCCCCTCTACCTCTCCCGTGGGGGGAGCACCTCGCTGCGCTCGGTAGTCGACATGACCCGCCTTCGGCGGGCGTTGGCGCTGTCCGTGCTTGATGGTGTCGTTTGACAATGTGCTGGTACGCTGAGTGTAACCGTCAATCGCCATAAAAAGGACAGCGTAACCAGTCAAAACTGTAAAAGTAACAAGTTTAAATTGCACTTTTCCAAGTGACTAGTCTAAAATGTATAAAAGACGAGAGAGAGAAGATGGTATATTGTCCCTTTAGTTCTAAGTTGCTGCCTATAGAGAGCGTACCAGGCAAAAAGAACCTGGCCCTCTGAACGTCGAACAGGAAATAGCCTTCTGGCTTCTTTTCTTCCTCCCGATATCTCTTCTTCCTGTCGTTGCGCTTGTCGACGACTTCCTAACCACCGGCGGGGCACAACGTGGAACCGTTGATCAAGTCCGGGGAGTCTGGCACTCGAGGCAGCTCAAACACCGGACCTGCCACCGCACTGACTCTCAGCGGGCGTCACGGCCACCACGGAGTTCACTTCGTAGGTAGTGATGGTTATGAGTAGCCGCGGTTCAGAATATTTTAAATAATCTGAATGTTCTAAATGTTATGATGGAATTAAAATGAATCAAAATGAATCAAAACTCGCAGCTGCCCCCTCGAAACTAGAGGGAGACCCCGGTGCAGCGATCTCCTCGCCTCGCCGCTCGGCGAGTTACCACCTCCCCACTTGTCCAAGCGCGAACTCCTCGCATTCCAGCTACCCGCAAGCCTGGGCGGCCTAAGCACTTCATCTGGCGCTACTTCGAGAAGATCACGGATGGCTCGGCGAAGCCGCACGCTGAGTGCCACTACTGCCACGTGGTTGTTCGCAGTGCTCAGCCTGGAACAAACATGCAACGCCACCTCAAGAGCTGCTGTTCCGTTCCTGTTGCTGTCAAGCGTATCCAGGACGCGTTCCGGGACCCGCAACCTTCAGCTGCTAGGGAACCTGTACCGGCTGCTGTTGGGTCTACTGCTGCTGCTCCTGGTGGTGACGTCCGTGATGGACATCCCGCGGTGCCCGTCCCAGCGCCAACGCCGACCCAGCAGCAACAGTTTGAGATGGCACTGGCTATCACGATTTACCTGTGTGCTCTATCATTTGTGCTGGTTGAGTCTCCAGCATTTCGCAAACCGTTTGAGATTTTAGCCCCGGGGATTCGATTTCCGTTTAGGTAACGATTGAGTGGAGAATTGTTGCGGCGTGCACGAGATGAAATCCGCGAGAGAGCCATTGAATTCATCCGACTACAAAAAGTTGTTACAATTGTACCGGACTCCTGGGCGAACGTGAATCACTCGACTATAATCAACTTTATGGTTGTAGCCCCCGGGATGCGCTCCGTCTTCTGGTCTTCGCTAGCAACCGGCACAGCGTCCGAGACGGCAGAGTATTTGGCGGAACACCTTGGACGCGTAATTGACGAGGTTCAACAAGAAACTGAAGCGGTAGTGGCTGGCGTCCTAACGGACAATGCTAGTAACATGAGTGCAGCGTGGGCGATATTGGAGAGGACGCGACCGATATTTGGAGGAGGTTGCGCGGCGCACATGTTGAATTTGCTGATTCAAGACGTGTGTGAGATAGATTTTTTCAGCGAAATACGGGGTAAGGCAGTAGCCATTGCTACGTACGTTCGAGACCATCACGCCGTGCTGAGTCAGTTTGTATCCACGTTGCACGAGACGGCGAATGGCCACCGTCGTGCATTAGCGCTTCCAGTGAGCACGCGATGGTATTCGCTACACGCATGCTTTTCGCGTGTTCTCGAAAACCGGTCTGTGCTTCGGAAGCTGTTTACAGAATCGCAGTTCAAGACGCTGCTAAAGAATTCAGCCTCAAGCGTTGCAGCAAAGGCGAAACTCAGTCAAGTGAAAAAGACAATCCGTGATCAGTCGTTTTGGAGTAAGCTGGAGCAAGTTGTGGCGTTCCTCGACCCCATCATTGAAGCCCTCCGCGAACTTGAATCGGATAACTGCTCGACTTCGCGCGTGTATTCCCGATTTAAGTGGCTGCTGAACCACCCTGCCTACGGTACTGATGAAGTACAGTCCCCAATCCAAGCAGCAATCAAGGGCCTGGTTGACAAGCGATGGAAACATGTGCACACCGACGCCATAGGTCTGGCATTCCTGCTCGACCCGCACACAACCCTCACCGACTTCGTTGGCACAGATGAAAAAGATACCATCAAACAGGGGTGTGCTTTCGCTGAGCGAAGTGGCATACTCGATGAATTGGGTGTAACGAGGGCACAATTCAACGGTGCGATGTATAGCTTCGCTAGTGAGAAGCGCAAATGGACGCCTGCAATGTGGCGTGACAACGAGGGAGCCGCGCCTCAAGACTGGTGGCCCACACATGCAAATCAGTATCCAATGGCGTGGGAGATTGCCAGACTCGTATTCGCAATTCCACCATCATCGGCGGCGAGTGAGCGGGCTTGGAGTATCATGGATTTCATCCATTCCAAGAAGCGCAACCGCTTGGCGGTCGACAAGGTCGACATGTTGGCCTCCATCTACGCCAACCACCTTGCCGTGTCCACAGAGGGTGCGGACTGGGCCCGGCTGCACTCGTATCCAGAAAGTGGTGAGGCCCTGGAGAGGGAGGCGACGGAGCAGTAGTGAGTGCATGTCCAAGCTGCGCATTCTATATTGAGCCAGGGTAGTTTTGATCTATTTTGAGCTAATGTGCAATTAATATTGAATGGTAAATCGTTTTGAATGATTTCGAAAGTTCCTCCAAACCAGGGGCGGAGCCAGGGCCAAAATGGGGGGGGG